TGGATGATTCTGGGCATGGGGACGGCGGCGGAGCCGACGGTGGTGATGTGGTTTCGACGGCGTCGCCGTCGCTCGACGCCGATGATGACTGGGGGCCCGACGAGGGGATCGTTGCGTTCGGGAGTGGTCAGTCTAGAGCCGGTGCGCGGGGTGTCTTGATTGTTCGGCGGCCTCGCGGCGGCGCATCTGGGATGGGTGACTCGGAGAGACGCGGAGGGTCTGACACTCAGTCAGAACCGCAATGTACCGCGCGTATTACGGAAGCGATGAGCCGCTTGGGCTTCCGAGGTGTGGGCGCGGCGTATACCGTGATTGACTGGGCAGAGATGTGGGGTGATCAGCCCGCGCCCAGTGACAACCTTCTTAGGGGGCCTGATCACGCGTCCATTTACGGGTATCAGGACGTGCTGAGAATAGTGCGTGGGTTAGGCTTGCCCCCCCCCCCCCATTGGCAGTACGCGGTCCCGTCCGCGCGAAGTATGGTTGGGAACTGTCCCGCGGGATGGTTTGGGGTATATAGCGAGTATTGGGTGATGGGGTTCAAATTCCCCATCGACCCCTTGCTCTGCGCCCTGTACCGGCGTCTCAATTGTTCAGTTGGGCGCCTCTCTCCGTCGGTGATAATGCACGCGAGCTGCCTCCGTCTCGCGTGCAAGAGGCTTAAGATCGAGCCGACCTACGGCTTGTTTCGTAAGTTTTATAAGATAAAGGATCCTACGAGGAGGAGCGACTGCCTTTCTATCAAGCGGCGCGACAAGAGACCTGAGGGTTTCGTGTATGGGTCTCCCAAGTTGAAAAAGACTTGGTTTGAGCGGTTCTTTTATGTTAAACCGACTCCCGGGGAGTGGGCGAGCGAATTTGTGGCGGAGCCGACGGAGTGGAAGAAGGGCGGCACGCATGGGTATGAGTCGGACCTGGGGCATTACGCTGAGCTCGATGATGAGTACGAAGCGTGCATGCACCAGAAGTTCAACTTATACGATGGCGGAGTCCGCGAAGCTTGTTTAGAAGAGCTTTTTGCCGATGGTTAGTTGTGCTTCTTTCGTTTTGCATTCTATCTTATTAACCGCTCTCTTACGGCTTATTGGCGCAGGTGTTGATTTTTCCAGCCTGGCTAGTATGATGTCGGTTGATGACATTGTGAATGCGCCTCGCGCCGGAAGGAGGAAAGGGAAAGAGGGTGCGCGGGCCAAGAGCGCGAAGAGGAAGGAGGTTGATCAGCCCATGGTTGCAGAGAAACCTGCGAAGGCTGTTCGCGTGGTTGAACCGACTGGGCGGACGCCGCGCCAACAGCCGCTTGTAATTGTTGAACCCACGATACCCGTGGACAGGAGCGCTCGGCCGGCAGGTAGCGCGGCTGGTGGTTCGTCTGGGGCTACGATTCAGCAGAAGTTGCCCAAGATGGCTGGTGGCGCGATCGACTACTTCCGCGATCTGCGGATCCACACGGGTGCGGCGTGTAACGTTGCGGCCGCGAACAACGCCCTCCGGGTGCTGGGACCCATTCTGAGTGTCCCGCCGCGGCTGGAGAAGTCGGATCCGCTTCAAGACCTTGCGCAAGTGCATTTCGCGGTAAGATTGGCTTGGTTGCAGGAGTTGTTCCTCTACTCTTCTTTTTATTTGTACTAAGTCCTGTGGCGTTGTGGGTACAGGGTTTGCTGGCCACCTTCCGCGCTCAACAGGAGCGGAGCCGGGAGCGCGCGAAGATGAAGGCTGAAGAATCGAAGATTGTGCATCTTGAAGGGAAGCTGACTGGAGCTGAGGGTAGCGCGGAGTTGGCTACCAACAAGGCCAACGATGCTTTGGAGCAGCTGGGCGTTCTGCAAAGCCGGCTGGAAGAGCAATTAGGGGCAGTGCGGACTCGGGTTCGAGGGGAGTTGCGGGAGGAATTTGAGGGGGAAAAGAAACGTTTGGCGGAGGAGTGGGAGCGGGAGAAGAGCCAATTAGAGAAGGATCATGCTGAAAAGATGAAGCAGGCTTTGGAAGATTTTGAGAAGGAGAAGAGGGATTTGGTTCGGCTTCATGATGTGGCCAAATCGGAAGCTGTGCGTGAAGCGCAGGTCGCTGCAGTTCGCCAGTACAAATCTTCATCCTCCTTTGGAAAGATACTGGCAGATGCGATGACCAAAGCGGTTATCGCAGTTGGTAAGAAGGTGCGGCCGGAGGTTCCAAGCTACCGGTGGAACAGTCGCAACATGGTGCAGCATGTGCAACTTTGGCTGCGTGAGAAGAGATCACTGGAGCTGGATTCTGAGGATGATGAGGAAGAGGATGATGAGGAAGAGGAGGAGGAGGAAGGCGGGGATGAGGAGGGTGACGGCAGTGAGGCGCGTAAGGGAGATGCCGCTGCCGCGGAGGATAAGGGATATGCAGGCGTGGAAGCGGATGTGGATGTGGCCGTCACTACCGCTGATACTACTGCTGAGAAGTCTTCCTCTTAGGTTTCAAGTGTAGAAGCGCTGTTTTGTGCTTGTCTGTGTGCGCGCTTTTTTTTTTTTTTAATGGAAATCCAAGGTGCTTCTATTTTGTTCATGTGCTGGCCCGCATAACTTTTGGATATTGCCTTTTAGCGTGAATGACCGTGGCGCGATTGACTCTCAGTCATTGTTATTGTTACTTCTTTCGGACTGTGAGGGCGCAGATAACTCGTAGTTATTGCTAGGTTTCGTTCTTTCGAACTGAGTGGGGCGCGAATAACTCGTAGTTATTGCTATTTTCTGTTCTTTCGAACTGTAAGGGCGCAGATGACTCGTAGTCATTGCTATTTTTTGCTCTTTCGAACTATGAGGGCGCGAATAACTCGTAGTTATTGCTATTTTGTGTTCTTTCGAACTGTGAAAGTGCGAGTAAATGGAAAGTCATAAGTGTTATTGCTGATCTCTTGCGGCCGTGCGCCAGTATTACATTAACTTGGACAGTGGTATTTTCTGAGATTCTGCGCGTTCCATGTTCTTGGGATTTTGTTGCCCCCCAATTCGCTGAGCTTAAAGGTGTTGGCACCCACAATCTCCCGGATCAGATACGGGCCTTCCCACGTTGACGCAAGCTTGCCATGTTTGGGGTCGGGACGGAAGTTTCTGCGTAGCACTTGATCTCCGAGCGTCAGCTTGTGTGGGACCAGTTTCGCGTTGTAGTACTTGGCCACTTGCGCTTTCGTTGCGGCCAGTTTGATGGCCGCCAACTCTCGTCGCTCTTGTGCTAGCTCCAGGTCTAGCAGGCGTGCCTCGTCGTTATCTGTTTCGTTATATGCCATGACCCGATATGTTGGGAAAGTTACCTCGATTGGTATGACTGCGTCTGTGCCATAGGTGAGCGCGAATGGGGTTTCGCCCGTTGCCGCTTTGTAGGTGGTGCGATGCGCCCACAGCACCGTGTTGAGCTCATCCGCCCAGTTGCCCTTCGCTTCGTCAAGCCTCGTATGAAGGCCGTGCAATATCGATTTGTTGGCGACTTCCGCTTGACCGTTGGCCTGGGGGTAGGCAACCGATGCGAACCTCGCGATGGCTCCCACCTGGTCGCAAAAGTCTATGACTTCCGCGCAGTCAAATTGTTTGCCGTGGTCGAAGATGAATGCGCTCGGGACTCCGTAGCGCGCCAGGATATTGCTTTTTAAGAAACGGGTTACCTGGTGCGCCGTTATGGAAGCCAACGCTTCCGCTTCGATCCACTTGGTGAAGTAGTCCACCGCCACTATTATGTATTTGCGTTTCCCTTTTGCCGTTGGGAATGGGCCCAGGAGGTCAACTCCCCATTGTGCGAAGGGCCAGGCGCTCAAGTTGCCTTGGAACTCAGTCGATGGTAGGTGATGCTGGCGAGCGTGTAATTGACACTTGTTGCACTCATCAACATACTTCTTTGTGTCCTTTTTTATCCGTGGCCAATAGTACCCATGTAACAATATGGTGCGCTCCATATTGCGCGCACCGGCGTGCATTGCGCACATTCCTTCATGTAGCTCTCGCACCATGTTGTGTGCCTCGTTGTTTCCGATGCATTTGAGATATGCCCCGGAATATGACCGCCGGTACAGGTCTAGGCCAATCATCGTGCAACGGGCCGCCTTCTGCCTCAAGGTCCATGCTTCCTTGGCGTCTTCTGGCACCGCGCCATCCTGTAAGAATTTTATAATCGGGGCTCTCCAGTCATCTTCCGCGATCTGGGTGGTATTGACCGCGGCTTCTTGGTTGGCTTCCTCTTCCTCCTTTTGTACTGTCACTAGGCGCGTAGATTCGAAGTTTGTTGTTGTTGCCAGTTTGGATAGCGCGTCGGCGTGCATGTTTTCTTCCCTTGGTATTTTCACGTACGTTACCGCCTCGAAGGCGGTTGCTCGTTGCTTGACGCGCTCCATGTAATGCGCGAGTGCATCCTCTTTGGCATCAAAGGCTCCATTCAGTTGGTTGACGGCGAGCGACGAGTCAGAGAGTACTCTGATTGTTCTAGCGCCCAAGTCGTTGGCCGCTGACATTCCCGCCAAGATGGCTTCATATTCGGCGGCGTTATTTGTCTTCAAAGCTCTGAATCGGATTGCTATTTCGTGTACCACGCCCGTGGGCGTGCGCACGACTACACCAGCGCCGGCCCCGTGCTTGCTTGCCGCGCCGTCTACATAAACTTCCCACACCCCTTCTGGTGCCGTTTCCAGGGTTACTCCTTCTGCGATGAAATCTGCCAGGATTTGCGCCTTTATCGCTGGGCGCGGAGCGTACTGGATGTCATACTCTGACAGTTCGACGGCCCACTTTATCATCCGCCCCGACACCTCCATTGAAGTTAGAATCTTTTTTAACGGGAGGTTGGTTAGGACGGTGATTCTGTGTGCTTGGAAGTATGGGCGTAGTTTTTGCGACGCGCTGACCAGTGCTAACGCTGCTTTTTCAATGGGTGAATACCTTGTCTCTGCGCTGACCAGAGTTCGCGACGTGTAGTACACCGGGCGCTCGGCCTGACCGTCTCTCCTGGATATTAATACTGCGCTTACGGCTCTTGTGGACACAGCAAGATACAGAAAAAGTTCTTCATTAACTTTTGGGGTAGTCAATACAGGGGGGAAACAAGATAGGCTTTGAGTTCTAGGAAGGCCGCTTCGCATTCCTTGGTCCATGCAAATCGCGCGCCGTTTTTCAGTGTCTTGAAGAATGGGGCGCACTTGTCAGCTGACCTTGGGATGAACCTTCCTAGCGCCGCAATTTTCCCGTTCAGGGACTGAATCTCCAATGTGTTTCTTGGCGCGCGCAAGCCTTGGACTGCGGTGATTTGCTTTGGGTCGACTTCGATGCCGCGCTTGGTGATCATGAATCCCAAGAATTTTCCGGCTTCCGCTCCGAACACGCATTTCAGCGGGTTCAAGCGGAGACTGTGTTTGCGGAGCGCTTTCGAATGTCTCGCGCAAGTCATCTAGATGTGACTTCCCTGCTTTGGTTTTGACGATGAGGTCATCCACGTATGCCTCGATATTGCGTCCCCTTTGCTGCGCGAACACTGTGTCGATCATCCTCTGGTATGTCGCGCCTGCATTCTTCAGCCCAAATGGCATTCCGACAAAACAGAAGTTTCCGAACGGCGTCATGAAGGCTGTTTTCTCTTCGTCTTCGCGCGACATTGGGATTTGGTGGTATCCCGAGAACATGTCCAGGAAGGACAGTGTTTCATGGTCGGCTGTGGCGTCTATCAGTTGGTCGATGCGCGGCAGCGGGTACGGGTCCCCTGGGCACACCTTGTTGATCGTCGTGTAGTCGACGCACATTCGCCAAGCTCCCGAAGACTTTTTTACCAACACCACATTCGCCAGCCACTTCGGGTATTTCACTGGACGGATTAATCCCGCTGACAACAGGCGCGCCACTTCTTCCTCAATGGCCTTAAGTTTATCTCCCGTAAAGCTCCGCCGCGCCTGTTGTCTTGGCGTCGCGCTCACTGGGACACCAAGGGAATGTTGGGCGACATCTCTTGGTACGCCCGACATGTCTTCCGTGCACCATGCGAACAATTCCTTATACTCCTTTAGCAGTTTTATTAGCGGTTCAATCGCGTCTCCGGGGACGTGAGTTGAAACGCGCACCTTATGGGTTGGCTCGCTCGGATCAAGGGCGACCTCGAAGTCAGAATCCATTGATTCCGGGCGAGGTTCTTCCGCCCTTGTGTCAACGATGTTGGTCTGGCGGATTTCTCCTGTCTTTGTTGGCTCCCACGCTGTCCCGCACGCTTCTCCGCTCCCCTCCTTGGTTGGGAATTTGAGTTTCTGGTGACATGTTGACGGGAGAGCCATGAATTTTGCCAAGAGCGGGCGGCCAAAAATTCCATTGTGGGGGGACTTGCAGTCGACTATCGTGAATTCGACTTGCTTCGAGACGCGTGGCTCTTGGTCCCCCAGCACGACTGGAAGGGTGACTACTCCGATAACTGGGACCCTGGTGCCGGAAAAGCCGACCAAGTTCCCGTATGCGGGCTTGATTAGCCGCGGGTCGATGTCCATCTGGTCGACCGTGCTTTTGAAAAGGATGTCCGCCGCGCTGCCCCCGTCAATCAGTAGGCGGCGAACATTGCAGGCGGCGACGAGCGCGGTGATGATGAGTGGGTCCTCCGAAGGGACCCCTCCGGGGAGTTCAGCGTCGTCAAAGCTCAGGTTGCACTTCTGCGTAGCTACTGCTGCCGCGCACTCTATAGCGCGGTCGCGTTTGGTTTTTTTCTTCGGGCGGTCTCCTTCTACGGTTACCACCCCTATTTCCTTTCGTACTACGTACGAGCCCGAGGCGTCGTCATAGTCCGCCTGTGGTGGTGGTGGGGGTTCCACAGGGCGCTCCGCCGGTTCTTCCGCTCCGCGAATGAACTCGCTCAGCAGTCCCCTTTGTATGAGGCCCTCGATCTCGTAGTGCAATTCTCTGCAGTTTTCTGTCCAGTGCCCCGTGTCTCTGTGGAATTCACAGTGCTTCTTGGGATCGCGCATGTGTGGGAGTGTCTTCATGGGGGCGGGCCAGTTGATCTTGTACCCCTTCTCTCGTAGAACGTGGTAGATGTTCTTGACCGTGTCGTTGAGGGGAGTATAGTTTGATGGGCGCCTCTCTGGTGATCGTCCTCGATGGGCTTGTTCTGGAGGAGGTGGTGGGCGTCTGGCGCCGCTGTGCGCTTGCAACAGCTGATCCCGCGGCACGGGGAGTTGCCTACGAGCTTGCTCTTCTTTTTGCATTTTGGCTGGTTCAAAACGTCGGATGGAACCCGCGCCTAGCGTTTTTTCCAAAGTGATGGCTTTTTCAACTTTGACTTCCAGCTCAGTAGACAGTGTAATTGGTCTCTTTGCTAGCGCTCTCTTGAGCTCCATGCTAGTAGTGGCGTCCATGAGGTGGTGGGCGGCGGTTTCCGGGGTGAGATCCCTTACAGCCATTGCCACTCTGGACCACCTGGCGTAGAACGCCTGCAAGCTCTCTCCATCCTTCTGGCGGATGTCTATAAGCGCCTTGAGGTGGAGAGGTCTCCTTTTTTGTGACGCGAACTTGGTTGTGAACAGAAGTATGAACTCTTCGAAGGAGCGGATGATTCCGTTTGGGAGGCGGTTATACCAGTCGAGGCATATCCCGGAGAACGTTGATGGGAACGTGCGGCATAGTGCCGCGTTGGAGTTGGTTTGAAGTTGCATCCGTAGGCAGAAAGTGCTAACATGGTCTTCAGGATCGGTGGTGCCATTGTATGTGGGGAGGGTGGGTGGTGCCCCACTCAGGTGTTCCGCCATGATCTCCGCGCATAATGGTTGATGTAAGGCCTTTTTGGGCGGATTGGGGCGGAACTGTGGGGACAGGTGTTGCTCCAAGAAGCTGAGGTCCGCTCTTCCTGGTGGCTCGTAGCGCTGAGTTTCAGGAGCGGCCAACTCGACCACTGTCTGATGAGGTGGCGTGACGTGGCCTGATGTTCCTCCTTGCGTTAGCTGTAACGCGTCAGGCGGCGCACTCGGCGCTGCCGCAGCTTCTCTGCTCATCATGAGCGCCATAACTTGGCTCATCTGTTTTTGCATACTGGCGATGACGTCGTTTTGCTTAGCCATCTGTTGCCTCATCTCTTTGGCTGTCAGTTCGGGCTCTTCTTCCTCAATGAGTACCGCGTCGCGGTTGCTGGCTTCCGCGAGTCCCGCGAACACCCTAGGATCCGTCATCGCCTTGATGGGGGTTACCTCGCTGGGTATGTTGGAGTTTTGTTCTGCCATTTTTTCCTCAGGCCCCACGGTGGGCGCCAATTGTTTGAACCTAACTGAGTGTAGGAGTGAGGTTCACTGTAATGGGTCAAGAAGAATGAACGGCTTGGTCGAACAAGAACTATGAGACAAATGAGAGGAAAGAAAGAGTTGAGAGTCTCTATTTTAGTGAGATAAAGTGATGATCTTAGAGATAGAGTCTCCAAAATCCGATCTCCTCACCCACCGGAGTAAATGCCATATTTATAGGCTACATGGTGGTGGGTGAAGTACACAACGGTACAATGATGTGACTACCATGGCAGGGTGACATGACCTCTGACACGTCATGGACCAATACCATATCCCTAGGGACGACAAGACCCTTAGCCATGACTATACCTAGGACTATGATGGTGACTACCCTTCGGGTGACGCGGCGCCGCTATTACACTTCTCGTTGAGGGCCGTTTGGGGTTTACGCGCGAGCTTTCCAGGCCATTCTCCGTACTCGCGCGCCGGCTTCATGATGCGGTCGTCTTTGGCGCGATCATCCTTAGGTATTTCCGAATCACATCCCCAACAATAACAATTGGGCTTCTAACACTATGAACCCCATCTATCCAAATCAGTGAAGCGGGGCCAAAAACCCATCCACCGGAGCTTTACCATCCTTCTCCTTCTCACTCTTTGTATATAAATAAATAAATAACACTGTCAAAAAATATATAAAAATAAATAACAAACCTAAGGCAGAACAAACTAAAGGCACCAAGCCTCTATCCATGCATAGCATGCCACCACATGTAGCTCCACCTTCTTTCATCGCATTCAACGACAAGGAGAGAGACCAATTGAGGCGGGAATAAGCCCAATTGGGGCTCCTGCGCCTCAATTCGGCTTATTCTCACACCAATTGGGTTTTAATGGTACTTTGAATTTAATTGGGCGTGTGCACTTTAATTAGGATTATTGGTAGTTTTTTAAACGATTTAGAGCGTGCACACACGACCCAATTTGCTTTTATAGAAAGTAGATTTGGAAATATTTTTGCATATGTAGTATTTTGGATGATATTTTTTAAAAATACAATATTTTAGAAAAACCCCGCATTTATAAAAAGTTTGAAGAGTCTTAAATACACTCATTATATTATTTTGTTGTCACCGCTGCGCTAAACTATATGTATAAACTCCGTCGGTGCATCAAGGCTGGCTGACTCAACTCCTATAACTTTCCAAACTTTGCGCAGATAGTCCTCAACTTTAGGTTTTGAACCATTCCACCCTCACAAATGCAAGCTTCGTTCCAGAGATAGCCTTATCTCTTATCAAATGCAGGCCACAAATCTGCACCAGCCAGAAATCCTCTTTTCCCCACCTCGGCCATGGCTACGCACACCCTCCATTTCGCTCCATCTCCTCTGCTCCCTCCCACCAAACCAAACCTCAGCAGCAAATTCCCTTCTTCTGGATTCAACTACAGAACCGAGAGATCCTTCAAATCCGTCGCGGTTCGATCATACAAAGTGGTGATTGAACATCAGGGCGAGTCCACGGAGCTTGAAGTCGAGCCAGACGAGACCATACTATCCAAGGCACTGGACTCCGGTTTATCCGTGCCTCATGACTGCAAGCTCGGAGTGTGCATGACTTGCCCTGCGAAGATAGTCAGCGGCTCAGTCGATCAGAGTGACGGCATGCTCAGTGACGACGTGGTGGAGCGCGGCTACGCGTTGCTCTGTGCCGCATACCCGACGTCGGATTGCCACATTAGAACCATTCCCGAAGAAGATTTGCTGGCGCTGCAGCTCGCAACGGCTAATGACTGAGAGTGAAATTTGTTGAACATTGTGGTTGTCTGGTTGAATGTGTAATCTCTTCTATCTCGCTGGATTGGATTGCTGTGTTTTGCTGTAACTGGGTAGTAAACTCTGTGTTGAGAATTTTGAGAATGCAGTGGGACATTTTACATTACTCGCTTCTGTGTATCCCCTGTATCAGAACTTCTTTGATCACACATTCTTCATTGGCAAACATAAGGAAGAAAGTTGTAACCTGGTTTTACACAATGTGCGGATGTTATGAGAGGTGGAATCATTATGGGAGGCTAAGCTTCTTCTTGTGTTTCCTTTGCTTGAGTTTTACTTTCACAGAAAGACCACTGTCTATAATGGATTGAAGCACAATCTGAAGCTTCCCTTCCAATCTCTCCCCTCTTCTGGGAGTGTAGACCACGTTGTGGATGTCTTCCTCCAGTGCTCTCTGAGCCAGAATCTGCCCAACAGCACGGCAAGTGGCTTCATTTCTGGTGGAACCCATGTCGAATTTGATGTCTTTCGATATCGAATGTGCCACAGCCACCACTTTACTAGTACCTCGGTGAATGACGGATGCCCGAGCCGATGCGTTTGATATGTGAATGTCCAGGCAGAACGGCTCGTGGTAAGGAGCTGTGAGCTGATTGAACGTCAGAGTCCTAACCTTCTTCCTCTTCTCCTCCGCCACACTGCCAGAAACATCATTCATCAAAGTATAAGCCTTGCCGTTCCTAGCAATCAATGTTGCTCTTTTCGCTTCCACAGGCGATGAATCTTCGTTCTTTTTGCCTTCCTTGGGCTGCTCATTCTTCGCTGAAGATTCCTTCTTTCCGCTCTCTCTAGCGTCATCACCTTTCTTCCTCCTTCGGTGGAATTCAAAGCTGTACTCCTGATACTCTTTGGAATGCCGGTCAAGCTTGTAGAACAGATTTCCCCGGATTCTCATATTATCAATCTCATCAAAATCAGGGTCATCCTGTTCATTAACCTGGTCATCAGTTGCTACACTTACAGTACGTGGTTCCGGTTTCGTACCTAATCCTCGAAACGCATGGGCTATCCCCAACGATACCTGCCAGGCATCATCGTCCACGAGCTCGATTTCGTATCGATCCAAGTGATCGGTAGGATCCCTGAACAAATGAGAAAGGCAAATGTTGCTACTCGGGATCGAATGACGTCTCTCAGCCGGTGCTTCTCTGGTCCACCCAGCCGCACCGTCGCCGATTGAGGAAGTCTTGGAGCAGAAATTATACACTCTCGGTTGGTAGCGGAAGCAAGCTCGTCTCAATGACAATGTCGCCATAATATACAGCCGGTTAGACTGAACCGGGAACGCAACCGCCTTACCCGTCCTCTCATAGGCAAATGATCAAACACTTGGTGTGCAATCTGACAATCCACTAGCCGCGATTCCTCGCTCTATCTCGCCCCTGTGGCATGTTTGTTCAAAGAAATAGGCCAGGAGATCGTGGCTTATATTATAAGGAATTAAGGACACACACAATATGGGCCAAGCACCTCAAGCATTGGAAATGAAGGCCCAGTGTTGACAGTCCATGGATATCGGGGATTATAGGCCCAAAACTGTAGTCGTTGGCTGCGTCCTGCGTGGTCTCATAATGGCATATACCTTGACCGTGACCACTGACCAGACAGACCATATGGTTCAATTATTCATCAAATTCTGGGAATCTGCTGGTCGGTGGAGAAACAGAGATCTGGAAAACATGTCTCCCACAGACAAAAGATCTTATCTTTAACTTGAAGTTACTCCGTCAAAAAAGCAATCAGTGCCTTTAAAATGAAAAAAAGTATTCACCAGCATATGCTAAAGCTGCCAAACCAACCAGCCTTTGAATTTCAAGCCTGCTTTCGTTCCCATCCAGCAGCCAGCCTTAGCCACATGCTTTCTCGGATGCAGACTTTACATTACATTCCATTTTTCTCCTCCCAATGGAGTCCCATCAGACACAAGAAAACAGAGAGATGGGTGCAGTGCAAGTTATGAAGATGGAAGATTACTTTGCACAAGAAACCTAAAGCTAGAGTTTCATTAGAAATACAACTTGTCACCATGGGAGAAAAGTAAGTGCACCAGAGGCAACAGTTATAATTAAACACACAACAGGGGGGAGGGAGGGGGCTGATAGCTAAGATTAAAACAGTTAGCTATTACACACAAACCATCCAAGTTTAGCAGGAAGAAGAAAAGAACCAGAAGGAAAGGGATATAATAAGCAGGAATGCGAGCAGGGAGTGGTGGATGGTGAAGAGAGTCATCATATTATCAGTGGGTTACCAACTTCTTCAATGAAGAGACCTAGTCATGATGATGTCTATTCAGTAGTAAGCCTGCTGATGATAAGCTTGTGCGAACCCACTCGGATATCCTCCATACGCTGCCGGTGGTGGTGGCATATAATTCAAAGTGTATGATCCGGGAATCGGGTGGTGGACTGCTTCAGGGGAGTAGGCAGCGTATGGGGATGGAGGGCTCGGGGTGCCATAGACCGTTGGTGGTGGTGGTGGCGGAGATGCGTATGCTGGGATGCCGGCAGCTGGGTACTGCTGCGGGTGGTGTGAAGGCGACCTGACAAATGCTGGCGGCTGTGAGGGGAAAGATGATACATAGGCATTCGTCAGACGCCCGGCCTTGGCTGGTGGCATTGGAACGGCGGTGTTGGCACGCGTTCGCTTGTTGGCAGGGATGGCAGCTGGCATCGGCTTCTTCTTCTCCGTCTTCACCTTCTCTAGCTGTTCGAGGCGTTTCTTGAGGTTCTCTGGTGGGAACTCGGACTCTAGTTTGTATTCCTCGATGCACTTGATGACAGCACGGAGTGCTGACTGTTCCTTCCTCACAGCAAGTTGCTGAAAAATAGGTAATGCAAAGGAGTCAGAGATCAATGATACTTACACATGATTAATAATTAGCCCAACTGCTCATCAAATGCAGGAAACCTTCAAGCATGAGAAAGCAGACGTGAAAAAGAAGACAAAAGAGGGGATATCCAATAGAGTTAGAAGATTAAAAAAATCAAGAATCACACAAAAGAATAAACAGCTTCAGGGAACAGAACTTCTAAGGCCAGGTTGGAAGAAATTAGTTACAGCAGTGTTATTTACAGGTCATACTAGCCAAGCAAATAATGTAAGTGGTGTTGGTTCCAGCTGCTCATCACATGACAAAAGATAAAAGAGGCAAAGCAGTACTACAACCAAAGCATTCATGCTTCACCATTTAAGCAATGTATTGTACTTCAGGCTAGTCCAAAATGAACGAGAGTGTAGCAGCCAATTGTTAATCCACTTTCAAGGGCTCAACAACAAGCTCTTTTGAACTAATCATATTTCAAAAAAGAGTAATGTAACTTCTTGATAAGCTGATTTCAGGCTTCTATCATAACTGAAAATTAATGTAGCGACTGGAGAGAAAACAAGAACCAACAACTAGAAGAAGATTTGAGTGTCAGGAAATACCGTAGCCCTTCCAGGATTATCAGGGTCTTCCATTATAGAAGCCGCAGCCTTCTTTGCGTCCCTTAGAAAGGCCTTCAACAAGGGTACTGGGGGGAACTTGTTGACCAGGCCGACCTCGTAAGTAAAATGCACTGCATCCAGTTGCTGACCCCTACCAATCAGTTCTTTGATCATATCTGCAATTGAAAAAAGCAACTCAGTACAATCGAAAAGAGACAAACACCGCACCCTACCACATTTCAACAATCCTCCCAAGAACCATACACTAATGAACCACACAAAGAAATTGCATGTTCATGGATCAATTTCTTGAACCATTCTGTATATCAGTAAAAAACAGGGCATTTTTCAGCTCATCGGGCTCACATCAACCTAGTAACCAAAAGCAACCATTCTACCCCGTCATAATAGGAAACACATTCCCCAAATCCCAGGCCTATCATCACAATATGGCTGGGTAAACAAGCATCAACGATGAGCCTGTCTCACATTCTCAGTGATAACAGGTAACAACAGCAGCGCAGCAATGGAACCCAAGGGAAAACTTCCCAACAAATGGATTAACAACGGTCAGCTCATTAAGGAACTGACCAGAACAGAGCTCAAGAAAGTAAACATAGCAATGACATCGAAGACTGGAAAAAGTAGTACCAGGCATTTCACCACCCAAGCCAAGAGAGACAGCAAGCTTAGGCATCTGCTTGCGCCAGGCCGAACCAACCACAAGCTTCCTGTACAAATCGAAGTCCTCCCTCTTCACAATCCCAAAAGTGACCAAATGCTGCAAGAAAGTATGAACATCCGGCGTCTTCACATTCTCAATCCCGCCGCGCTCCTCCAAGCTCCTCTTCCACGTCTCCGCAATCTCGCTAGCCCTCTTCTTCACCGTCGGCGTCACCATCAGCCTCGACTTCCCAATCACAGGGTCCATCACCACAGGAATCAAGCTCTCGAGAATCACAACACAAGCCCATCCCAAATCATTCCCCTTCTCGCTCCTCTCCCCTCTCCTGTCCACGGGGAAAACCTCCGAAATTGCCTCCAGCACAAACCTAGGAGGATCCACGCACTCACCCAGCGCCATCGGTATCTGGCTCCTCAGCGCGTCAAGCTCCTTCTTCTTGGTGATCACGAACTTCCAGAACTCCCTGGACCTCATCTTCAAGCAGAACGCCTTGAGAGCAAGGAGAAGACCGTCGCCGTCGTCGACCTCGCCGTCGTCTCGATCGGAGTCAATCGACTTGAGAGCAGCCTCGCAGCGGTCATCGAGGCGCTCGAGGGCGATCTCGAGGCTGCCGTCGATTGTGACCTCCCGTTTTTTTATTGAAGCCAGAGAGGCCTTGGTGTCGGTGTCGAGGGCCTGGATTTTGCGCTTCAAGGCATCGGACTTCTTCTGGAGGTTCTGCTCGAGAGTAGTGAAGTGGTCGGAGAGCTCCTTCCAGAGGAGAGTGCAGCTGGTCATGAGCGACGTCTGGCGCTGAAAGTCGTCGAAGCTCGGCGGCGGCTGAGGAGTTAGGTCGGCGGCGACCTCGCCTGGATCGGGGATCGACCCCATCGTTAGGGTTTTAGGAGGGAAATGGAAGAAAAAGCTCGGGCTGCCTTCAAGCGAAACCAGAGGTTTGGTGGTGGTGATGGTGGGAGGAAAAAATTGTAAAGAGGGAAATGGAACCCTAGAAATAGGAGGAGAGGAAGCTTTTGGTTACTTTAGCTACTGCAGAAAGAGACTGGAGAGAGAGAGGGTGGAGAAAAGGAGGGAAGGATTAGAGAGGGGGAAGAGGACAGGGAAGTGTGACGTGGAAGGGAGGATAAGGGAACACGTGGAACCGTTAATAAGGGCGGGAGGGTTAACATGAGATTAATTTCCTAGTAATATATGAACGCAGAAAGACAGCACTATTTTACTAATTAATCACCACCACAAACAATAATCACGGCGAGGCTAGATTAGATGAATCCAGAAAATTGAAACCCCCATTTAATTGTTTGCGATTAGAAAGTAATTTGAAATTCTGCAGTTAAGGAATGTTTGGGGAGAGAGGACGGAAAGGAAGGGAATTACTTTCACGGAAACCGAAGCCGGAGCAAAAAAAATTTAAAAATAAAAATGATAAAATGGCGGGTAAATGAGTATTTGAGGGAAAGGGATCAAAATGCAATTGTTGAGAAGTAGGGGGATGAGGTAGGAAATATTGAGTTTTGGTGGTGGGGCAGGGAAGCCACTGACTGACCCGCCACATGGGAAGAGTCAGATAAAGCGAAGACAGAACAGAAGCAATAACGAAACCCTGGCTGCCGGCTTGCGCTACTTTTATGATTTTTGGTTTCTTTTTCACTCCCTATATTTTACTCTCTTATCCTTTTTTCCTACGCCTTTTTATTACTGTACAGAATGCGACAAGGAGTACGCAATTGGGTTTGGGCGGGTTAGTTGCAGAGTTTCAGGGCATGCGCATCATTCAACGCCGCAGCCGAGACGATCATACTCGCCACCACCACCGGTCAAGTACTTATTTTAATCCCATTCCGATTTGGCGGTTCGTTTGGGTTGGTACATTTATATGGAAATTTCTAACGCATTAAAATGGAAATGATTGTGATAAATTAGATAATTTATTATGGAGTATGGATTGGGGTAGGTCAACTTATATGAGTATATAATTTAAATAAGAGACATTAAAATTGTTTATTTTTCATTATAAATTCGATAAACAAACTAAAATACAATATGATAAATTTAGTTAAATTATTCGATAAATTGAGGTTCTCGCCTAAATATGAGATAATAATAGTAAAATTATGAGTAATTTGACCGAGATTACCACTTTTTTGGTAAGGGTGGCAAATGAGATGAGTAAACACAAGTTCTGAGGAGTTTACCCATGTTTAGTTATTTTGCGACCGTAGAAGGTGTACATGGTACGTGCAAATTCACTATTTTGGCTTACCTTCTAAATTCAGTTGCAAATAGAAGAAAGATGAAGGGAAGGGGGAGGAGAGAGGGAGGGGAGTGAAGAGTGATTATGAATTTTTAATTTTGTTGCTATTGTTGTAGCCCTCATGAGTTTGGTCTGGTCAGGAGCGGACCAAAATGAACCGTTGCACACCCCTACCTTGTTCGGGAACATCATTTGACTCCGAAAGCAAGTTTCTCTAGGTTTGTCTAGTCAAATCGAGATTGCCATGTTAACAAATCAACTCCGAGTGGGAAACATGAGCTAGCAATGTACCTTGACCACAGGTTGGGCTTCAAACTTCGAGCATGTTATAATTTTTATAATTAAATACAATTTTTATAATTAATTACTATTCAAGTTACTATCTTAATAAAAAAATTTGGTAAATTATATATTTTAATATTTATGAATATTATATAAAGTTTTTATGTTGTTATTTTGTGATAATATTTTATAAATTTAATACACCTACTTTATAATAATATTATTTACTTACTTTTTATCATATTGGCACTGTTTACTTTTTCACCCAACAACAATTTCCCCCTTCACTTATAACCCCCACAAATTTAAACCTCATACAATTTTCTCCTAAACTCGCACCTCATCGAATTTGCAACTCCACCCTGTTTGTCAAACATAGTGTACATGAAATCATGCAAAAAGAGTCAAGAATGAGGCAGGTCAACTTGAGTAGTGTATCAATAATGAGTGAACTATAGTCTCCAATTCTCTAACCTAAACTACAAAATTCATTTGAATCTCGAATTATTGTTTGTCTTATTGGACTTCTGTTGAAAGTTGTATAAAAAGAGTACTACAATATAAGAGAGTTTTCTTACATAAATGAATTCCAAATACTTCTAACCCTCAACAATCCGGTGCAATTGCACCGAGTACATAAAAAAGCCTCGACTGAAAATCATGCATTTGATCACTTTGCAAATTTTCTTTCTCCCTAGTTATACGGTAACAAAGGGCTTGGTCTAATTAACTCATTACTAACTTTATGAAGACACTAATATTGTTCAATCCAGTGGGTGGGAAAATAACTTTATTATTATTACTAGATTCATGATAATTGCGAGATATGGTGAGCTTGCTTTAGTGCAGAGCGTAGGATTAGGACTAGGATGTTCGGCCGGACACACTGTGTTGTAAGCAACAGTAACTAGTAAACTAGAAAACTGTTAAAATGTCAAACGCAACATGATTGAGTGGGGAAAGGGAGTGGGGTTGGTGAGTCACTCTACTCTACTTTCAAATCTTAGCCCTTTTTAGTACGTTGATTGGTATATAACGAAGATTCTTCACGGTTGTTAATTAATCGATTTACTGATGAATGAGTCGGTATTCGATTCGAGAAAAATTCATTCGACACTTAACTCATCTTTAATTGAGTCGGCTCATGAACAAGCTTGTCAATTAATGAGTCGCGTTCGAGCAATGACATGTCCATCTCGAATTCTCGATAGGCTCGCTTACAAGCTCGAAAGACTACATAATGTGATTTTAAGCTGAGTTCAAACTCGAGCTTGAGTTACAATCTACATTTTATTTCTGCTCGTCAAACTCATTTGACTAGCCGACCTCTAACTTTTATGTTTGTAAACGAGCCGAGTTAAACTTTCCTAGTATAACTCGAATTTGAAATTATTGTAACGAACGGAGCCCAAACCATAGCAAAGTTCAACTCGCCTCGAATCATTAACACCCTAGCCATCGTTAAACTATAAACCTTGTAAAAATATCACTAAACTGTAAATCAAGTCAATCAAGTTTGACCATCACCTAGGACTCAAGCTCAGCTGCCAAATGTTTTTCGGGGAGAACACAATTCACACCTCTTGAAGAAAACCTCAAATGTAGGTGTTTTATTATTGTGGTGGCTTTATGAGAACAAGTTAAGTTACTCTTATTTCATTGGAGATTCAGTGAGAGCTCCAACTTAAATGTTATGACTATGTCTAGATTACAGAGAAACGATAACTTTTGATATGAGGTGTCAAATTGTGGTTTTGTGAAACCTTTTTCAATCTTAATTTCTATTGTTTTATAGCTAAAGGATGTATGCGAGAGGTATCACGCTTAGGGTGTCTTCATGATGACTATGGTCACCATTGCAAGACAGAGGTGACCACTTTGGCAAGTACCCTGATGCTAGATGACTTAGTGATATCCAAGTTGATCTCATTGTATGATATGATGTCATGCTTGACACATAAGTCGGTTGGACTACCATGTGAGAGTGTGCATGTGTGACACTTAGAATTGTTATGGCCATATTGGGTAATTACCATGCATTATACTCATGAGGCCTATCATGTTTGACTACTTGCACTTGGAGTGAGGGTGCACTTATGACATACCTACCCCTACTGGATGAGTAATGTGATGAAAACTAATGGGTTGTTTGGAAGTTGCAATTTGTGAGATTGTTACTATGCTTGTATTGATTAAAATGAATCTTTTTTAGCAAAACACAATACATGGATTGTTACGGTGATGCGACAGAATCTATCACTCAAAATAAGTAATTGTTGTATCTCAGCTTTTAACCGATGTGACATACACAATCACACATACCAAATGTTGTATTTTACAATGCATCAAATTCACCAATGCATATATAATATTATAAATGTATTCAGAACAATACATCTATTTAAAAACCACAACTTCCAAACGACCCCTAAGCCTCCATCACTTTTCACATACATTTGGATATTCATTCATGTTGTTATTTGGATTGTGATACATTTTGGGGTATTTCTGAAACTTATTTGGTATTCTAGCATTAGATGGTTGTTGCTTCAACTGCAATGAGAGGTACATGGTGGGAAACCAGTTTACCGACGGCCACCTGATGCTATTCGTGGAAAGCTGGGAGGATGAGGCCGAAAAATTGGTTGCCAAGGAAGGGAAGGAAAATCAGGAGGTGCCGACTCATTTTTAAAGTTAAGGTTGCTCTCAAGGGGAGGGAACGATAAAGTTGGGTCTCCATCACTTTTCACGTTTGGATATTCATTTATGATTTATGGTGATTTGGCTATAATTTGGATAGTGTGATACATTTTTGGGATTTTGTGGTAGTTATTTCACCATTTGAAACTTTAGCATTAAGAGTTAAACATACTTAGTTTAAGGAAATTATTGTAAACGGTGGATTGGATTAGTAAGTTTAATCAGAAAAAAGAATTTCCCTAAAACGACCTACTCGCTTCTCTCTCTGAAACTTGGCCAACTTTCTTCTCTCGTCCCTCTTTTCCATCAACCATAGTTGGACCCTTCTTCCATCCCTTTCTTCTTCTCTAGGCTTCCCCTGTCAATCCCTAATTATATTCCCTAATCCCTCCAAACCCCTAATAGTAATATCCCGCTCGGTTACAATTATTTGACTCGATTATCGACACCCCAGATCCCGATTTTCATCATCGTGCTTGACACCTATGTACTTGGGTGGCCGGGGTTGATGAATGTACACTATCCTTCAAGGGTGACATCATACGTGTAGGGTATTAGTAAGAGCTACTCACGCTAACCTCCTTAGATGGGATGATGTTGTGCTTGACATCTAAATGCTTGGTGGAGGTGCACTAACCAACTAGGGTGATGCCATGCTACACCAATACTTGATGGGTTGGGATACTCGCACTGTCTCTTTGGAGTGATATCACGCATGCTTAGAAGATCGACGAGGAGGTATTCATAGAGGTAACACGGTTAAATTGGTCTTACAAACATCAATCACTCTTTAAATTTAATAAGTTTTTCATGTCAAGTTAATTTTAGTGTAGTGCTAAGACCAAACTAGCAGATTGATTTTGCAACAGTTGTTGTACTTGTGTGTACAAATATGCTTCTTTATAAAGAGCACTGTGCATCACATCCCCTCCTATCTAGTGGGTGGCTCAAATAATTGAACCCACTCCTGCACCTTTCATGGTGATATTGATTTTCCCCCCCAACTCCATTAACTAAATAATTTATCACTGACAAAAGGGTTGTCTTTCCTGAAAATTACTCCATCGAACCACCGTTCAATAAGCAGCATGCCCTTAAATAAGTTCAAACGTTATCACTCCCTATCTATTCCCAACCAAATCAACAATTGGGTTTTTATTGTTGGTGGTGGGTTTGGTTTTTGATCTTCAACTTGGAAGGAGGAAGAAAAGTAAATGACAAATTTATTATGGTCGACAGCAGCAACAAAAACCAAACAAAAACAGCCTTCACCAATCCAAGTAGCTGACTATTACTGCCCATTTGCTTTGTTTGGATTTGCGCAACAACCAACGAATTTGTTTTACTACAAACCAAACCACATGACTTCTTTATAGTCACTGTCTGCCATTACCCCCCCTATTTTCTTGCCACTACACAATTTTCACTATACTAGTCGGTCTAAATTCCACATTGAAGTAGTCTATTATCAGCCACTCAATCTTTCCATCTCCATTCTCCTAAGTCCTATCCCAATCCATAGCCATGCACATCAACATGGAAACAAAGTTGGTGGGTGGGTGGGTGGAGGTGGGGCCTGCCTGCCTGCATACCACCACTCACTGTCATTCACTCACAAAATTAACAAACACCATCCAACGTGCCTTCGCCCAATAGTTGCAAGACTGACTGTATAGGAGGTCTAACCAAGAAAATATCTTATCGTAATGGACGAATTCGGATGAACTGCGATTTCAGCCTAAAATATCCTATTGCTGACTTTTCCACTACACCAACCAATACGATTTGACAATTCTCAGTTACAAAGTTTCACAAGTTTGCCACATACGTTATTATCAATCATCAAAACGTTCTCACATATCGACTCTTGTAATGACATGTTAGATTTATGACCTCTTACAGAATGTTGTTAACGTACTAGGGTATCATTTCGCCCCGAAAACCTCGAAACTGTCACTGCAAGTGCAAGGTAAGGAGCAACCAAGCCGGGTACAGAGGATACTGACTGACACCACGCACCAGCCGTTTTGCGGCCCTCATCTTCTGAAATCTGAACGCATAAATATAGACTAGAGGGGCTCACTTATCAAATGAAGATAGATACATATGAAACTCTCTATATGCAATCTGGTCCTTCCTAAATACCACCTCGAATTCTGCCAACGATAATGAAATATCGTAATTGACCAATACGAAGCCTTTTCCCCTCATCTATCTCTACAGGGCCAAATGGACAGCACAAGGTTACAGACTGGTGTCGAAAAGCAATGAGTCTAAGTACGAGCGCAGCTCTTTGTTACCTCTAGCTGATTGTGTTATCGAGGAGGATGACTGACTTGCTGGTACTCTCGAAGGCTCTCGATCGTGACCTTCCTCCGTGTCTCGAAATCCACCCTGTGAAGATCAGCAGCTGTGGCAAGATACCCGTACAGAATCCTCTGCTTGTCCCCACTGTGATGGTCAACCTTCACGAGGTTTGGATTCCTGTCATCGTCGTCTCTGCCTAAAGCCACCGGCTGTATATGTTCCCATGCGATTCGCCCATGATTCTGCATCGCAAAGTGATCGGACAGCTGCACGGCCTCCTTCAAGCCTGACATGTCCCCGCTATACTTTACAAGTGTCATCCCTTGATGACCGTCTCTTCCGTACAGTGATTTGGACTTGCCACCCGGAAATCCAAGACCTGAAAAGCCGCATTGTTATAGAAAGGGGAATCAGAAAGCGGAAAGAGATAAATGTGATTTCCACTGTACTATGACCAGCAAGTATGGCAACACTAGAATCTGCATTTACAATGAAAAGGAGGCAGGGAGAGTATCTGCCAAATGTGAAACGAGGACGGCTCCATTTGCTCAGTAGCTGGATAGATGTCGAGAACCAAATAGCTGATACCACTCTCTAAAGGATCTGGCTCAATTGCTCAAAGGATAGATAGGAACATCCATCTGACCTTAATTGATCCTCTGCTTCTCAGCAGTTTAACTTGTAAGAAATAATAAGTTCATCGACAAAACTCTAAGACAATAATTCTAATAGACCTAATACGTAGTGCCAGAATTGTAAGAGATAATAAGTTCTTAGAAGAAACTGGGTACTTAATAAGTTTTCAAGTTCAGCTAGATTCGGCTTCAGTGCCTGGCAGGCAATGAAGAGATAGGTTCTGCATCATCATTATCGCCTAACAAGATGGTTAGGCCTTAACAAACCTGTGTTTGTAACAGGAAAAAAGGCACAGAACAGCACATTCCTAAAATGTTCACTAATGTAGCTGCTTTAGACAGCTGAAGTGGTATATTCTCTCCACGATCCAAAACACTAGCTGAGATCCTAAACTCACGTGAGCATAAATTTCAAACAGAAAGTGTAACTTGCAAAGTAAAACTGGGAGAAGAGCAGCTAAGAGCAGTAACTGTCTATGACAGTGACTTCAGTTCATCTGGATTGTAAATTTGTAATTGCTGAAAAATAGAGTTTCAACCTACCATTGTCCCCTATTCATGAAGGTCAATCAAGGACCTACATATAGCAGCTACTATTCTAGTTCACAGACACAATAAAGGGCTTGAGGAACACTAAAAGGAAAGAAGAAGAAGAATGCTAGACTGCTATCAGCCTTTGGTTCAATGCCCTAAGCCCAGTTTCAGTAACTAGAGTTATCCCCAAAACATCAGGAGCCAATTGGTTCAATTGCTTGATTCCTGAAAAGCTGTCCACGATATAAATATAAGACCGTTGAGATATAATACAGAAGAAATGGCCAAAGCCCAATTGCTAAGAACTGTGCAGCAGCATCCTTTCCCATCATCGCCCAAAAGAAAATCAAAATGCAAACAACCTATTCGTGGTTGTTGGAAGCAGGATGTCAGCTATACCTCCCCCTCCTCTCTTAACCTTTTCCTCCAAAAGAGAAACAGGGAGGCCAGAAATATTGAGAAGGAAAGTTGTTCTAAACTTTCTGAAGAACGGAAGTTGGCGCAACTCCACTCTTTAACAGTAAGGTTTACCTAGAAAACCAGAGCTAGGCTGCAGAATCATATCTATAGAATTGCTAGCAACTCATAACTAAAGAAACTAAACAAAAGAAAGAAAAGGAGGCGAAAGGACTCCAAAACCAACAACTCTTCCAACATATCTATAGAATTGCTCGCAACTCATAACTATAGAACAGTATCTTCTTAGAACACTTCCCTTCGGTGGTGCCTTTTCACTAACACTGACTGATTTTTAGCTGTGTTTTTAGCAGCCGCCTTCAGAACTGCTAAAGTCTAAAGCAAGTTCTTCTACAGATATTTGTCAAAGATAGAAACCCTTCTTGGATACCACTGATCCCCTTTAGGAGCATAAATATACTGTTTGAAGGGTGGTACTCGATAAGAACATAAAGTTTTTCTATAAGACTCCAATGACAATAATGCCGGTTTACTACGCACCCCCAAAGGGGAAAACAGTGCAGGATACCACAAGGGCACAAGTTGTCAGAGCAACCTGCTACGCAAATGCAACCCATCCTCCATTCAGAACCAAGGAATCCATGGATCTGATATGACACATTGTTCCAAAACAAACAAGAACAATTGAATGAAGGGTTGCACTATACCTCTTATTTTGCTATCCATGGCTTTGTTTCCCAAACCTTCCAAGCGTCCATCTTTACCCTTTCCTGTAACTGTGTTATGAATAATCACCAAAGGTGGCCACAAAATCAAATCGTTCTGGTTTGCTGCTGATTCATGGGCAGGTAGGAACTGGTATGCCCTTGAGCTATCAGGGATCTTCGTGAAGTTCCATCCCATTAAAACACACATGGCTTTGTGTAAACCCAAGTGATCCACATGAGATTCAGCCTTTTCTGAGTTGTATGTATGCATTATAAGAGCATGCACATCTGGAAAATCTTTCGACCTGTATTTTGCAACATGAAGGGCATCGAACAATAACAAATTCAGGCAATGATCCCACGTGTTTGCTTTAAGTCTAAATACCAAACAGAATTGGCCGCAGCCTCTCCAGTCAGTTCTATCACAAAACAATAAACAGAAAAAGAAATAGAGTGGATACAGCTAACGTGTTGTCGGATTCCATTCCAAGTCATGTATCAACCTTTTGAATTGTGTTCAGATACAGTTGGAGAAGGAAATCAGAGTCAAATCAGCATGCGTGTACAACTCCACTCCTCGAGAAACCAAAAGAGTAAAAAGCCGAATTCACTGGTAACTTTGTAGTATATCATATAAAAAGGTGAATTGATATTCCAGTACAAAGACTGAACAAAAGTTGTGCAGGAAGATCAGCCATCTATTTTCAAAAGACGAAGTGCATGGTTGGTTATCTGTACACAGGTGAATCGTTCTCTATAAACAAACAGAAACGAATACCATGATAATCCCGACTAATGTTATAGGCCACCGGACAGGCTAAATTTGTAGCCAAGAAAGACATCAAACCACAAAAACTAACAAGTTCAGCGGTTAAATCTTGAACGTTTTTGTCCAAATGGTATCAAACCAAAACTATAGCCTCCAAGTCATCCATTATCATATTAAGGCAGCAGATGAACATTCATTGATGAACTAATGATCTAAACCAACAATAACCGAATGGAAATAGTAAAAAGAATAAAGCGATACAGCCTGCCAGTTAGTTTCCACAAAGCCCTATGTGCTAAGAACACATGCACACTGCAAGTCATTAACTGTGCAACTGAACATTCAAAAACATGAACACTCAGAGCAAGCAGACAAGTAGGAAAGGATTAACAGAAAATGAGATAATTGACGCCTAGTAATGGAAATTGCTACACATAGCCATGAAGCCAATTGTCTTCTAAATAAGAGTAAAGGAAGACAAAACACTAAACTCCATTGTCAAGTCAGCCCTAAAATCATATGCGAACTTGTCCACTGATAGCCAACCTGAAGCACATAACCCAGCCACCCCAGGCTCATAAGTAAAGCTGGCAGAGAAACAAACCATATGTTAACTTATCTATATAAAAATAAAAATAAAAAAAACGAGTATCCAGGACAATAAAAGGCGAGTAAAAATTTAAGAAGGCCTAGTAAATACTCCCAGTAATTTAGCAGATAAGTGGGAAGCCTCCTTGTCTAATCTTAACCCGAAATCCATTAGTCCAAAGTGTAATGAATCAGGTGCTTGAGGACAGAGCCTGATATGCCCGAAATTTGTAGCATGAAAAGGAAGGCTTATGTTTGACACAGTTGCTGGAATTTAGAGAGCAATGAAATTTAGGGATCTAAAGGGTTGCCTCTCTAACCAAGGAGCACGATTTCATATGTGAATCATCAAGAAGGCTCTGAAAATCTAATCAAAGATTCAATAGAACTAAGATCTATCATCCTGTTATCCTTAGCAATAAACCACCTTAAGGAGGCTGCAACATTTACTAAAGGAAAACAACCTTTAGGACAATCATGTGTAAGTAATAAAGACTATAGCTTACATAATAAGAACCTTCAATATAGAGAAAGAAGAAAACTACAGCAACCTACGTGGGAATTAGGGTTCTTGATGGGGAGATTAAGAGAGAGGATTGAGCCACTACTATTCTGATATAGCATTGGTCTCGGTGCTAGCACCTCGGTCAAAAATGGCAAAAGCAATTTATACAACCAATTGCTGTTTATGTGATCTTCAGGCAATGTAGTAGTCTCAATGTGAACGGACTCGCAGTTCTTTGATTAAAGCACAAGTCCGACAATCGTTAAGACTGAAGTTTGATTGCTTTCCTTCAGGTAAATAACACAATGTAAAGGAATGCCGTGCAGAAGCCCAAGCAGCAGCCGGGAATGAGTCCCTGCATACTAGTTAGCAGCTATGTGTCTCGGAGGAAGGTAGCTAGGAAAGTACTAAAGCCACAGCCACAGCCACTCACATAAACACTACATGATCACAATCTCAAGCTCGTCAAAATAGAAAGAATGAAGCTACAGCATCTAAAATATATAAAAGTTCCTTCCTTAAAGGTGCAGCAAGAGAGGAGCACATAGGACCTAAACCAAATATTGAATTATTAAGGGAGGAAAGAGATTTCCTCCTGCCCAACGCGGTACATGAGAAACCAACATAGTCGCAGCACGAAGTAACGGAGTAAATTAAAGCAGATATTCCTTCCCGAACCCTGATGCCCACAAGCAATGTAGTTAGATAATTATAAATGACATAAATAACAAATGGAACCCCACTGGTCATAGTCTAAATACCCCGTGCTTCAAACAGTCATTCATTGTCAAGTCAGCAATCCTATCATATGTAGGAGTTGCCCAGTGCCCACAATCAACCAACCAGAGGGACATACCCAGCTCAAGAGTAATAGTTCACATAAACAAAACAAGTTGAAAAAGAAGTAGCTTTCAGGACCACCAAAAGACAATGCAAACAAAACAAATGAACAAGTTCCCAGGAACTAAACAGACACCCTCTCTCACTCGGAGTCTCAAAAAGTTTGATGAACTCAAGTGCTTGGGGACAGAGTCTGATGTGCCTAGAGTTTGTACTGTGTAAAGCGAGCAGGAAAGGAAGGTTTCTGTTCTGGTATAGTTGCTGGGATTTTAAGAATCAATGGAAAATAGGGCAAAAAGGGTTGCCTCTCCAACCAAGGAGCAGGATTTCACCTGAGAATCCACTCAGGAATAGTTGAGTCAAACCAAATATCAATAAAACTCTGTTCTTTCATCCTGAAATCTGTAGCTGCAAACCACCCTACACAGGAGGTGGAATCTTTACAAGAGAAGCTTAATTCTACGGCAATCATCAGTAAATACTACACTTGAGCTCACATAATTAAAGCTTCATATAAAGAAAAAGAAGAAAACAAATAAAATTACAGCAACCTTAACACACATAGAGTAGACAAAAGAGGAGGGGGGGGGGGGGGGGGGGGGATCAGGAGTTAGTGATGGGGCTCTTAAAAGGGAGGACTCATCTACATTAAAAAAAAGGGAGGATTCATCCAATCCTATTCTGGTATGGAATTACTTTCTTGTTACTTCCTTCATAGAAAAAAATGGACAAAACAATTTACACAAGAAACTGCTACTGACATAGTTTGACAACTACCAAGTAGTCTGACTGAGAATGGGAACACTTCATAGTTATTCATTAAGCAGAACATTGGACATTAGTTTCAACTGTTTGTTTATTTATTGCTCTCCACAGAACATTCATTGGTGCTCATTTCTCTAAATAAAATGTGGGGTTGTTATGGTGGAAGGATTTCCATGCAGTAGTACGAGAGCAGGAAGGTAGCAAAGAAAGTATAAAGAACCCACGGTCACTAGCATAGATGCTACGAACTCATAAGCTCAAGTTCCTTAATGCAGAAAGAATGAGGCTATACCATACGAAAAATATAATACCATTCTTCCTCGAAAGTGCACCAGAAGAACCAGGAGGACAAAAACAATGCTCAAACTACTATCGAAAGCAAGGGTTCCCCTCTTCCTCTCATGCGGAAATGCACAAACATCTAAGTAACAACATTAACTAACGAAAGAAATTAAAGCAGATAACCCTCCCTGGTTCCGTCAAGCAATGTAGTAAGCAAGTTAAAATATAATTATCCACCCCTAGCTCGAAGACATAAATAACATACTATCTTACACTACGAGAAGAAAACCTTGTATAGGAAAGACAGATTCACAAGTAGAGTCGAATCACTAGAGAGTGTAAAATACAGGAGAACTGAAACAAACCTGTTGCAAGCGACACAAGGAATCCGTCCATGCTTGCCGTTCTCTAAATAACGCCTCCTCTCTGCTTCACTGTCATTGATCACCTTAGCAAAGTGTAGAAAAGCCTCCTTTAGCTTGTTCTGGTCCACTTCAAGGTGCTTATGGATCATCCCCACGCTGTCACCACTAATCCTCATAAACTTTCCTGGCCTCAGTTCATCAGCCCTCATAAACGGACTGCTTGGCCCGGCCCCAGCGGAGTGAAACCCGTTAGGGTTATTGCTGAACTTGAACTCGTCGTCCCTACCCCCAGCGTGCTTCCTCTTCATAGCGACACTGTGGTTTTGATCTCGACTCTGATTGCCATCACGGAACCCTAAACCTTCAGGACTCATGGGCGGGAATCTGAGATCTCCACCGGGTGGGAGCGGACGAGGGGGAATAAACCCGGCCGGAGGGAGGTTCTGGTAATCTGGAGGAAGAGCAAAGTAGGAGCGAACGCTGCCGTCTGCAAGGACAATGGTCCTTCTTTCCAGCATGTGGAAGCCATAGGTGGGAGTAGGAAGAGGGCCAAAGTCGGGGAAAGGGAAGGCTGCACCTGGTGGCCGAGCAAGAGGAGCGGCAGGCTTGGGAGATGGCCCTGTCTTCAGCTTCGGCGAAGGTTTTGAATTGGGATGAGGTTTAGCGGGTTTTGGCTGGTTGGATTTCGATCCCGACAGTGGATTGTTGGCGTTAGCAGCGGCGGAGGAAGAGGACTCCCATCGAGATTTCCTCTGCGATGCGGAAGCGGAGGAGGAAGGCTTCAAGGACGAAGAATTTTGCTGGGAGTTGTTAGTCATATCCGGGAAACAGCAGAGGATTCCTGCAGCGCCGGGGACTGCCGCCGACTGCTGGAATCGAAATTCACCGGCGTCTGAATTCTAGCAACAGAGGAAAGAGGAGCGAGATAGAGAGATCTCGTCTCCTATTTTCAACGGAAAGGCGAGTCATAGAACCGGAGACTGACGTTTGCCGGCTGGGATATAAGAGGGATATAGAGAGAAAGATACCAGAACGACGTCGGAGGCTTGATCCAAATGACTAACTTAACCTTCACGAATCCTCAAAATAACAGCTGTGTCCATTTCCATTCGGATAGATTCGAAGCTTCATCCGGCGGCGGAGAATGAGCACTGAGAAGTGAAAGGTAGAGTGAGAAGAACCGAATAAGCAGTAGTTCAAGAAAAAGAAAATGACGTAAGCTGAGATATCCGACCTGAAGTGCGCGATTGGAGCAAGTTGCCGAACTGAAATCGACGGCAGAACAATGGCGCCGACCGCCGCGAGTTTTGCAGTGATTCCATGCCTTTCCGTCTCTGTCAAAGCACCAACTGATTGTTCCGGTAAGTATAGAGCACCACTCCCTGCTTCTGATTCTGAATCGAATTTCCAGATGATAATTTCATTGTCGCTTTCGCAGATAAGCAGCTGCAACAGAATCAAGTCGCTGCCGAGACTCGTCGGCGATTCTTGCTCTCTGGTGCTATTTCCACACTATCCATTATGTCTCCCAGCTGGATGCCGACGCCATTGCCTGCCAGAGCCGAAGGAGGACAACCGGCAAAAGACGAAGAGGAGGAGGGCGTGGTCGGCGCAATCAAATCGCTTCTGGATCCAAATGAGAAGACGAAATCGGGGAAACTGCTTCCGAAAGCTTACCTGAAGTCGGCGAGAGAGGTGGTGAAGACGCTGCGAGAGTCGCTGCAGGAGGATCCCAAGGACAATGCCAAGTTCAGGCGGAACGCCGACGCAGCCAAGGAATCCATTAGGGAGTATTTGGGCAACTGGCGGGGCCAAGAGAAGATCGCCGGCGAGGTAAAAGTTCCAAGATTGTTCACTCATTCACAGAAGATTGATAGTGCTATATCTGGCAAAACCTTCCATTAATCAATCATTCCAACCTGCAGGAATCGTACGTGGAGATAGAGAAGGCGATAAGAGCACTGGCGAGCTTCTACTCAAAAGCAGGGCCGTCCGCAGCCCTACCGGAATCTGTGAAGTCTGCGATACTGGATGATTTGAAGACCGCTGAGGAGTTCTTGTGAGAATGTACATATAAAATGGATTCAACTCGATAAATAAGCACTGAATTGAAATGGAAAGCGTGGAATGGAGGAACAATTTCCATCTCAGTTTCTTACTTGCACACATTGGAAAAATTTGTATCGAGGAACCAGTAGTCTTTTCCCGAGATGGGATAACAAAAAAAAACAGGGGAGGGAGCGCCTGCTACGTAAGAATCGAATTCGTTCCTCTTCTTTTTGTTACAGGGTGGTGGGAATCAAAGTTCCAAAATCTGGAACCCCGCCGCCGCGCAATCATCGGCAATACCAAACTTATATACACGTTCTAAGGGTGACTGCGCACGAGATAGCTCTTACTCCCGACATCCCATTCAGCATACAACAGCGGCTGGCAGCCTCAGCCTCACTCCCTTCACTGCACGCAGTGGTATTGATCACTCACACTCTTCCCGGAAGGACCGAAACTTGGAAAAGGCATATAACAATATCGTCGAGCATCCCTGCGGGCATCCCAGCAGCCCGTGTGTACAGAGAACAACGCACCGAACTCCTTGAGATCACGCGCCAAACTAGGTGCCCCAAAATGCTTACCTCATCGTCAGAGTAGTGCAAGTGAAAAAGGAGTGCAGCAGCTACTCAGATTCCGTTTTGCCTTCACTCGCATCAGTATCGGAACCATGCTCATAAGTTGCTGCTGCATGGTTTGCTGCTTCAAGGCCTGATCCCAATTGGTATTCCTCCCCGGGAGCATCGATAGTGGTCGGCTCAGAGTCTCTCGGGAGACCAACCAGCAATGTAGTTTGTTCAGTAGAGAACGAACCTTTATATTCCTCCTCGGAATTAGACTCGCTTAATCTATTGAATGCTTGGGCCTCGTCAGTTCCATTATCCCCCAAATCATGTGCCGCCTCTTTGACTTCTCTCCGACTGCTCATAACAGTAGGCATCCTCAAATGGTTAGCAACAGACGCTGATTCATCTACTGCCTCACCATTTACTGGTTTATGTTCACGAGAAGCATCTGGCGAACTGCTCATTTCAGAAACATTGTTCGAGGAAATGGGAAGAAGAAACTGGTTTTCGGGAATAGCATGAGAAGAGATATCATCATTCTCCCGAGAGGCTAATTTCACGTTGGACATTCTGGATTTATCCAACTTCTTGTCCACTAGCCCTGAATCTGAGCTGACGCTTTGCTTAATCTCGTGGGATGCATCCAAGGAAATCTTTGAAGAGTTTGCAGAAGCAACTGGACTTGATGTGCCAGATTTTGCCCTAGCCGATTCTCCAACTTTTGCTTCAATGTTATTATGTTCAAGACCACCACTGTCGCTTTCTCGAAGATAATCTCCAGCTGAACCACTATCAGCTGAAGCATTGTCCATAAACTTATCACCTTGGGGTCCCTTCTCTTTCACACCTATGAAGAAAAATAAGGAGTTCAGTAACATATGGGATCAAGTCGGTGGGGAAAAATCAATCAACAAAATAGTAAATGGGAGAAACCTTTATTAGTGTTCATTTTCTCCCCATTTTCCTGCTGAAGTAAGTGCTTCTGAAGCATATCCACACCAGGGAACACCATCGTATTCATAGACTTCAGTTCTTGCTTAAGGGATTCATCAAGGCTAGTGAACCCAAACACCTCCGTCCATGTGTGCATTAGCTCAGAAATGGCAGGAATAATTAGCTTCTCAACCTTCAATGAGCGGAGTACCTGGCGAAATATAAAAACCAATGATAAAAGTGAGAGGAGCGTTGACTGAATTGGAAAAAGAAATTATATATGGTAACAAAAAGGGCATTCGAGAGGTTTAAAGAGAACTTTTACCGATTCAACAGCACTAAAAAGACGTCTGCACATTCCCTGACGTCTGTATATGTGGCGAGTTCCAATGAAGGGCATTTCTGCCAACTCTGTCCCATGCAATCTAATAAAGAAAAGGTTAAACTAATTGGTCAGACCAGTCGCCTTCTCAAAACTCAATACCCAAACAAAGCATATGCCAGCAGAAAGTGGACCCACAATCCAAACCAGATCCCCCATGCATGGACCTAAGAGTAAAACTAGCATCGCCAATGAATGTAGACATGTAGTAATGCAACCTAAGCTGAACTAACTTAGCATGAATTCACAAAGCGATTCATCTGTAACATTAAGCTTCAACTTTGCATATCTCACTTCGGTTTTACCAGAGATTAATTTCCGAGGATCGGGATTGAAGAAGCTTTGACTAACGAAAACATATCTTCAGAGCTTTTTACTGCTATTATGTTCCCACTAGTTTATACTTAAAAACATAAATGCAATGAAGTCCACGTGGCATATATAAATCAGTCTCATACCTTATGGATGCAGCAGAAATTATTTCATCACCCCTCTCCAAAATCAAGGTAAAGAACCCACTGTAGTTGAGTCGATTGAAGTTTGACCTACAATAATAGGGAACAGGCGTAATTCGGAATGACAGTACTGATGTTCCATCCAAAAAGAAAGGAACAAACTTAATATAGGTACAACAATTTCTAACAGACTGGAGAAAAAGGGAAGATGGATTAATAAAGAATGGGTTCCTTCAGATAAGTCATAGACTATTAGACCAGCTGTTAGAAAACAAATTCCCTAATGACAAACTGATATGTACTCTTAAGTTTGAGTGTAAGCATTATCAATGAATGAATACGCCTCAAAAACCATCTATGTCGACAGAAAAGGCCAAGTCTCGACACATGCAGTAACAAACTTCACAGTGAAAATGAGAAGGGAGGCAGTATTCCCCACCGATAAGAACAAAATGCTTACCCACAATTATAAAGAACACCATGGATCAAGTTGATCCCGCTCCTCCTATCAATTATTGGCAAAAAGCATTCATCCATTACAGACAAAGCCACAGCTAGCTTTGAATTCCCCTCCACCCTATGAGGAAGTCCCTGAAGAGATGTATCCAGGTCAAAGTCTGTTCTCCGAATAAGAGACCATGAAAATCCTGATTCCAGCTCCTGTTTGACGCCAAGATACTTCCCCAATTGCTCAAAGAGCTGAAAGCAACACAAGTAGGGGGTAAATAGAACATATCTAGATAAGAAAGAAGCACGCGGAAAACAACTGAAAATACGCCGATCCATTACATGCCAGATTTTGAAAGTGGAACACAAAAGAAGCTCAATACTCCAAAATAAGGATCACCACATACAAAATTCTGCTGACATCCCCAACTCGATAAGAACCAATAACAGAAATCTATTTATTCTTGTGATTCCAGACTTCATAAAAGCTAAACTTGCAGAAGCTACATAAGCAAAAGATGAAGACCATTAATCTGAATCCCGCTAATCTACAAATGGCATGTGAGTTTCAAATAATCTAGAAAGCCTAAGCTAAATATGCTTTCAAGGAAACTCCTCGACAATTCAGTTTCCAAACGAAAAAAATAATAATAAAGAGAACAATTGGAAGCATATTGCTTCTGATAGCAGTAGCACAAACATCCTCGTGCGTTAAATGTCCTCTACCAAGAACTATCAAGAATCAAACAAAGCCCGGTCCTTTACACAAACAAGAGCATAAAATCTTAACAACGTCAATATGTTACAGAAACACGGGAAAACAATTACCTCTCCGCACTTTTTGCTACAGAAGCAAGATTTAGAACTATCACCCTCAATAGTGGCAGCATCCATACCATTCATGCAGGATTCATGATCTGAAAAAGGGTAGAAAGTTGGAAGAGAAGGGGAAGGAATTAAGTAAAATATTTAAGAAACAAGATAATAAGATTATTGTACATTTTCTAGCACATAGGCTGCACGTCAGAAGTGCCGAAACAGTTGGATCATCATCATCCGTAAGATTGTCACTGGCTGAACCACAGAACTTGCAAGTACAGTTTGGGCAATGCCAATCACCTGTAGGCAGCATCTGAAACAAGAAAGGAGTCCTCTTCAAAAAGCATGGTAAAAAAAAGGAACTCATTCCCGCTCTATAAATCTATCTATCTACCTATCTCACTCACACACACACATCAACCAATATAGTTAACTTTCCTCCAAGCAAGAGAAACAGAAAGTGAAAGAACCAGCAAACTGTCACTACCAGGAGCATAAACACCCTCCAACGACTCAAGAACCAGAGCCAAACTGAAGAAAGGGCCTATTAACTGTTATTGAGAGAACACAGAGAAAAAGCAATAACAACTAGCAACAGAAACTAGTATTACTTGTTCTAATAAAAGGAATAATACAACGTAAATTAAGATTATATATCCACAGTAGATTATTTAACCTCACCTCAATGTCCAGGCAGCTCTGATGAAATGTCGATGGACAACCATCGCAGCATATCAAATCTCCACCATCACCACAAAGAGCACAAGTATCATCATTCGGATCATCACCATCAACATCTACCGAGTGAAACCCAATATTCTCAGCAGCCTCTAGTCTATTCCATGCATCAATCTGGCAATCCAAAAGGGAAACCCCAGAGTCCAGATATATATTTTGAAAGGGTTGTCGGAGTTTACTTCCTGCATGGATCTCAAATTTTGAAACTGTAAGGATTTTACTACAGCAGCCACAATGGATTCCATCTCGTGTTACCCAGCCCTCCAGCAAAATTTTTGTCCGCCTCCTATTCATGTATCTCACCTTTTGACTCAACTGCACAGCTCCAGAGTCAACTAGCCAAGAGAGCAGTGTTCTTTTTCCACTATAAGGTACAAAACCATTACCATCTGAGTTCAAACCCTGGTTTGATCTTCGTATTAGTAGGGTGCATCTGCCTAGTTTTCTGCTTTTCCTACCATGGTGACTATTGTATCCAGAGGACAATTTTTCTTCGTTGTCGTGCAAAGTATGCATCGAACAGTGGCCCTTGGAGGTTATGAATGAGCTCAATTTCTCATCCTGACTCTGGCTGTCCATACTCTCCTCATCATACCGGCTGCTTGATGCCTTTCGCCCTACTGCTTCCCTTGCATTGTCACTCTGGCGGCTGTCTCGTTGTTTCTTTCTCATTTCCTTCTCCATCTTCTTCCTAGTATTCCTTGTAAGTTGACGGAGCAGCTCATCTGGTAATGGTGTAATTTGAGAGCATTCCACCTTAGCCTTTACAACCTCTTCATCTTCATTCAACTGCTTTAGAAGAGCGTCATATGCCTTGATGATGGACCAGTATGCTGTTCCTGAAGGGTTTATGTAAACCGCATCCAAATAGTCCCTGTTCCTCCTAGGCCTGTAATCTATTGTCCAGCCAGCATCTATAAGCATCCCCCTAATTCTTTCACGCAGCTTTTGTTTTTCAGTGCCAGAACCACGCTTAAGTTTGCCTTCATTAATTTTGCTTGGAAGAAGGTTACTAGGCGTAGTCTTCTCATCTCCATAACTTGTCCCCGTTCTTGATCTAAGACCCCGGCCGTTCTTTGGTCTCGGCTTCAAGGAAGTATCACTGTCATCAGAATTAATACCAGTGCTCACAATTTTGCTTGCAGAGATCATCACCTTCTGAGAATTGCTAGGTTCTGCATACTTGGCTCTCATATTTGCTTTCTTTGTCAACAAAATACCACTATCACCAGAATCCTGGTCACTCGCATTATCATCTTCACTTTTCATCGAATTCAGAAGATTCATCGGTTTCTTCTCTCTGCCAATGAATGGAGTTGGGCGCTTACGAATGTTCTTCTTGGAAAATTCATCTGTCCTCACACCCTTCCTTACTTCCTCAGGCTCCGTGGCATTGTAACCATTGAGAGACCCACCAACCTTTTTTTTCTTGTTTACCATAACCTTTAGAACACCATTTTTACCTTGAACCCGAATTGGTTGATCTGATTCAAAGTCATCCCTCGGAGCTGGAGCCGGCAGTCGAACCCCCTCCCTGGCAGAACGATCACCACGAGTCAAACCACTGGCCCTCTCGAAATATGAAGCCTGCCTATTCCCAGGAAGAGCATCTCTACTTGAACCAGAATTGTATTCTCTTTCAATGCTACCTCTACCCACAGTCATTGAGCCATAAAACCTCCGACTATCAGCTCCACCTTCTTGAGGGCGCTTCCTTCTCATCGATCCCGCCTCACTACCTTCATCCTCATCAAAATCAAACACATCTAACCTGGTCCTCGCCCGGTCAATCAAATTATCCCTATCCCTAACAATGCCATCCATCTCACTACGCCTACCACCCTCTCCCCTGCTCCTCTTCCTAGCAATCCCACTCTCCTCTTCAACACCCGCATCAAAATCATTCACGCCATTACGAATCTGAGAAGTTCCAGGCGCTAACCTTGCCCGTGAACGCATTAACAGCTCGTCACTGGACCCGGCATCGCTGAAATCCAACCTCGGCCTCTTCTTCTTCTCCTTCTTCTTCGATTCAAAAGGCTTCCGCGAGCCAGAAGAGGCCGCCACTCCCACGCCATCACTCCCTTTCTTCCTCACAATCAAACACCCAGAAGGCCCCTTGCTCTTGACCACGTACCCCGACGGCTCGCCAGATCTCCTCCCCTTCTCCATTCCCGCCCCCAGCGAAGAATGCTCCAACCCGAAAAACCCTACAAAAAGAATTACCCTAAATTCTCCTCAAAACCATCACCCAATTCAGCAGAACGAAACAAATCTGAGCAAACCGAGGCGACAACTATTAGATCTGATCCCTAAGAAACGACGAAGACAAAAAAAAATCAGTTTATCCTTCTGCACTACGCCGCCAGGGAGTCCGTCAAGCGAGAGTGGCGCAGCGCACCATGCATGACCCGCTTTGATGCCGCAATTTCCCGGCAGAAAGATCGGCGGTGGCGGAGGAGGAGGAAGATGAGGAGAAGAGCGCCGGGCGAAGAAGAAGAGATTGCCGGTTTTCTGTTTTCTTTATAAATGGTCCTCGCAATCAATTAATTACACAGAGCACTGAAGAGAAAAAGGAGAGAAAAGTTGGACAAACGAAAGGGGAGAGAGAGCCTGCCTGCCCCAGACCCAGAGCCTCTCTGCTGGAAATTGGAATCATATTTTTCCTTTGTAATTTCTGTGTATTTTCTTCTTTTTTAATAAATTATTTTTAACCCCTTCCGCTCAGATTTCCCTCCAAAACTGGTTGCTGTGGAGGCTTACCGCCACCGTATGATGCTGCCACGTGGGGTGTTCTGCCGCAGGGAGCTGACGTGGCGTGGATCAGACGGGATCTACCATGTACAATGTACAGTTGGGTCGCTGGTTTTCTGGGTAAAGGAAAAGGAGCTGAGCTGGGAGTTAACGGAGTGAAGTGAAGTGAAGTATGCGCGTGGTGGAGGAATGGGCCGTGGGAAAAGACGGAGAGGCATCAGATGGGAGTGTGAACAAACAGAGAAGCGCCTTCCGGGGTGGTTTGGGTATTTCCGGGTTTAATTTGAGGATTTTGTCCATGCCACGTGAGCAGGGGACTTCAACAAAACCCAGCAAGGACTAGGTTAATACTTTTGCCCACGAGGATGTATTAATCTTAACTAACTTATGATCAGGCCTGTTGATCGAAATAACGCATTGAATAAGAGAAAGTGAGAGCGGAAGAGCTTCTATGTTCCGAGAATTTTACATTCAAAGCGGCTAAATTACAAGTTTGGTCACTTGAATTATATAAATTTTTCACATTTGCCACCCAAATTACTTTTCTTTCTTATTTGCCACTAACTTTACAAATCGTTTCACCGATGTCACTCGCCGTTACACTCCGTTAAATTTATCCTACGTGGCAGTCAACTATAAAGTTTGACCGTTAACTAGATGACGTGGATATTAAAAAAAATTAAAAAATAATTTTTCCACCCTATATTCCACTTACTTTGTTTATAAGATTTATCATATTAATTATTTAATTAATAAATTATAAAAATAAATCATAAATACTAGATAACTATTCCTCTTCTTCATCTTCGTAATTCCACGCCTATCAGCTCCTCAACTCCGGCAGCAGCAGCCCCTCTCCCCCATCGCTTCCCCAGTCCCTAAAACTTTGATCTCCTCCGCTACGACTCCCGTCTGCGCTACGAATCCCTCTTGATTGGAATCTTGTTGGGAGGATTAAGTGGCATCAGAAAGATAGACGAAGGGTTGGTGAAGTCAAATCAAGTGAAGGAAAGCGACGGCGGCAGAGATATCCGGCGGTTGAGCTGCGTATGCGGCGGTGACGGGTTTTTACTGGTGATTTACTCGAGGACGCCGATCTAGAGGAACTCTCCAAGGGAGAAGCGGGGGCAGCCGACGACGGCTGTTCTCTGGTGCTGGTGGAGGAAATGGTTTTGGGGGTTGTTGTCGGAGGTGGGTGAATGAAGATCCAAGTAACAAGCCGGTGGAAGAGAGGGCGGCGGCCGCGATGGGGGAGGCGGGGGAAGGGGAGAAGTTGGTCTTTGCCGTAGTTGATGAGCCGCTTGGCGTCGTAATGGCAAAGAAGTTTTGTTTTAAGGGATAATTGCGAAGAAGATGAAGAAGAGGAATAGGAATAGTTAGTGGATAATAAATTTTGGAATTAATTAATTATTATTAAATAATTAATATGATAAATCAACAAAGTTAGTGAATGATGAGGTGAAAAAATATTTTTTTTAATTTCCACGTCATCTAGTTAACGATCAAATTTTATAGTTGACTGTCACGTGGGACAAATTTAACGGAGTCTAACGGCTGGTGACTAACGGTGAAATGATTCGTAAAGTCAGTGGCAAATAAGAAAGAAAAGTAATTCGGGTGGCAAATGTGAAAGATTTGTATAATTCGAGTGACCAAATGTGTAATTTAGCCCCTTGCATTAATATTTGTAGTGAAAAAATTGTTAACATACCGTTTGGTATAAATGAATTCCATAAGTTTTGACGAATTCATTTTGAAATGAAATATTTTTGTGTTTGGTTTAAAAGGAATTCATTTTCAATTCTAAATTTTGAATTCTACGGAATTGGAACTAGTTATAGCAATTCCGAGGAATTGAGATAGAATGTCCAAATCAAGGTTGTCAACCCGCGGGTCGACCCGGATTAGCCCGGACCCGGCCAAAAAAACGGGCCATACCAACCCATTTTCATGTCAGCCCGGAAATAGTCAAACCCCGAGAAACCCGGTCAAACCCGGGTTGGCTTGGCTGGTTAACCTGTTGAAGCGGGTCAGCGGGTTGCTCTGCCTGAGCCCCGTTTTGGCCGCTGCGTCGCCGTTTCTGCGGACTGCGCGGAGAGCAAACGAGGAGGGGAAGCGGCGCCGTTCTGCTTGGTGTTGGCCTGCTGGACAAAGCGATAAGGAGAAGCATGGGTCTGGTCGTCTGGAAACCAAAACCCTACAAACATACATCGCATTCCATTTCCAGCAGCGCAGTCGTCTCCCTCTCCCGCAGCCGATCGATATCGCCACGCCAGGGTTCTTCGGCGGCGCGCTCCGGGTCGCCGGCGGAGAGAATCATCTTCGCAGGTCGGCCACCATCGTTCCGTCTCCCCTCCCTTCAGCTCGGCCGCCTCTAATCGCCACCTCTGCTCGGCCTCCGCCTCGGCCACCTGTGCCTCCACCCTTCTCATTGTCGGTCACCAATTCCTTCGCCGGCGGAGACCATTTTCTCATTGTCTTTTCTTTTCCATTATTGCGACCCGAGCCTCTCCATTACCTTTAGTTCCCTGAGTCATAGTCATTTGGTAAGAGTTTGGGACTTGGTTCCAATAAATGGAACGAAAGATATATGTGATGTTTTGTTTTAGAATTTAGATGTTTTAGATAAGTTTGATTCCCATTGTTTGATGTTTAAAATGTTAGGAAGAAGTTGATTTAAGGGTGGTGGATTTAAGGGTTCTTGAATTTTTAACTATGATGGATTTAAGTTGAAGTTATGTGAATGATTTAAGTGTTGTTGAATTTTTACTATGTTGAATTTAAGTTGATGTTATTTAAGTGTGTTGGAGTTGAAGTAGTGTTGCATTTTTTATGTTGGATTCAGGATAAGTATAATATAATTACATTTTCCATATTTTCGGGCTAAACCGGGTGACCCATTGACCAATGACCCACTAGCTCGTCCGGGTCCGGGTCGACCCGGGTTTTGACAACCTTGGTCCAAATGAATTCCACAAGTATTTACTAATTATAATAGAATGACATGATTATCCTCTTTTATTAACTAAATTACTTATACATATGATATACCAAACATAGAAATTTGTTTCACAATGAATTCTACACGACACTTCAATGATTTGAATATAACATACCAAACATAAGATTTCATTTGACAATGCATTCTACACGGTAATTCATTTTACAATGAAATGAATTCTCGATTCATTTGGTACCAAACGGTCTGTAAATAAAAATTCAAACAATTTGTTACCAATTTTATACATAAAAAATCTAAATTTACTATGTATTTTAAATTTTATTTATAAAATAATAAAATAAATGTACAATTCTGCCCTCCCTCCTCAATCCCTATGCTTTCCCCAAATGGCATCCTAGTACTCCTCTTCACGGTCATAGTGTTTCTCACCATCTTCCAATTTTCCTAGCCATCTACCATCAACTCTTTGTTCCCTTCCGTCAAAAGCGTATCATCTAAAAACCTAGGATTCTAGTGCAAAAAATTCGTGCACCAATCCACAATATCTCTATATCCATGGAGACCTCAATAACCCCCATTGAATCTAACTCTTCAAATATGGTCAAGAGCTCTTAATCCGGTGAGTTCACAACACATGCAAAGAGGCTGAGTTCTATAGTCTTAGTCGATCAATGGTGACTGACAGATACTTAGCTTACAACTTGACATATTAATGGGCGCCCATTAAAAGAATGATGTACCAATCCAGACTATCTCTAAATCTGTGGAGACCTCAATAACCTCATCAAATCCAACTCTTCAAATCTGGTCCAGAGCTCTTAATCTGGTTGAGTTCACAACACATGCAAAGAGGTTGAATTCTACAATCTGAGTCGATCGCTGGTGACTAACAGACAATTAGCTTGTTAATATGAACCCTGCATATAGCTTGTATTGTCATAGAGTATTTTCCATTCTTACTTTCACCCACCATGTGTATGTCTGCCTCTAGTGAAACAACTGCTCTTTGCCTTTCGGTTGCATCTATTAATTTGTGAATGTTTGTCGAATTGCTCCAAGTTCGTATTTTGTGCTCTAAACTCTAAAGTAGGAGTGCTAACACATGTCCCTCAAATTGTGTGATTTAAGGATTAATTAATGTTAGAGAAGATGTAAATAATTCTAATAAAATGAAAAATATTTAAATCACATAGCCATACACATTCAGATAAATAAGTCTCTACTCGTTCTTATCATCAATGTAAAAGATACACATTCGGATAAATAAGTCTCTACCCGTTCCTATCATCAATGTAAAAGACACTTAGGTGTCGTTTGGAAGTTGCGATTGTTTTGTTGAGATTGTCATTATGCATGTATTGTTTACAATGCATCGTTTTTTTGTTTTTTTAGCAGAAACAATACATGGATTGTTTCTATGATGTGATAGAAACTATCACTCATTTTGAGTGATTGTTATATATCAACTTTTAGTTGTGATTGTTGAGATAGTTGAGTTGAGGTTGTTTTGTCTCAGCTTTTAGCTGATGTGACATACACAATCAAACATACCAAACGTTGTATTCTACAATGCATCAAATTCGACAATACATGTATAATATTATACATGCATTCTCAATAATACATCTATTTAACAATCACAACTTCCAAACGACCCCTTAGTAAATGTGCTCATCACTCGAATTTTCCTACTTGATGAAATACAAATTTTCCAACCAACTACTATTAATATATATCACAAATAATAAGTATACTTCTTGTTAGACTCGATAAACCAAAACATGACTCGACCGATAATCCAATAAACTAGGTTGCGCAAGACAGTGGAATTGCTCGCTCTCGGACTCAATCCGTCAAATAAGCCCACACATGCACCTAGATCCGGTAAGGGCACGCTCAACGACATTACCAATGAGACAATTGTTCGTACTTGAGAGAAGAAGCTACTGAACTGCAAGGCCATGGGCCAGTCTATTTCATCATATTTTTTCTCAAACATTTTAAGTGATTATCATCTTCATACATAATTACTCTATAAGGTACAAATTACTATAAATTACCAGCGCATGGAATGGGAAAGAGAAAGAGAGAGCACGAGGAAAGATGGTCTACTTTCTAAGAATCGTACTTACGAAATATTAATAAAGCATTAATGCTTGTATTTAAACCAACTACCACTAATAGCATTAATAAATGCACTAAATACTCAATTTTGGCTACATGATGAAATACTAAGTTTCAACCAACTACCACTGATACCATAAATAATAAGTATGCTTCTTATTAGCCCTAATAAGCCAAAGGATAGCCTGATCGGTAATCCAATAAACTAGATTACACAAAAAGCACAATTACTCACTCTTGACACCAATCAATCAAATAATGCCCAATACACCTAGATCTGGGAAGGGCGCGCTTAACGACAATACTAATTAGACAACTATCCGCACTTGAGAGAAATAAGCTACTGATCCGTAAGGCCACACTCTAATTTGACTCGCTAGACTGATGCTTAAACATTTTAATTGATTACAAACCTTGGAAATGTTGCCCTCAACAAAGTGCTTACAAATGCTTTGATCCCACTACACAATGTGTCTTTGTGTCTCGCCATGTTGCTTTTGTTGAAAACACATTTCCTGGCTTTGATACTAACACTTCTACAGCTCATCACACGACTAACTCTTGGCTAATTGCCACATCACATCCTGTCACTCTGATTCCTCTCTCCACTGTTCCCACAGTTGGCCACGGGTTGAATCTACTCACTACATCACTAATGCTTCCCCAACTCCGGCGTCCCCCGACTTAGTCACTTCATCAATAGAGAATCACCCACCATCGCCAACACCTCCTCCAGCTCGTCAGATTGTTACTAGATGAAAAAGTAATATATTTAAACCCAAGAGATTGTTTGTGGCTACCAAGACCCCACCTCTTGAGCCCAAGTCTGTCAAGGAACCTCTCAGTACCCTGAATGGAACGTTGCTCTCAAACAGGAAAATGATGCATTGATTGCCAATAATACTTGGACATTAGTTGCTCGTCAACCACACTACAATGTCTTGTGCAATCGATGGGTCTACCGAGTAAAACATCATCCTGATGGATCCATTTAACGTTACAAGACCCGCCTGGTGGTTAAGGGGTTTCATCAGTGACCTGGTGTTGACTTTCATGATACATTCAGCTTGGTTGTCAAACCTGTCACTATACAAACGGTATTCACTCTTGCTCTCTCTCAGAATTGGCCTATCTTTCAATATGATGTGAATAATGCTTGTCTTCAAGGCCCGTTACAAGAAAAGGTATATATGGAACAACCATCGGGCTTTCATCAACCTCATACTACCAATCAGGTATGTCGACTTAACCGGGCTATCTATGGTCTCAAACAAGCACCACGTGCTTGGTATACTGCATGGAGCTCCTTTCTTGAAGACCATGGATTTCAAAAGACTAGTTCTGATGCCTCCCTATTCGTCCATCATCAAGAGCATATTACTCTCTACTTTCTCATTTATGTTGATGATTTACTCCTAAGGGAAAGGATGCCAATACTCTATTTGCATTTCATGATCAACTATCTCAAAAGTTCTTTCTTAAACACTTGGTTCATACCTTATGTTATTGTGCAAAGGTGTCTGAATAACTAGTTTCATTATCATATAAGATGCTCTTTATCTAAACTATCTCATCTTATATTTTGCTCATGATTTATTCATGCAAAGTGGGTTTAAGAATCAAATAACTATTTATCTAGAAACTCAAGCATCAACCACTGATGTAAAGAAGAAGAAAAATGACTGAAGAATCAACGATGATTACTAAAGAGTTAGAAGCCCTCAATCTTATACATATCCTCAAGCATCAACCAAATACATTTTTTTCTCTCCCTCTCGTTCTATTTTTTAGTTCTCGATTAAATACATATTCTGATTTGATGCGGCCCAAAATCATTGCACATTTCTCAACTACACTCGTACCTAAGTTGTATCACACATGTATATATATTCATCATGTGAATTGTTCCTTTTAAAATTTGTTTAAAAGTTCAATATTTAGTCGAGTAGATAAAATACATCAATCGAAGAGGCCAATCCTCTAAAAATGGAGGGAGTTAAAAAAACCCCACTAGGATCTTAATTCAAAGGATAATTTTTTCCAACACCAATTTCTGGATGCTTCATCTCATTTGAGGAATACATATTAAGATTTAAGACGCATACACAACATTTTTAATATAATTATTTCCTAAATACATACTTTTTAGTACTATACCACTAGATTCATCGCCTTTATTATATAGGCGAATTACAGAAGCTTTGAAAAAAATAATAGCAAAATAAGAAGGAAATAAGAAACAAAAACATATATGAGTATATCTCGGAAAAAATCCAAAACTACCACCGTTTAAAAAAAAAATTACAAAAATACCACCCAGACCAAATAATTTCCAAAAATACCATCATTTATTAAAAACCGCTCATTTAATGAGCGGTTTCATATAAAACCGCTAATCCAGGCGGCGGTTACAGAGAAAAACGCGCCCCCAAGGCGCGGTTTGACCTTGCATGGCTGTCAAATCGTGTTGTCACGTGGCGGTGCATCAAAACGTCAATCGGAGAAGCGTTTAGACGGATAAAACGTGTGCCAAGTCAGCAGTCCGTGTCGCCCACAAAAACCGCCTGCCCGAGGCGCGGTTTGACCGTTGGGAAAATGAAACCGCGTGTCTGATGCGCGGTTTGACTGTCGGGAAACTAAAACCGCGTGTTGGGGGCGCGGTTTGTGGTGGCGAGAAATTACTCCACCGACCCTCCCCCACGCGGTTTGAACCCTATAAACCCCCCCCCCCTTCTTCTTTTTTCTGCACACCATCCACCACACTCCCTCTCTCCCTCTAACTTCTCTCTACCCAACCCCTTCCCACCCAACCTTAGAATTAGTTTTTTTGTTGGTTGCGGCTAAGTCCGATCTGCCTCCAAAATACTTTTTCTTTGGTTTTCACTAAAAAACCGTCGAACCTCTGTCCGGATTCCGAGAGAATGGCCGATTTCGCTCAAGAAGAAGGTCTTTTTTATGATGATTATCAAACGGTACGTACTCATTTTTCCCAATTGTTGTTGTTGTTATAATGATTTATTTAATTTATATACTAATGATTTATGTTATTGTTATGCTATCGTAGGTTGGGCCGAATGTTGATATTTTCAATCAACGATATTATGTTGATCAAGGACCGATTGATCCGACAGTTTTATACGATCAAGCAAATCATCGTTCAAGAGACGTTTGGAATGACCACAAGGTACATATTATTTATCATCACTTGTAATTTGTATTTTGTTAAAGTAATTTATTTGTTGTACAATAATTTACTTAATTGTTAATCGTATTGATTATTTTCAATAATTTAAATCAATACAATACAACACTTATTGAGACTCTGTTATAAAGAAATGCATGTCTAAGGAAATGGGGACTTAAGCGATCATCATGATCCCCCCATGACCTGGAAAAATCGGGTTCTAAGCGATCCTCGGATCCCCCCTTTTTCTGTCAAAAAGACTGTGTTTCTAAGGAGATGTATACCTCTCCTAAGAGTCTTACGAGTGTACTTGTATTGCTTTAAATTATTGAAAATAATCAATACGATTAACAAAATAATATATTTGATTTTATGTGTACCAAAAATATTTATACTTAAATTTCGAATATTACTTTAGTTATGTTAATATTAATATTTATTAGATAATGTATACTAATATTTGCATCTTTTAATATTATTTATTTATGCTAATATTAATGTTTATTATATAATGTATATTTCTCTAAATGAACCTTGATTTAATTAATATTGCATCTTATAATATTATTTAGTTATGTTAAAATTAATATTTAATTAGATAATGTATATTTCTCTAAAACAACCTTGATTTAATTAATATTGCATCTTAGAAAATTATTTTAGTTATGTTAAAATAAATGTTTATTAGATAATGTATATTTCTCTAAAACAACCTTGATTTATATATAAATTGTATCTTATAATATATTTATATATGTATAAATCATCAACTTATAATGAAATTTAAAATTTTTTCTAGGATGCATGCCATATAGTCCGCTATAGGGGCATAACGAATGTGCTTGAATGGAACGACGTCATCTTGCCCTTTCTAAAAAGGGCAAGATTGGATTCGATTCGGCATTTCAATGGGATTAAGATCGACCGCCAACTCATCACGCCGATGGTAGAGAGATGGCGAAAGGAGACACACTGCTTCAATTTTCGTGAAGGCGAGTGCACCATCACACTTAAGGACATCGCCATCTTAACCGATCTCCCCATCGATGGTGATGTTGTTTGGGTGGATTCTACGCCACCACCTAAAGTTGTTGCCAATATGAGTGGTTGGCAACATTTTATATGGACGGTCACCGGGTTGTGTCCGCCAGAGAAGGGAGATCACGATGCGGATGGTCATCCACCATTGTCCAAGGGCCAAGTATCCATCACTTGGTTGACAGCGGAGATCAGGCGTAAGCACAACCCTGAGTTCGGAGGCATTCCCCTCACGGAGGAAAGTTCGGAACGTGATAAAGAAATTTATGCACGTATCTACATCCTCGGCATGATCGGAGGAGTCTTCTTCCCCAAGAAATCCAACAACCTAATCAGCAATTCATGGTTGAAGATCATACTTGGTGTCCTGACACTATAAACCGCCCTTTGGGTAGGCGGTTTGTAATGCCGACACTTAAACGCTCTTTCCTAAAGCGTTTTGTGGTAGGGTTAGCCTATAACCGCTCCTTCCAAAAGCGTTTTGTTCTGAAAATTAAAAACGCTTTTCCGTGGCGCGGTTATTATCTAAAACGCTTCCTGGAAGCGCGGTTTTAGTAAAAACCGCTTCATAGAGGCGCGGTTTTAAATAAATGATGGTATTTTTGGAAATTATTTGGAGTGGGTGGTATTTTTGTAATTTTTTTTTAAAACAGTGGTATTTTTGGATTTTTTCCGTATATCTCGCAGGTATCTTTAAATACATCAAGTATTTAGTTACTGCTACTTCCTCCGACGATGCAGCGGAAGAGCCTCCTGCCGGCGAAGTAAAGCAGCGGTAACACAATCAGCACCGCCACCGCGCCAGCCACCATCTCTGGGGACTCGGAGGAACCTTCCCCTTCATAAGCGGGCTCCATATTTTCAGGGTTCATATTTTTCAGGGATATTTTAGTTTTTTTTTTTTTTGTATGAGTACAGTGTAGCTAGTGGTTATGTAGTGTGCAGCGACCAATATTATATATACAGTAACAGTGGAAACTATAAGTGTCTTCTTTACACCAAACCAACTTTGATAAAGACCATTAACATACTTGCTTGGGTTATTAGTATTACGTCTTTCTCAATGCTATGGACGGTTCAGTGGGAGGCGATTCTGTTTTGGTTTGGAGTTGGAAGGATCAAGAAGCTAAGCTATGGATGGAAATTTTTAGGATCCAAATCTGTTTCAGTTGGAGACGAGGATCAAGAACCTATTTACTCAAAGAAACTAATAAATAACCCACCAATCGGCATAGGAAAAGATTTGGCTCCATGAGAATTTGGAAGGAAGCTAAAAAGTAAGAAACTCCCTCCAATCGTGATCAGTCATCAGAAGCACCTGCATTTCGGCACCTTGCAAAAGATGAATTGGGCACTGCAGTTTTCCATCCCAAAACACCCGTGTCTGACTTAAGTGCCACTAATTATCGAATCAGAATCACAAAGATAAATAACAGTTTCCAGAAGGGGTTAAAACCATATAAAAGAATTCTCAGTAATTGGGATTGTAAACCGGCCTATTGTGTCCCGAAACCAACAGGATTAGGGTTCAAGGGTCTTCGTCCGGCGATTAATTGATTTTGGCACCAAGCGGCAGTCAGGTCGCCATGGATGAGGCGCCTGCTGTTGACTCTTAGATTGGAGCCTTAAAGAAAACCAAAACAAAAGGAAGAAATACATGGAGTGGATCATATCCACGCACTGGGCCTAGATTGGCGAGGGAGGGAGGGAGTGGCAGAAGATGAAACCATAATCAGAAAGGCTGCTGCAACGAGAGGAAGGGCGGCGGAGTCTATCACAGCGAGCGGAAGAGATTTGGAGCTTTTAAATAGAAACCTTGACTCGATCTAGGGTTTTTTGCTTTGCTAGGCCTAGCCGAAATGGACACTTGGTAATGCTAAATGGGCTGCAACGAGAGTGAAAGTAGAAAGATCATTTTTGTCTTTACACATTTATCATTAATTTCATTTAAAAATATCAATATCAAGATTTGAACCCGGGTCTGTTCAAACAAAGATAACAATTACAACCAGTTACACTAAACAAATTTATTGCATCATTCTTGACTAAACAAATTTATTGCATCATTCTTGATACAAAACATAGACAAAGTTAATCTCTGAAAATCAGAGGACTTTTTCATCATAATTAGCAAGCTCACTAAGTCTACCGTATGTATTTTTATCGAGCTTGATACTTCTATTTTCGTAGTAGAGTTTCATGTAATTTTCTCAATTTTAAATTCTCGCTCTCTCCTTAATTTTTGCTAAAGGTAAATGGGTAATTGGCTAACATGGAAGAAACTAATCATGTAACTACGTGTTGTATCCTTGCATTTTTCAATTTAAATTTAAATTTTGTGATTTTTTATCTTTGTTCTTTTCTCTTTCTAACTTCCTCCGAAATTTCATCATTCGTGCAATAGTTTGTGCCTTTCACTTCTCAGTACAATACTGTCATTGAAAATCAATCTTCAGGTATCTCTTGGCACTACGGTTTTATTGTTGGGGATTTTAAGCTGGGTGAGTAGAAGATTTCAACTCTGATATCAATCCATGGCGAATAGAATGGAGTTCATCAATAATTGGAGTTGTAGAAGGAGGATTAGAAATTGAATTTTTGGTTGAATATAGATGACTTGAATCAACAACTCTCCATTTCTTTTTGATTAGTGACATATTGTTTCTAAAAGGAGAGCATTGAACCCTTTATATAGGATTGTGATGTTTAAGATTTAGTTTCAAACTATCTATGGGTCGTGTGAGAATTTCAGTTAGCTTTTATACTCTATATTTATTGACTGTAAAAAAAAACTAACCAATAGCATTTTAACATGGACTTAATTAGCATTATGAAAATGGGGTCAATGATACATTTTTATATTTTATATTCTTAAATGATTATGATATTTCTCCGAATGTTCGACCTATATATTATTTCTTTATGTATCATCTCGATCGAATGATTGTCAATAAGATTAAACGGGTTAATAGACTTAAAAGTAACATAAAAATACAAATAATCAAATATGAGCATTCCGGCCAAAGGGCCGGGTTATAAGCTAGTTACTAGAATAGAGAAATTTTGTTTGGTACCAAATGAATCGAGAATTCATTTTATTGTAAATTGAATTACTGTGTAGAATTCATTGTCAAATGAAATATTGTGTTTGGTATGTCGTATTCAAAATGAATTCTTTAAATACCAAACACACAAATGTTTTATTTCAAAATGAATTCTTCAAAATTTATTGAATTCATTTATACCAAACGGTATGTTAGGGTTGGTGGGATTACGTGGATTTGAGCAATAGAGATAATTTTGACATGTGCAAGATAGATTTTTTGAAAAATAGGTGAAATTTGGAGATCTACCTTTGCGCTCGGGGGCCAATTTCTGTTCCGTACGAGGAAACCTTTGCACGCCTCAGTTACTTTTTGAGAGGCCTACACCCCATAGAAACTGTCTACCTGAGACTGTCCCTTGTGTTACAATGGCCGGGACAAAGGGTCGCGATCCCGCGAGGGTGAGCTTACTCCAAAAACTCGTTCTCAGTTCAGATTGTAGGTTGTAACTAGCAACAACAACCCAAAAAGCTGAAGAAGCTCACCCATACAAGTAGAATAACTAGCAACAACAACCCAAAAAGGGCTGCAAAAATAGGTAAAGTGGGTTTGAGTTTTCATCGAAGTCCGGTATTCAAACCCTTTTAATACTTTATATCGTAGTGAGTGGCTCGCAATCTTAGTGTATATTACAATGAATTGCTCGAAACTACACCGCGAATTAATCCCGACTAGAGTCCAAGTTTTTAAACTCTAGTCGGGTGCAGTATAGGGCAAGTATTTAATTGTCAAACCCGGGTCAGTCCATGTACCCCTACTTCAATCGCTTAGTTTGTTATCTAGCAAACGTTTTTGGGTTTAAAACTAAGAAACCTACAAATGAAAACAAGCAAGTAAAGTAAACCGAGGTTGTCCTAATGAGAGAAGAGTTCACCCAGGTATTGCTCCCCCTAGCTAACCATTACGACTTGTTGGATCGAATGGTCGTGTGTGGTGAGGAGGTTGTAAACCGTAGGGAATTTTAAACAAGTAGCCAAAACCACCCTCTTAGTCTCTAGGTCGAGGAAAGGGGATACGATCCAAGCCACTAATGCGACTCTCTCAACCTATTGACTAAGGATTGGTTAGACCTCACCATCGAATCGGAGTTCGGACGACCGCCCACAACCAAACCCTAGGTGCTAATACGCAATAGGAGGTTTGCCCTGCATTAACCTAACTAGGAAACAATGAATTGCCCAAGAAAACCCAACATTCAAGCCTCTTTCAAAGAAAGAAAGAGGGGGTTTCTCTCTACCTAGGTTAGAATGACAATTAGAATGATAGGCTTTCACACAACACAATTATTCATGAATAATACCTCCACATTCGCATTCAACACAACCACACACAAATCATTCAATTCATACAAGCATATTGTAGCTAGGGTTTACAAACATCCAATTGAATAGGTAGGCTATTTCATAGCTAGGCAAAGGAAAACAAGGAAAAGGAGAGAAAGAATCACGAAGAGATGAAAATCTTTCCTCCTTGTTGCTTGAATCTCCCTTGAGAAGAAGAAACCTTCACTCCTCTAGTTTGAAATGAGCCCAAATCTCCTTTCTCCTCCTTTGAATTGCACTTTCTCTCTCTAGATTAGGAAGAGGAAACCCTAATATCTCACTAGAAACCCTCATTTATTCTGAAACTAAAACCCTAAAGAAACTCCCTTTGGGCTCTCCCTTCTTCTTCCTTTCAGCTCTCATTATATATCGAGATCGCGCCCAGTTCGCGGTCTAAGTGAACTGACTTGGTGTCAGTAACCTTTGAAACCTCTATGGACGCTTCAAGGTTCACAGTTTGTGGTTCCAGTTCACGGTCCTGGCGGCCGTGAACTCGCTACTTGGACCATGAACTACGACTGCTTCCTGGACGCCCGCGCTTTACGATAGCGTGAAATATGTCGAGGGACGATGAAATGCAAAGCCAAAATATCAAGAAATGAGGGATAAAATATGTATATTGAACCCAAATCATACATATTCATAAAGTTCTCGTTTTCAAATTCATTCCTAGAACACATATAAAATAAAACATGTAGGAATATAACGTTGTATAACAGTCTAAAGGATAACATATATTATATAGCGTAGATGCTTCTAATAGTTAGTTTTTAGAATATTATTAAACATGTTATATGCGTACAAAATTTAAAATTGAATGATATTTGTAAATATTCCGTCATACAAACTAATGAGGATTTCGTATGTTTACAAACTCTCATTTTGTCTTTTAGTTGTCTACCTTCTTCTACTTCATAACCTAACAAATATGAAATTGGACAAGAGACACAAATGATGATAAAAATGAACAGTGACTTCCACAGTATACAAGCCATTTTACTCAAATGTCTGAAGTTAAATAAATAAGCTTACACAACATATAACTATGTATGGAATTTTATAGAAGAAAATGCAAATCTGAAAAGAAGCAATCATCGTCATTGAGATCCTTGATTGTGGGTTTCAGTATGGCTAAATCGAATGAACGAAACCAAAGAGTCAGATTTGGAAAATTGGTAAACTAATTTATGAAAGTCTTCAAATTCGGTAGTGCACCAGGTAAAGTTATTGTCTTAAAAAAGGAACCAACGTTCGATCATACTACACACAATGATAATTTGGAGGTATTTAAGTTTTTTATTTATTTTTATTAATTTTTTTTCCTGTATGATTCATCAAACAACAGGCTATACATGATTAGGAGTTTAAGACCCACACTGGTCAACTATATCACACATGCAAGCCCAAGTTTCCAGCAAGTAGTAACCATTAATCAACACTATGAATGAACACATTCCGGTATATTTTTTTTAGAGAAGTCCATACGTGCCCACAACTCACAATACTCAGAGCTATTATAATAGTTGACTGAGACCCCTATTTTTCCTTAGACCCAGTGCTAGAAGACGATAAAGAGCATATTGACAGTGAAAGTAGGGATGGCAATTTCGACCTGACCCGTTTTACCCGACCTGTTTGACCTGTTTTGGGGCGGGTCCGACCCGCCCTGTAGGAGGGGCGGGGCGGGCATGGGTAGTCTCATCGACCCGACCTGCCCTGACCCACCCCATTCTCGACCCATTCTTGTCTAAATCACATGTAATCTTAGTCAAATTACTGAGAATTTTCCTTTTATTGCATCATATTTTAGCTATAATAAAGTTGTAAATTAGTAAAAATCTCAATTTCTCCAATAATTTAACTACAATTGTCATAATATTGTTTGTTTTCTTAGTCTTATAATAAAAATAACGAATATTTCTAATGTTTTTCATATAAATTGCATACCCATTGGGTCAACCTGCCCCGACCCGCGACCCGTGATCAATTACCCGACCTGGACCTGACCTGCCACGGGGCGGGTCTGGGTACCAAGAAACCCGCCCCGGACCTGCCCCATTGCCATTCCTAAGTGAAAGTGGTAAGAACTTTTATTTATATTTTTACTATTAATTTTTCTATTAACTAAGTAATTGATAAATGCTAACACTTTTCTACTTTTTGTTTAACTTAGTTAATAGCACCTTCCAAGCTCAAATGAAAAGTGAAACTACATGTGACATTGCTAAATTAGGAGGAAGTCAGAGTTTCCCAATTGATGTTGGTGGTGAAGGAGAAGAAACTAACCCCGATGAAGAGAATGAAGATCTTAATCATCATGATGATTATGGTCATAAATCATAATCTTTTGAATGCTTTGAAAGAGCATGGTTATGCAAATGTTGGTGGAGATGGAGGAACTATTTCATGATGTTGGTATCTAGGTAACTTATGAGTTGAGTTTAGATTTTTAGACTACAAATACTTCTATTTGGATTGTAAACAAGTGTTAGACTTTCGTACTTATTCTTTTTGTTGGTGACTTGGTTTTGATAGAACTATGACACGGAGCTAGCAGGTTGTGCATCGCTTTTAAGTTTGTAAGTTTTAATCAACTGAATTCAGTATGATAGTGAAGCAGAATACTTGCGGTTTGGTTTTCTAATTTTTGGGAAGGGTCGCTTAGTTGTTGGGACCTCAATTTCTTGTTTCTAACGAAGGATTTGCAAAAGACCAATTCAACATATGCTATAGAGATTGCACATGCAATCAACAATTCCTAATAAATGCAATTTACGATTTATCAAATGTGTACTTGAGCTGTTTGACCATGGAATAAGGAGAAAAGAGTAGCTTTAATTATTTGTGGATAACAATGAATTGTTGATGTTTGACAGTTATTTAATGTTTAGTTGGTGCATTGTTGGTTTAAGAATTTGTGTTATTATGGATCTATGTTGGATTAGCTTTTAATTTGGATGGTATATGAATGTTAAATTGTTTGGATTCAATGACAAAACTTGAAAAGGACACATGCATGTACGAAAAAATCTAAAAAATGCACCATTGAAAAAATAAACGATGTTTGAAGAGATTAAGGAGAGAGTTCGTAAGAAGTTAAAAGACTGGAAGAGTAGGACGTTGTCCCAAGCTGGGAAGGAGGTAATGATAAAGGCGATGGCCCAGGCTCAATTTCTCTATCCTATGACTGTGTTTTTGATTCCTGATGGAACTCTGATGGAAATCCAGAGAATGATCTCGAGTTTCTGGCGGGGACAGAAGGGGAAGGAGGCAAAGCTCCATTGGTTGAAATGGGAGGACCTGTGTGATGATAAGGAGTATGGTGGGATGGGTTTTAAGGATCTACGCACTTTCAACCTTGCTATGCTTGGAAAACAAGTTTGGCAAATCTTATCTCGACCCAACTCACTGATGGCTAGAACTTTGAAGGCCGAGTACTTTCCAAAGTCTGATGTTCTCAATGCTAAGACTGGTTATAAACCTAGTTTCATCTGGAGAAGCATAATGACTGCTAAGGAGAAAATCATAGGGGGATTCAGGTGGCGTGTGGGAGATGGGAACTCGATCCGGGTTTGGGAAGATGCCTGGATTCTAGTCAAGATTTACTGTTTTGCTGATCCCCAGCCCGATGGGATGGATTCGGATGAGCTGGTTTCATCCCTGATTGATAAAGACAATGGAAGTTGGGACGAAAGCAAGCTGAAGGAGAAGTTTTCTCGGCTGGACTATGAGCTCATATCGAAAACATCATTGAGAACCCCCCTGTGCAGGGATGAGAGGGTGTGGATTGACTCCGATGATGGTAACTATTATGTCAAATCTGCCTACTACAGGATTCGTGAGAACCTGGGCAACAATTCTGCTTATTCTTTAACTGTCTCTATGGATGAATTGGAGTTCTGGAAGGCTCTCTAGAAAACTGTTACACCACGCTCTTTACAAAAGTTAAAATGACTATTATGCCCTCAATGTAATTTGTCAAATTACACCATAATATCGATGAGGACTAAAAATATGGACTCTCGATACAAACGGTGTATAGTTTCGACATAAAATGAGAAAGTTATAGACATTAAATGGGTTTCGGATTAAACTCATTCGATACCAACTAATCGGAAAATTCCCAAAACACCCCATGGGTTTATCCAAAATTTCCTCTCAGCCTTTTTCACCACAGAGCAGAAAATTAATCTAAAACCCTAGTTCCCAAAACTGCAGCAAACCCTACCTCTCCTCCGCCCAGGACCCGCTCAACCCTTAATTATTTCCCCAGCGCCACCCCACCACGTTCTCTATCTCTCGGCAAGAAACCAAAACACTCTGCTGCCGCCAAGTAACAAATTAGGAAAAGGGACGAGCAACTATTGGAAGAACTAGAATGTTGTGGGCGATCCTCCTTCGAAGGTGAACTGAAAGGCGAGCAATAAAGACCAGGTAGGAGGGAATTTGATCAAGCGATCTACAACTCGGCCGGAGATGGCATTGATGATAACACGTAGCAAAACAAGGGGTGTCCGAGACCCAAGTATCCTCCCATGACTCTGGTCCGGTGTGTTATGGATGGATGGATGGATCAATTATTCATGGGGAATTGAAGCTTGAGGTGGATGATCGTGTAAAGATAATTTTGGAAGCACCCAGGATGGAGCTTGCTTGCGCACTCAAAGTAAACGAAGGCTCAAGGCGATCAACCGTTGGATGATGGCTAGTTCAAGTAAATCGACTTGATAATAAGGTGAGTGTAAAGGGGGGTAAATTCTACGCCTTACGTATTCATTTAAGTATTATGATTTTAAGTATTTTAGCGAATTGGTTACCGTTGCTTGGTTATGTTTATGATTGATTATTTTTGCTTTGCTTGAGCTATGTTTTGAGGTGATTTTGTGCTATTTGAGGTGATATGAGGTGATTTTGTGCTATTTACCTTAAAGCGTTATGTTTGAGTTATTGTTAAAGTTTAAGAAACAAGTTCTTTTTAAGAAGTAACTCACCTTCAAGAAGGTGAAGTCATTTTAAGTGTTTTTAGTCACTAGCGCCAGTCCGTTGTCTTTTGAGACATTTTGAGACAGAGCAGCAGTTATGCTCTTGAGACTTTTAATATGAGCAGCAGTTATGCTCTTGAGAATCGTGGTGAAGAGCCACCACGATAAGTTTAAGATGTTAGGGGGATGAATCGTTACAACTCCCCTAACTAAATTTAAGTTTAAGGAAAGCGTGGATGGCTTCTCATACGTATGAGTTGGGCAACCGGACTAGCTAGTGAGGGATCCCCATGTCAGTCAAGTATTTAAGTCAAGATTCGAGTTTTAAGAGAGGAGAGTAACTTCAACTCCCTCAAAGTTTAAGAGTTAAGATTTTAAGATTGGAAGTACAAACAACTTCCACTAGTTAAAGTTAAGTGTTTAAGTAAAGTACTCAAGTATTAGAAGTATTAAAACGTAAGGGCGTAGACTGACCCCAACTCACTCACCAGGCCTTAGTAAGGGAGTGAGCGAGAACCAAATCGATAGCAGCTAGCTAGAGGAGCAGTTAGAGAGCAGCAAGTTCGAGAGGAAAAGTTCGAGAGCAACTAGCTAGAGGAGGGCTGTAACACCCTAACCCGGTACTAATTTTACCAAAATGCCCTTGATGACTCATAAACAAAAATAAGAAACGAAAGACTTGTAAAAAGAAATGGAAGCTTTCCGTAAATAACCATAACAAAAACTGAAGTGGACTGAAATCTCTTAAAACAAAGCCCTAACACTTGGGCAAATTAAACTCAAACTTTAAATCTCAATCTGTTCTCCATTCTATACTCATAATCATAAAATGTAAATAAGTAGGTAGTCTCTGTCTGCTGCTACTGAAAATCTTAACTAGGCATCCTCCGTGACGCTTGCACTGCCCTCCTCTAGCTGGTTGCTCTCGAACCTTTCCTCTCGAATTCGCTGCTCTCTAACTGCTCCTCTAGCTAGCTGCTACCGATCTGGTTCTCGCTCATTCCCTTAATAAGTCCTGGTGAGTGAGTTGGGGTCAGTCTACGCCCTTACGTTTTAAACTTTCTAATAATTTTGCACTTCTTCTCCAACACTTAAACTCAAACTGAGGGAAGTTGTTTGTACTTACCTTCTTAAAAATCTTAACTCTTAAAACTGTATGGGAGTAACTGTTACTCTCCATTCTTAAAGCTTAAATCTCAACTTAAATACTTGACTGACACTGGGATCCCCCACTAGCTAGTCCGGTTGCCAACTCATACGTATGAGAAGCCATCAAGGCTTTCCTTAAACTTAAACTTAGTTAGGGAAGTCGTAACGATTCATCCCCCTAACATCTTAAACTTATCGTGGTGGCTCTTCACCACGATTCTCAAGAGCATAACTGCTTCTCATCTTAAAAGTCTCAAGAGCATAACTGCTGCTCTGTCTCAAAGATCTCAAGAGCATAACTGCTGCTCTATTTGAAAATCTCAAATGGCAACGGACTGGCGCTAGTGACTAAAAACACTTAAAACGACTTCACCTTCTTAAAAAGAACTTGTTTCTTTAACTTAAACTACTTGTAAGTAAAGCACACAACAACATAAAACTGAAAGCATAACTCACACAAATCATATGACATCATATAAGCATACAAAGGCAAGTACGACACATAGCAATCAATCTCAAAAACTGAAATACCGTAAGGCGTAGAATTTACCCCCTTTACACTCACCTTATGATCAAGTCGAATGACTTGAACTAACCAACATCCAAAAATTGGTCGACTTAGGGTCATCTCCCTCTGCTTGGACCATGCACGTAAGCTCATGTAGGAGCTAACTTTTCATTCCATCCATGAGGCGCCCCCATCTCCTTGTAAGCAATTTCACTGCCTCGTGACCTATCCATCTCCACTTTCAATGCTTTGGAAGGTTTCCCAAGCGCAACAGTTATGATTTTCCTTCTAACTTCAGCATCTAATTTTGCCGACAAACCAATAAGTGTAAAGCAATCAATTTTCCCCTCCCAACACGACAACAAATAGAAGCGAGCAGCTCTATGGCTCCTCCTTCCCTCTTAATGTCGTACTTAGATGAAATAAACCATCATCATTAAGGTAATTTCATCGCCGGGGCTCTTACCTCAATTCCATGGATCGATTGTACCCTTGCATGATTTCTTGCGACCCTAAACCTCCACCGCGGCACACCATTCCACCTGTTCACATTATTGGCAGTGGCGGAACATTATTGGCAGAAGGAAGGACTGAAGGCCGGGCGAAGAGAAGCCCGAGTGCAATTGTGGCGACCCACTTCTTTTTTTCTCCTTTGTTTGGTTGCCATTACACTCCTGGTTGCGAGGTCGACCAAACAAGGAGTCGGCGCTGCTTGCTTTGTATATAATTTATATACAAAGGGGGTGGACGTGTAGGGTAGGTAGAGTTAGGTTTAGGGTTTATTTAGTCCAAGCTTATTTTGGGAATTTCATAATTACGGGCGAGTTTAATCTGAAACTCAGTTAACGTCCATAATTTTCTCAATTCATGTCGAAACTCAACATCGTTTGATGACACGCTACGACACAACACCTAACAATGGCCAAGTGTAACCAATGAAAGGGACTGCAGTATAGTGGCACAAGTAATAAATATCGAATCCACGGGTCTCTAGAGTTACTATTACTCAGCTTCAGTTCATTATCTAGCAAACTAAATTAAGGATTGATTTATAAACTACTCTACTGACTACTCTACTAATTACAAGTTGGGAACTCACTTAGGTATTGTAACACCCCACCCTAAAATCATGAGTCGAACCGATAGTTCGACCGCGCAGCGGAAATCACTCGGGGTTTACGTTTTCAAAATCTCGACTCAACTCACATTCACATCATTCTCATATGTTTAAAATTCAACTCATCATAACAATTTATTAAAATCATATTCTCAATTCATTAATCCATCTTCGTCAAATTCAGGATTCACCTAACCCAGACTATCGATCTCGTCTACTCCGTTCATGCTCAACTCAAGTTAAAGATCATATTTGACTAACGTAAAATATCATGCATGCTCAAAACCCGAATCGTAAAAATAATGATTTCGGAGTACATCAATATGTGGAAAAAACCTTTTAAACCAAAATCCTCCATCGATCATTGTGCAGTGCCAAAGTCATCCTCAATTTATCACACCTGTCACATCTAGAAAGAAAAATGGGTCAGCTACTAAGCTGAGTGTGTGGACCTGGCCTATACGGCAAAACTATTGTTAGCATGCCATCACATCATCACATCTTGTTGATTAAAAACACATCATCAACAAATTATCATGCCACACGAAAATCTCATTAATCTCTAGATTTATCTCTAGGTCATCAATCCAAATTCATCTTTAACCTAATTCCTCATGGTATGACTTTCATTAATCAAGTCGTATATCGAAATAAAATCGTAAACTTACCTCAACTCATGAATCCATCATATCAATCGTTCATTCAAAGTCAACTCATCATTTAATCATCAGGCATGTCAATCATTCATCAATAATCAAATCGCCATTTCGGCGCAACCATATCAATCTCTCAATCAATCATCAATCAAATGTCACTTTACGATTTCCTTCATGGAAATCATCAACATCATATATATGGAAATCATCAACATCATATATATCATATGCAATGGATGAAATGCAGACTCTCCATTTATTATTAATTTGCGCGCTAAGGTCACCATACGCCCACCCCGCTCGAGCTCATCATCTTAGTGGTTATAATGAAAACCACAATCTCATCAAATCTAGGATTATCATAAATCCTCTCATTAGGACCGCAGCCCAATCAATCTCATAGGGGTAGGCATAGGCCCCTTCTATGTCTATGTGATTTAACATGATCAAACAATATCAATTTCTCTCTTCCATCATATCTCAATCGATCCAAGAAATCAACAGCGTCCCATTGATATTCCCAGTCCATACATATCTCACATCATCTATGCATACTTTGATGCATTGCATGATCTCAATATAATCAACATCTTCTCAATGATATAAATAATTCATTATCTACAATCAAACTTGACAAATCTACCAAGTACTCAATTTATCAATACCTCATTCACTCATCGTAATCATTTAACACATCAAAACAAATCGATCATGATAATATCTCATCCACGTCATCATTAATCAAAGCATTCATCATATCAACATTGTCACAAAATATCTCAGTAATATTTATATTTACCAATCACATTTATACCAATCGATATTCTAATCACGTCATACTCATACACGTCAATCGTATCACTATCACTCAATATCCCTGTCGTCATCATCATCATCATGTCATAATCATACATATCAATAATCAATATATATTTTATTCGTCATCAAATCATTTTGTCATACGAACCATATAATAACAATAAAAATACATCAAATTATCCATATCGTTCTTTAACTAATTTAATCAACATATCAACTAAACATATTACTATCAAAATCTTGCTTTCATGAATTCATATTAATAACTTGAAACCATTCTAAAAAGGACCATACCCAATATATAATTCTCATGATTATCAAAAGTTATTTTGAAAAGGTCTCCCTTAATAACACATCTCTCAATAATTATTTTGTAAAATACAATCTACATCATCGTTCCTCAAAATACATTAATAATATTATCTTCAATATTTCAATTAAATACTCAATTAACTATTACTAAAAATTAGTCTTAAAATGTAACTTAACTTCAATCTTAATTAAAATAACTCGTGATAATCATCTTACCATCATATTCGGTTTATAATAATTTTTCCTTACATTGCCATTATTCTAAAAATCGTAATATAATCTCTTTAATAACAAAATGACATAGAAATCGGTTTCATCCATCCAGAAATCCAACAAAGTTCATAAATTCTTTATTTTAATTATTCTAACCAGAATTCACTTCTCATATACTCATCCAATTTATTAATTTCCAATTTCACCCTTTTAACGTCATAACTTCAATTAATTCCGAAAACTCAATTATTATCAATTATATCATTCTCATGGTAAGATCTCATGACTAAAAACCATTTCAAAAATCCTTAAATTTACTTTCCTCATTCTGATCTCACTAGACATTTTCAGAAAATATTCGGAGTTCACCATATACGTCAACAATTCGAATACGGGATTAATAATAATTATTACCATAAGAATTAGTTAACTTCATCAACAATTTCATCCAAGATCACAATCATGAATCAATCACAAATCCATCATAATCATTAATCATCAACTCAATCATACGTATTTAGAAATAAACACGTAATTCCGGTTCCCTTTTACCGTAAGCCCACACACCTTATTTATGACGAAATCCGATTCTTTGAAACCTCAGGAAATTCCAGATCTTGGTTTCATAATATTCTCCTCATTCACACAGTCCTGTAGGCGAAAACGGTTCGTCGTTTGGACGTCAAACGAACGAATTATGAACGAAATACGAATTCCGTTAGTACTCAAAGTACCAGGACTAAATACGAAGTTTACCAGTCAACTAAAAGGTGTTGACCCGTCTCTGTGGGAAAATTATAGAGTGGTACTTTAACTTTTCGATTTACCAGAAATGGTACCTGGACTTAACAATTTTTGTGCCAAACTTCCGATGCTCGTTTCTCCCTCGTCCGACGTCGAAACTCAATTTCGTCGAAACGTGCGTGCTCCTGGGATCTCCCTCTTCGCAACCATACCCACCTTTCGAAGTATAGTTAAAGTTCATTTTTCTGGTTTTTCCGGCGACCCTCCGACGAAACTCCGGCGAAACTCCGACGAGACTTCAAACCACCTCCAATGGAAATCCTGACTTCATAGATGGCTTTGGGACCTCCATATTACTCTATCCAAGCCACAGAAGAGTGGTTTCTTCTTCTATTCTGTGTTTCTTTCTCATACTTTCTTTGGTTCGTATATGATGGTCTGTAATGGTAGTGGTGTAGTGATTGAAGAAAAGGAGACTCTTCCTCCTTTCTTTTAAGCTCTACAGCCGTGCCTTTACTTAGTGCAGAAAGTAGGTGTAGAGAGCCCACTTATCTTTACTCTTGTTTCCCTAATAATTCACTCATGCTCTCTCTAATTGATTAGTCTGAACACCCTTGCAGCTCATTGTCGATAAGGTTTACAGCTCATTACAACTCCCATGACCCATACCATAACCAATAATATATCTAACCAAATGATTCATGTACACTTCACATACCGGTACGTTCTGTTCTTTTTTTTTACTTCCTCTATTATTGTTGTTTGTCAAAAAGTTTGAATTTGAAATGTTCTCCTCGAGGCTACGATCCTGTGGCCACAAACGGCTCGTTATTTCGATTCCGAATGAAAAAGTTATGCCCAAATTAGTGTCGGTACGTACGTTATTTCAATAACAAAGTCTAGACTTCAAAATGACATATCTCACTCGTTTGAAATCCAAACTTAGTTCCGTAAAATTCTACGTGATCGTGGAAGAATTTTCTAACTTGTGAAATCGAGATTTGTTCGAAATATCTGATCCATCATTCCAGAATATTCGTCATTTTCATAAACCATTCGTTGAGGTCGCAATTTCTTCGAGTATGGTTGAAATTCTTGATTCCTCATCAAACCGAATTGATTTATAAATTTTCCGAGGTTTGGGATGTTACAGGTATGATTCCCCCTAGCTCCTCAATTAGGTCCAAGTTGCAATTACCTTTGGTTGATCTACTGTTGATTAGACTGTGGAAGATCCTAAATTAGCTTGGAATCTCTTAAGCTGACCAAGCCCTCTCAGACAGAATACCCGGCAGGCGACTAGCCTTCACCGGGATAGACTGCTAAGGCAATTCACACAGATCTCCACTACTGGAATGAATTCCAGTACAAAGCAGTGAATTGATTGACTCTCGCACAACCAATTCACCACTATCAATCAAGGAAGCTCTCTTAACCTAATCAGATTCTATCTATCATAGGTTAAAGCAGAAATCAAGAGAATTTGATCAAGATTCAATTGACTCAATAAATCATGCCTCAATCGATTATAATCAAACAATATAGCATCCAAAACTTCATACAAGAAAGATCCTAACACATTGAACTAGGGTTCCTCAAAACCTAAGTGAAGGGAAGTTACTCCATAGAGAAGAGAGAGACTGCATAAATCTGATCTAGATCTTCAATCTCCATCTCCAAGCGTGAGTCCCGAGCTCCAATGGCGAAGAAATCCTCCAAAATAGCTCCAAGAATGTTCCCAAGTCGCTCTCTCTCTCTAGGGTTCGTCCCTTGGGTGTTTGGGAACCAAAAATCCAGCTCTCCCCTTTCCTTTGGCTGAAAATCGGGTTTAAACAGCAATTCCCGACTCACACGGGCAGGCCGCACGGCCGTGTGGCTCACCTAGTTGCCCGTGCGAGTCAAAACGCAGCGTATCACTTAGTTGAATTTCAGGCTTCTTACACGGCCAGGGTCGCACGGCCGTGCAGCTCACCTTGCACGGCCGTGTGGATTTTCTGCTCTGCCCGTGTTTGCTCTCGCACAATCCCACACGGCCAAACTAGTCACTTGCACGGCCGTGTGGGTTGTGGGTGTGCCCGTGCGACTTCCTTTGTGACTTGCCTCGCGCCCGATCTTCGCCCAATCGACCCCGAACTCGCTCCTAAACCTTCATTCACTTGCCAGGACCTGAAATATCACAAACAAGCACAACCTAGCGTGAAATCGGTCTAAAACACGAGAAACCACATCTCAAACGGTGTAAGAACAGGGGTGAAAACATGTGTAATTAACGGTCTATCATTTGAACTATTAGTTCACATTTTTAATCCCCCTCGATAGAACGGTGGAACTTGACCCAAGGGTAAAATAGTCATTTTGACTTTTGGGAAGAGCGGGGTGTAACAAGGGCGGTGCAAGCGTCACGGAGGATTCCTAGTTAAGATTTTCAGTAGCAGCAACGACAGAGACTAGCTAGTTATTTACATTTTATGATTATGAGTATAGACTGGAGATCAGATTGAGGTTTAAAGTTTGAGTTTTATTTGCCCACGTGTTAGGGTTTTGCTCTGAACTACAAGTGTGTGTTTTCAGTATTTTATTTATGAATTTTTTTTCCTGCTGCAATTTAAGATTTGAGCATTTTATTTATCAAGGGCATTTTAGTAAAAGTAGTACCCGGACGGGTTAGGGTGTTTCATTTTGGTATCAGAGCCGGTTTTCCTCTGTTCCTTGGTTTCCATGGAATACTGGAATATCGGTCTCAGTTTTAAAGGTTTTGTTTTAAAGGAAAGGAAAAATGAGTCAAGGATCTTCTTTTAAGAGTTTATATAATATCCAGTCTACTCTAATCATATTAAGATAAATAACGTTAGTCCTCATAAAAGGGTACGCCAATCGCGAAGTTCTATCCCGTGGTATATGTACGAGGAATCAAAGGAGTTAAAGGAGCACTACGAGGAATTTTCTATTTAGCCACTAACAAACGATCTAATAGGTTAAGATATACAAGGAGGAGAACTATGAGTCTCCGAAGAAAGAGCTACAATCACTAGATGTCAGTAGCTATAATGATGGGAGGATTTCAGGGTCCTTGACCCTAAGTAGTGGTGAGGAAGCAACGAGCCAAGAAACGAAGAGGTACCACGAGAAGTCCCTCAACTAGTTTTAGTGGTCAACGCTATTACAACATAGTGACAAGGAGCAGTGAAAAGATTAGACTTCAAGAGAAGCTAGGGTAGTGTAAATGAAGTAAATGAGGAAGTAAGGAGGTTAGAGGGGGTCTGAAAGGATGTCAAGAAGTCAATAGATTTAGGAGGAGAGGAGGCATGGTCATTTACATATGACGATGAAGGAACCCTTGTAGATAAACTACGTCATCTAGAGAAGAGGGTACATAACCCTGGGAAGTTAGGCCGATGAAAACACTTTAGAAGCAACAAGACAAGCAACGAGATAAATGATGTAGAGGGCAAGTTATGGTCTAAGTACGACCACCATTGGACGAGACGTGGAGGAAAGTGCCACCAAAGTCTATAGCATGCCTGGTAGAAGACAGTGGGGAGTCAATACATAAGAAAAGACATGGAATGTGGGAGAGAATAACAGTTAGCTAGTAGATGGCAGTACGAATAGAGAACCACTTCTCAGAAGTGCGTGAGTTGGATACCAAGATAACACCGAGTTAGAAGGAGGATAGTAGAGACCCTACAAACTACCTAGATCACAAAAGGTCAAGAGGATGTTGGGACCGTTGGAAGGGGTATGCAAGAGTTCACGATGATCTGTTATGGGATTGTCCTCTCTTAAATAGAGGGAACACCTAGCCTCCTAGGGTACATGAGGGGTGGCAGAAGGAGGAACCTCTCTACTAAGTTGGAACTAGAGGGCTAAGAGCTGAGGTCTCGGAACTAGCTATAGAGTAAGTCATTAAGCCAACCGAGTATAGACAAGTAAGTGGAATGTTCAATAAATGTTCTAGTGAATGGCAGAGAATTCGAGGAAACACATGGAAGTTCCGATGGAGGATTGAGAATATGTGTAGGTGACTCGTGTTCAAGAAAATGCATAGTGGAGTACGACGAGGAAAAGCATTACCAAGAAGGAGGAAATCATTAAGTTACCTTACCCAAGGTGCCCCACTCTGAGCGAGTACGACATAGTAGGATTTCATCCATAAAAGAAGGCCAGTTAAGGATAAATTAGTGATATTTAGCTAAGCCACTAAGAGCCATGACTAAGAGATTAAGGCTATGTACAAGCATCGGTTGAGACAAATGACGTGAATGAGGTATGTTAAAACCTACCCAAGGAAATCCTCTATTGGAAGCTTTAACTCTAACAATAACGAGAAGATACTCAACGGAGTTTGGTGACCAAATATAGTACAAAGCAACAACGGAAGAGTAGTAAAAGTAAAGAAGCAGGGAGAACACCATAGGACGCTATAGGAAATAAAATAAAAAAGGTGGTTGTCGACCGGACAATGAATGCGTGAAAGAAGATAGTTGGGACGTGGTCAATCACCATCATGAGTAGAAGTCGTGGGTGTCATCTGTCAAGTCTACCTAGAGAAAGTTTCTAGTGGAAATGTTGGCTCTGAGGTATGGCGAGGAGCTACTAAACTGAGTAGATCAAAGCTAGTACCAAGCATCGATGAAGGAGTTGTGGAAGTAAGGAGGAAACCACAAGGCTATAATGAAAGTTATGGTGAAAAGGGTGGTAGTTGATAAAACAACAAATTCAGGGAGAAAGATAATTAGGAAGAGCCGGCGAAAGAATCCGAAGGTCAACAAGGAGGCGTTAAGGTGATTTCCAGTGGAGAATAAGTTGGACTATAGGAAGCTCATGAAGAACTGAGAAGCTCAATGGTCAACTTTAAAGTAGAAGTGTGGTGGTCCAGAATGGTCGAAGGGAAAACCTTATCGGTCAAGGTACATAAGTGAGAAGAGAATATGGGCACCAAGATGACTACATCGAGGACGAGGGACATATAAAACTAGCGAGAAACATCGGTAAGAGGAGTCACGAGTAAAGAAGTAAGATGGATATGAGTTTAGTGAACCTGCTAGGATACCCCAAAGTGAAACCAAGATCGCCTATGTTGGTGAAAGGTGTCAATCTCTCGGGTAAAACTTTATTGGACGGGGAAACCGTACGAGGAGTTTCAGCTAGGGTCTAAGAGTGGCAGAAGGGATATTACGAGATCATCAAATTCAAGCAGCTATAAGGAAGTGCTAAGTTAGGCGCCAAGAGTGAGCAAGTAAGCCATTGGGAATATCATGATTCTTGAAATGATTCATAAGGTTGATAGCAAGCTAGAGAGAAATGCAAAGGATGCCTTTAATGCATACAGGAAGTAAAAGCAGTAGTATGAGGTTTCAAGGTTAAGCAAGAAGTAACGAGGAGATGACCACTCAGTTTATGGTTAAAGGACAAGACAACACATCAAAGAAGAAAGTAGAGATGGAAAGTTAGGAGATACAATGACCTAGGTGACCTATGAGGTCAACCCTAGACGAGAGTTACGTTAAAGGAGTTTTACCATCTAACTAGATGGAAGATAAACTGCCATCAGTGACCTTGTGGTTGGAGAGGGGCACTAACTTCTCATGTACCGAATGGATAGTTATCGTTCCTATATATGTACAAGGTGCAGCCGAGGTAATGTGAGGGGTTAAGAAGCCACAACAACATTGAAGTTGCAGGGAATGGAGAGAAGGATTTTAGGTCATGTCGTATAAGTTAAAGGAAATAAAAATCCGCGAAGTGGAAAGGATTACCACAAGCGATACTTAGGGTAATCACAGTGGACAAATTTCGAGGGCAAAATTTCTGTAAGTGGGGAGGAAATGTGATACCTCGACTTCGATAGGTTCAACATCAAGTACTAGGCCCAAGTTGGAAAATTTTGAATAGGGCAATGAGTCACTCAAACTTATTCGATGCTACCGAGCTAGATGAGAATACCTTTTGTTGTCAAGAGTACATATAAGAACTATAGTAATCTATTCAAGACAAGGTAAGGGCACGCCATTGAAGTTCATATAGCAAGAGTGAAATCTTGACCCAAAGAAGTACGAGAATGAGGAGTATGGAAGGATGAGCTCGATCAAATTTCGGGGACGAAATTTTTATAAGGGTGGAGGAAATGTTACACCCCGCTCTTTACAAAAGTTAAAATTTCTATTATGCATTCAATGTAATTTGTCAAATTACACCGTAATATCGACAAGGACTAAAAATATGGACTCTCGATACAAACGGTGTTGAGTTTCGACATAAAATGAGGAAGTTATAGACATTAAATGGGTTTCGGATTAAACTCATTCGATACCAACTAATCGGAAAATTCCCAAAACACACCATGTGTTTATCCAAAATTTCCCTCTTGGCCTTTTTCACCACAGAGCAGAAAATTAATCTAAAACCCTAGTTCCCAAAACCGCAGCAAACCCTACCTTTCCTCCGCCCAGGACCCTCTCAACCCTTAATTATTTCCCCAGTGCCACCCCACCACGTTCTCTATCTCTCGGCAAGAAACCAAAACACTCTGCTGCCGCCAAGTAACAAATCAGGAAAAGGGACGAGCAGCTATTGGAAGAACTAGAATGTTGTGGGCGATCCTCCTTCGAAGGTGAACCGAAAGGCGAACAATAAAGACCAGGTAGGAGGGAATTTGATCAAGCGATCTACAACTCGGTCGGAGATGGCATTGATGATAATACGTAGCAAAACAAGGGGTGTCCGAGACCCAAGTATCCGCCCATGACTCTGGTCCGGTGTCTTATGGATGGATGGATGGATCAATTATTCATGGGGAATTGAAGCTTGAGGTGGATGATCGTGTAAAGAGAATTTTGGAAGCACCCAGGATGGAGCTTGCTTGCGCACTCAAAGTAAACGAGGGCTCAAGGCGATCAACCGTTGGATGATGGCTAGTTCAAGTAAATCGACTTGATAATAAGGTGAGTTTAAAGGGGGTAAATTCTACGCCTTACGTATTCTTTTAAGTATTATGATTTTAAGTATTTTAGCGAATTGGTTACCGTTGCTTGGTTATGTTTATGATTGATTATTTGTGCTTTGCTTGAGCTATGTTTTGAGGTGATTTTGTGCTATTTGAGGTGATATGAGGTGATTTTGTGCTATTTACCTTAAAGCGTTATGTTTGAGTTATTGTTAAAGTTTAAGAAACAAGTTCTTTTTAATAAGTAACTCACCTTCAAGAAGGTGAAGTCGTTTTAAGTGTTTTTAGTCACTATCGCCAGTCCGTTGCCTTTTGAGACATTTTGAGATAGAGCATCAGTTATGCTCTTGAGACTTTTAAGATGAGCAACAGTTATGTTCTTGAGAATCGTGGTGAAGAGCTACCACGATAAGTTTAAGATGTTAGGGGGACGAATCCTTACGACTCCCCTAACTAAGTTTATGTTTAAGGAAAGCCTGGATGGCTTCTCATGCGTATGAGTCGGGCAACCGGACTAGCTAGTGAGGGATCCCCGTGTCTGTCAAGTATTTAAGTCAAGATTTGAGTTTTAAGAGAGGAGAGTAACTTCAACTCTCTCAAAGTTTAAGAGTTAAGATTTTAAGATGGGTAAATTGCAAGGTTGGTCACTGAAAGTGCTAAAATATTCACGTTTGTTCACTAAAAGAATTTTATTCCATTCATGGTCACTGAAAGTGGTTAACATTTCACGATTGGTCACTCTCCATTAGTTTTCATTAACACCGTTAGTGGTTTGCTGATGTGGCAACTACAAATGTTGATTCATCCAATTTTGACATGCCACATCATAAAACCGGATATGCCACATCGGTTTTACCAGTCTTGTTAGATTACCCATGACCCAACCCATGACCCAACCCTCCTTATTGACCCGCCCGACTAAAACTAAATTTGCCCAAATGAAAACCCCATTTTGACCCACCTTATAGTCCCTTCTTCTCGGCCGCCATCAACCTCTAATCCCCACCATCACCATCAACCATCGCAAAGGGATTCAACAACACCATCATCAACCCATCTCTGCCAGGCCTTCAATAGTAGCTTTGATTGCTGATTTTTCTGGTGACCAGCTCTTCCTCAAAGTCGATCGCCCTTGTCTCCTCTCATCTTTACTCCCAAACCCAGAAACGGCGAAACCCCAAAACTAAGGCACTCCCAAACGCGGCAGCGTTGCTGCTTCTATTCGGGAACACAGATCGTCAAAAAACAAATTGAAGATGGAATCCGCCGCCCAGATTTGTCGCTGGTGAAGACAGAGGCTGGCCACCACCCTTGGATTCGGGCCCCGACTGTCTCTAGAGTTAGTTTCGCTCGCCGAGTCTAAAATCGGCGAGGCAAATAGGCCATTCTGCCGATCTAGCTTGACCAGAGAAGGCAGCGGGATATTCTTGAAGGTTCAATCGGCGTCGGCGTGGTGCACGATTGGAGTGCGGAGGTTAAGTTGTCGATGGTTGGGGAGACGGAGATGATAGCAATAGCATTTTTTGGGATAGACGAATGACGATTTCCCCTTGCCCTGGGGGTCCCGTCTGGAGAAAATGATGAGCAGCGTCGGAGGGAGGTCTAGTGACGGTGAGGAAGATTTGCTGGGAAGGATGCTTGGGCGACGGAGGGCGGCATGCGATAGCGAGGAGACACAGCGCAAACAGAGGAAGAAAAAGAGGGGAAAGGTTGAGGAGAGATGGGGGAGATCGAGGGATGTGGAGAGGTTTGGGTTCCTTCGGTTTTTTGTGGTCGGGTTACGAGTTGAATTGGGTTGAGTTATGCTCTGCAGTGTGTTGGGTATGATGATGTGGCAACTCAAGTTTTATGACGTAGCAGGTCAAAATTGGATGAATCAGCATTTTTGGTTGCCACGTCAGCAAACCACTAAAGGTATTAATGGAAACTAACGGAGAGTGACCAATCGTGAAACGTTAACCACTTTCAGTGACCACGAATGGAATAAAATTCTTTTAGTGACCAAACGTGAATATTTTAGCACTTTTAGTGACCAATCTTGCAATTTATCCATTTTAAGATTGGAAGTACAAACAACTTCCACTAGTTAAAGTTAAGTGTTTAAGTAAAGTACTCAAGTATTAGAAGTATTAAAACGTAAGGGCGTAGACTGACCCCAACTCACTCACCAGGCCTTAGTAAGGGAGTGAGCGAGAACCAGATCGGTAGCAGCTAGCTAGAGGAGCAGTTAGAGAGCAGCGAGTTTGAGAGGAAAAGTTCGAGAGCAACCAGCTAGATGTGGGCGGTGCAAGCGTCACGGAGGATGCCTAGTTAAGATTTTCAGTAGCAGCAACGACAGAGACTACCTAGTTATTTACATTTTATTTTTATGAGTATAGACTGGAGATCAGATTGAGGTTTAAAGTTTGAGTTTAATTTGCCCACGTGTTAGGGTTTTGCTCTGAATTACAAGTGTGTGTTTTCAGTATTTTATTTATGAAATTTTTTTCCCGCTGCAATTTAAGATTTGAGCATTTTATTTATCAAGGGCATTTTAGTAAAAGTAGTACCCGGCCGGGTTAGGGTGTTTCAAAAACTCATATTCCTCCTAAAGTTCGAATGTTTCTTTGAAAAGCAGGGAGAGGGATCTTACCGGTTGGCTGCCGTTTAGTGGAATGGATTGACGATGCTAACACTGAGTGCCCTTTCTGCGGGCTCCCTGAATCCCAGTTGCATGCTCTTCGGGAGTGTAGTTGGATCCGATGTTGGTGGCAGGACTGGGAAGGTAAACAAATGTTTAAGATTGGAGAAGGTAAATCGTGTATTGAATGACTAAAGGAAATATGGGAAAAAATTTCGACTGAGCAAATCCAGAGGTTTAGTGTGGTCTTATGGTACCTATGGAAGGAGAGGTGTAACCATCTTTTCAAGAACCCCAAGATTGATGAAGACCTGGTTATCCCCAAAGCTATGGGCTGGTTGCTAGCTTTCCTCGAAGCTCATCCCCCAAATTCCCACAATGGTGTTGCGTCTCAAAATGACAGATGTGAAGGATGGATCCCTCCCCCCGATGGAGTCTTCAAGCTGAATTCCGATGCTGGAGTGCTCGGGCAGGTGGGGGTGGATTTTTAATGTGTGATCAGGGACTCAAGAGTAAGCTTCTGTGGCGCTACTGCGAAGAAGGAGAAGCGGGTCTGCAGACCCATTGAACCGGAGGCAAAGGCGATTATGATGGGGATCCGTGAAGCAAATCGACAGGGCTTTAGCCCGCTGATTGTGGAAACTGATTGTCAGAAGCTCATCAACAAGCTTGGAAAAGAGGAGAAGGACCCTACTGAACTGGGCATATGGTGTGATGAAATCAGAAGGTTGGCAAAGGTGAATGAGATTATCTCGGGTGTTTCGACGGTGTGGAGTTTTACCCAGAGGAAGAACAATTCCTCAGCTCACTGGTTGGCTCACTCTTGCTACTGTTGGGATAGACAATATGTGTGGGTGGATGATCCCCCCCTATCTCTTCTTTATGTGTTACAGGCTGATTTGGGCCAGGCCGGTTTGGGCAAACTTGATTCTTGAATGATATGAATACAGGTTACTATAAAAAAACGATTAACCGACAAAATAACTGTGAATCGACTAAACAGATCCGGTTATAACCGAACCGATTAACAAGCTTACTAGCACTGAAATGACGCAAGGGCAGTAAGGTAAATTAATCTGGCATACCGGATAAGCACATCCAAGTTAAGCCGTTGATTCTTGGCAGAAAAAATGCAGCTGCTGCAGATCGGACACCTCACTCCTCGCTCTCGATTTTCACTCTTTTTTGCCCCTTTCCCTATCAGATTTCAACTTTCCCCATTTCCCCAGTCCAACTAACTACCGTCTCCTCCACCCTTCAGCTCGTAGATAGAACGAGAAGAAGAAGAGATCAGCTCGATCCCAGTCTGGCCGACTGGCCGTGTTTTTTCACTCAGCTCGCAAACCTAGTGAGTCAACTCGTCCTACGTTTGTTCCAGAAGGCAGACCTTACTTCTTACTATCTGCTAGCTCTGAATTTACATCTTCTCCGATTGCGATCTGATTATTCTCTCTCTTCTGATGTGTTGCCCCCGTGGTGCAGTCTTGAGAAATTGAGCGGACTTCGGTTGCTATGTCGGACCACTTTATAGCTCCTTGGGACTTGCAGGAAGAGCCCGTCGACGAGTAAGCTTTCTTTTATCCTTCGATGCCGTTTATCGAGCTTTTCCCTTGGTGGAAAAACAAGCAAGGGATTCATTCGTCTCTGGCTTCAAGTTTCTAGAGCCAGAGCTGAATTTGATGTCGCCGGTATTTCGGGATCTTAATTTCAAATTCTTTTAAGAGAACGAGTGACACTCCTATTTCTTTGTGTTCTTGCCTTCTTGGTCTAGATCTGTCTTATCCGTTGGTCAAAAAGCGTCTTGCTTTTCAGTATCCGGAATCCATTGCTCAAGCGGAGTAGGGATGCTTTTTATTTTGTAGTAAAGTTAGATAATTGACTCAAAGCCGAGGTTTTGAAGCATTCCCAGCTGAGGGTTTTACTTTAGGACTAGGTTTGTTATGTTTTGCTGAGAGAAGTTTGTATCCTTTGTGACCACCAGGTGCTACGGTCCTCCTTCTCCAATCCATGGGCAGCAGAGCGATCAGCTTGTAGGGAATGCGATCCCCAATGGTGGTAATCCGTTTGCTGACAATGGTGCAGCTCATGAAGACAATAAATCTCTGGTGAATGATGTTATTAGCAACGTTGTTAATGAGTTGAACAGCGGTGATCTTTTCAATGAGGGAGAGCATCATGGGACTGATCAGCCTATTGGGGCTGTCCAGCCGGGTTCTAGTGGTGAAGGTCTGCCTTATGCTCCTGTGAACTGGCCGAACCCGGGTGACAACTGGACCTGGAAGGTAGGAAGGAGGATTAATACTGCTGGATTTTTCCAGGATAGGTTTCTTTATCCTCCAAAACATTTCCCCAAGGTGACAGGGGTGAGACCTCCATTTGCGAGCTTGAATTCTATTACCAATTACATCCGGACGGTGTTTCCAGATGCTAATGTCGATGCATTTTTCTCGTCCTTCACATGGAAGGTCCCTGGGAAAATGGCATCTCCTTTGAACGGTAAGTGTAATTTCAGATTTTGGAATCTTCTCTCTGTTCGTCATCTCAACTTTGGGTGGGTAGTTGTTACTGATTATATGCTGCTTGTAACAAGTTGAAAAACTTATCCTTGTCGGCTTCACGTATTCCCATTTATTATCAGTTTCCTAGGGTTTTAGTGTGGTAATTGACGGTCATTTGAGGGGATTCAAATGCTTTAATACTGGTAATAAGACAATTAGAGCGATTTGTGATAGGTCCTGGGATCTGTCTTGATGAAAAAACTAGCCTTGAACTATTTAAAGGAACCCTACTTAGGAACTTAACATAGAACTTAAATGTCAGTAGGGAAGCTCTTGCTGTGTAAAGAACTTAGCATATGTTGTTGCATAATTATAAACTAAGGAGGCATATATAACAACCATTACCGTATCTCCAAGAGCATAATTTTAGCTGGCGTCACCCTCAAATTTTCTTGCCGTCTTAATCTTTTCAGAAAATTTCCCACGCAAGGAATAATAGCCTTCCAAAGTTTACTTATTACATGCGTCCCTTGCTTAAGAGTAAACTAGTGATGTATTTTAAGTAAACAGCATTTGGTATGTGTGTATGATGTCTTTTCGTTTCGACTAGTCTATAGTTATATATACTATATGCAGAGACAATATATTTTTAATAGAGTATATATGCATAAAGGACTTGTGTTTATTTGATTTGGGAATCACTCATCTGTGAAATGCAGCGGAACCAATCTCCACTTCTTCCCCAAAGCCTGCTCATGGCGATGGCGTAAAAGAGGAAGTGCAAGTGCCAGGAGAAGGCTCTCGACTGAGGAAAAGGAAGCCTAAAGAGCCCACTCCACCACCACCATCCCCACCTCCACCCAGGCAGAAACGACGGCGCAGTGCTGCTAAATCATCTGCAACGAACCAGAAGAAAACAGGAGACAAAACTGGAGCTCCCTCATCATCTGCAGCCAAGCGAAGAACTAGGCATACTGCTAAACAAACTGTCCCTGTCCCTTTTGCCGATGAGGATGTTGGAAATAATACCCAGGAAGAGGAGTTTAACATTCCAATCCCAGAAGACTTCGATAACTACCTCCAATCTCTAGAAGACATCATCGCCCAGCCATTTTCTGACAACATAGTTGCTACTCAGTCAACAACAATGACTAGGGATCCTCCTGTGGACGATGATGAGATAGCTGAAGCTCGTCACAGGCTCTCTTCCTTGCTGGTTATGGACTTCCGTACACTAGTTTCCTCCAAGAACTTCTCTGAGCTCCCGGCCTTGGCTTCAAAACTGCGCAACGATCCTCGCCTGACTGCCGAACAGCTCGTCAAGCTGAAGTTGATTGAGGAAATCTCTTCTTTCAGGGAGGTTTTTCTTGAAAGTAGGGATATCATTGACCAAATCGACAGGCATTACGGAACCCTAGATGCAAACAAGGCCAAAGTCGCTTCTCTTAAGAGTGAGTATAGTGAACTGAAGGACAAAACAGACCAACTTCAGGCACAGATAGACGGGAACATGTTGACGGTGCACGATATCGACAATGAGATTGCTAGGCTCCAAGCTCGCCGAGCAGAGTTGATCAGTGCAGTGGAATCAAACAAAGCGGCTAAGTTGGAGGTGAGCCACTCACAGAAGATGGTGGCGAGTGCGATTCCAAATGTTGTGCATGAGATTCAAATTTCCAATTCCAAGATCCCAGAGTGGGATCTGAAGAGGAGCAATGCTGTGAAGCGGGAGGCAGAAATCCTCGCAAAGTTTGCACCTTTGCAAGGGTTCTCCCTCATTCCACCGCCCTTTCATGGGCTGTTTCTGTAAGTTGAGTTAAAGCCTGAAGGTTAACTTCTGTTTCAAAGCGGCAGGTGTAGTAGCAAAAATGCAGGGCGGTTGAGTTGTAATGTGCTTTTCAGCCGGTGATATTCTCCCAACGTAGTAGAGAGAGAGAGATAGAGAGACTTAATCCCTCTTCTTGTTAGCTCTGTGTGATAGTACTGATTTATCTAGCGCAGGAGACGTACCATTGTACTATTTAAGCCATAATGCAGGCCTTAGACATGTACTATTCTCTGGATATGTAGCTTTCTTTCTTTTTTTCTTCGAGTTTAAACAGATTCTGTGTAGCTGTTTCTTTTTTAATTGACCGATATGTATTGTGCTGAATGTTCTTCTGGTTGCTGCACTACTTAAGAGTAATTTACAGTGTAAGCTTAGGCATGTCTGTCATCCATTGCGTTGCATCTAAGGTCTATTACACATTGTTGAGACTTGAGACCACAGTTTCAACTTATGATTACTTCCACTGTGTCGAACACTCTGTTCTTGGTCGCCATCCTCTCTTCTTCATCCTTCTTCCACTGTAAAATAAACGTAGGTAGGTACATTTTGCCTTGGTTGCGCTACAAATTTTCGGTGCAAGATTGCTGGTGAAGTCCGTATGGCAAAAATATCGGTAACCGTGGATATCCGCTTGAAACCGACCTAAGTGGGTAGGGTAAAACCCGAACCCGAAATACTTTTAGTGGGTACGGATAAAACCCGAACTCGGATATTGCGGGTAATGGATGATCATGATTTTCTCACTATCCAACCTGAACCCGCCCGATTATACATAAGCATATGTATTTTTTCTAGAATTAATCATTATTTTTCTCTAACATATTTTATACTTAGCATATAAATATAATATTTTCATGAAATTGTTATTTTAATTAATTTTCTTCATTCTAACAAATTATTGTCGTACTTTTCCTCTTCTACAAGATACATAAAGGCAAAACATGAGTCGGAATTCTCCCATTTCAAATTTCATGACGTGAGAGTGATTCTATGAAGGTCATTTTTGTCATTGTACTCACTTCATGTTTATATATTAAAAAGTACTTTTCCTCTTCTACAAGATACATAAAGGCAAAACATGGGTTGACATTCTCCCATTTCAAATTTCGTGACCTGAGAGTGATTGTAGGAAGGTCATTTTTGTCATTGTACTCACTTCATATTTTTATATTAAAAATGTTATTATTGAAGTTTGAACCTTGGTTACTTGAATGAAGAAAGAGCATTATAACCAACTAGGCTACATTTTATTTATTGTTATTGATTTGATTGAACTCTAGGAATATGTTTCGTGATGATGCTTCTATATATACATTTTATCTTAAGTTATTTATATTTTATCAGAAAGATATTAGTTATGAAATCAGAACTCAAGTAGTATTGATTCAAACATTAATATTAAATTGGATGTTTTTGAACAATGACTCTGCTTTATGGATTAAAGTTTTGCAGGGAAAGTATGTGAAACAGAATGGCGATGGTTCCTTGGCCTTTCGCAGTCATCGTGTGTCCATGCTTTGGAAGGGTATTAAAGATGCACTTCCTCTTGTAAAGATGGGCACTATTTGGGACATTCGCGATGACACCAGTGTCCATTTCTGGACCGATGCGTGGGTTGCTGAAGGAATCATCCTCAAGGACCATATTACCTTCACGAATGACAATCTGTTCTGGGAGGCTTCTGTGGCGGATCAGACGACTGTAACAGGTGAGTGGAACTGGTCTAAGATCGAGCCTTACCTCCCTGACTCCTTGCTTTCTCTAATTGCAGGTACGGATCCTCCACATCCTGATGAGGGGGAAGACATTACAACTTGGGGACTTGAAGGAGATGGTCGCTTCACCCTCCGATCAGCTTATACGGCAGCAACGGTCTGGTTTCGTGAAGATGGTGGCTCTCCTTTGGACGGTAACTCGGAACCTTTTTGGAGGAGCCTCTGGAAGTGGCATGGCCCAAATCGCATTCATCACTTCCTGTGGCTAGTCCTGCACAACCGCCTAATGACTAATAGCGAGAGGAAAAGAAGAAAGATCTGTGATGGAGATACCTGCGTGCTTTGCAACTCGGAGCCTGAGACCACCGAACATATCATCCGCCATTGCCCGACTTCGACCCATGTATGGCTAAAGGTAGGCTTTCGTGATAATAGCCTTACTGTGGGTTTGAATTTTTCAAAGTGGATGGCAAAGCATCTAAGGAATCCAGACACTGGTCTGCTGTTTGGAGTGGCGGCTTGGTACCTCTAGAAACGTCGCAACGAGAAGATATTCCAACATAAGTGGCAGGATGCGACTACCCTCACAGAAAGGATCAAGTGCTGGACTCAAACCATATCTGCTGCCTTGGAGAACAATGGCAAAGCTCTCGACAACCAAACAAACAAATCGGCCGTGGATCTTGCTTGGCAACCTCCACCCCCAGGCTGGGTGGCGGTTAACACTGATGGCTCGGTTAAACAACCCGACTCTCACGCGGCAGCTGGAGGTATTATTCGTGATCATCTAGGGCGATGCTTGGGAGCCTTTTCGTCCAATCTGGGTTCGTGCACGATCACTAGAGCTGAGCTTATGGGAGCTGCGCAAGGTCTGAAACTTGCTTGGGATCAGGGCCATCGACGTGTTCAGCTTAGGCTCGACTCAAGAACTGCGCTCAACATCATCAACTCAACAGACTCGGCGACCCATAGGTACCATATCTTGGTCCGAGAGATACAAAAGCTGCTACAGCAAAACTGGGAAGTTGATACTTCTCACACGTTTAGAGAATGTAATAAGTCTGCCGATTACTTAGCCAATAAAAGGCAGACTGTTAGCATAAGTTTTCATTTAGTAGATTCCCACGATCCAAGTCTTCACTTCTGGACTCTGTATGATTCCTTGGGCATTGCCCAATCTCGTTTAATCTAGTGCCAGGCAAGGACACCCTTTTAGCATCCCATTTTTACAAAAAAAAAAAAAAAAAAAATGCAGAAGTGTAATCAAAACATGAACCTTTGTGATGAGTATAATCATTTTTGTGACAAATCTACACATAATATAATGATACAATTGGAAAATGAGAGTCTAATTTCAAATTTCGTGGTCTGAGAGTGATTCTAGAAAACTCTTTTTCGTCATAGTGCCCAATACATCTTTATATTATGTGTAGATTTGTGACAAAAAATTATTATATTTGTCACAAAGATCAATATTTTGGCTACACATGTATTTTGTCTAAACCGAACCACAAATACAATTTATTATTTAATGTTTGAATCAATGTTACTTGAGTTCCGATTTCACAATTATCACTTTCTATAAGATATAATAATTTCAGGTAAATACCTTTCCTACTTGGTTGAAGAAGCTCTTTCGTTAAGATATATTCGATGTTTTAAGATTTTCTATTTCAAATTTCGTGAAGCGAGAGTGAAAGTAGGAAGAGTATTTTTGTCATCACAATTATTATCTACTTCATATGAAAAAGTATCAATATCAAGATTTGAACTATGGTCTCTTCAAACAAAAACAATAATCACAACCAATTACACTAAACAAATTTATTTTATCTTCATAAATTGTAAACATGCACTAAGCGAAGATTTGAAAAGCAGAGGACTTTTCACGGATAGCTAGCCTATTAAATCTTCTAAAAAGCAAAGTTTAATGCGTTATTTACGATTAGCGCCTACGGTGACATGCATGTCAGATGTCACGGTGACTTGCACTCATTTACGATTAGGTCGACCTCATTTAGGATTAGGTCGACCTCATTTAGGATTAGGTCGACCTAATCTGTTGTTTCAGTGTAAAAACAGTTTCATGGTGCCTACCTTGGAGATTCATATCATACAATTGGCTAGATGGAAATTGAAGATTAATGGCTTGTTTTGAAGCTGGAGTTTTCCTCTACATATTGAAGTGATTGAGAGCTCGATAGGAAGTTGAGAAGACCATTTTTCAACTTGATCAAAAGGCTATGCCAAAACTAGAAAACTGCCTGAAAATGGCCAAGTCTGGAAACATGTTTGTGAAGCCTATATTGGAGCTCAATTTGAGAAGCATGAATGCGATTCGAGTCCAGGGGCCTCTACCACGTTAAATTAGGTATGTTTTATACAAATTCAAGGCATTGGATGAAAGATTGGATATCTGTAAGGCTTCAAACAAAAGGGTTGAAGTTGCTACGAAGGCTTCTTTTCTGGCAGACTTCGAGCACAAGCAAGCTGCCAGAAAAATAGCCTTCGTAGCAACTCAAGCCTTTTGTTTGAAGCCTTAAATATATCCAATCTTTCATCCAATTCCTTGCCTTTGTAGACAAACATACTTTATTTAACGTGGTATAGGCCTCTGGACTCGACTCGCATCTATGTTTCTCAAATTGAACTCCAAAGTAGGCTTCACAAACACGTTCCCAGACTTAGCCATTTTCAGGCAGTTTCCCAGTTTTGGCATAGCCTTTTGATCAGGTTCAAAAATGGTCTTCTGGACTTCCTATCGAGCTCGCAAGTACTTTAATGTGTAGAGGGACACTTCAGCTTCAAAACAAGCCATTAATCTCCAATTTCCACCTAGCCAATTGTAAGATATGAATTCCATATTAGGCACCATGAAACTGTTTTTACACTGAAACAACAGATTAGGTCGACCTAATCCTATATGAGGTCGACCGGAAAGTGCATGTCACCGTAACATGCATGTCACCATACCAAAGTCCTAATTTTTATAATCTATAAAATGATGGGTAATCTTAAAATTGCAACACAAGTTTCATTGCTTGAAATATTGCATATCGAACTGCAGTATTGAATGTGCAAAAGCGATGTAGAAATCTTAAAATTGCAACACAAGTTTCATTGCTTGAAATATTGCATATCGAACTGCAGTATTGAATGTGCAAAAGCGATGTAGAAATTTATAAATTAATATGAATTTTCAGAACTAATACGAAACAATAATATTTTGTACAAACTATAGGTGGCTGGTTCTCTAAAATTTTAGTATGGTTAACTGCTAAACGTTAAACTCTTGCTAATCGGGCATGAATGGACCCGAAAATAATGAGATGATATCGTGTTTAATGTTATGTTCATTTCGTCGGTTTTGGATCACATGTGTTGATCAATTTATAGGGCATTAACATATAAATGAGTTATAATTAACCTCATTATACAATTTTTACTCTTTATAATAATTAATTTAATCTTAATGTTAGTGATGTTTGAAATATTTTATGTATGATTTAGAGGTATAATTATTATTTGTGACATCAGTTGTAGTTTATCAAATGTAGTATTTCATCAGATAGTCAAAATCGAATACTGGGTGCATTTATGACTGTTTTTATCTTGGTGTTGTGAATAGGTAGAAAATTAATTATTACAATGCATATAACTATACCTAGGCACATGGTCGATCTAACCATGAAGACAATGTATATGGATCAACCATGTACAAGAATGAATGCTTCATGGGTCGTACCATACTTAAACTTCAAGGGCTCGCACACAAGTTCGAGCACCACACGGTCTATATTTGTGAACTCATGTTTTATGGAGAAATGCGCCATTTAATAAAAATAAAACAAAATATTCTAAAAATAACATGTAAAATTTGAATTAATGAGTAGTTTCTCACATCAACGTGTGACGTCTCATATTCTAAAAGGTTTATAAAATACATTCATTGTTTATTTTGAGTCTCAAACTTTTTTCAATATATACAACTAAAAAATCACTTATAAATTCATTCTTGATTAACTCAAAAGCTGAAAAGTCTTTTTGCAGTAATAACAAACAATGCCAACGATAACTTTAGAAGCAAGTAAAGTGAAGAATAAATTGAGATTTAGTATTTCTTTGCAAATGTGTGTTTGGGGGGGGGGGGGGGGGGGGGGGGGGTTTAGAAAGGGTTGAAACTCATATATCATTTGTTTGAATATTGAATATTGCATATTGAATTGGAGTATTGAACATTTTGGAAGCGATATATATTCTTAAATTAGTTTAAATTTTCAGCCCGATTGACCAATAGCCTTAGTGATGCAGCGCAGCTGGAGGCCAAGCTTGATGAAGCTATTCGTATGGAAGGCGGGACGGAAGACGTGATGCTGCATGATGCATGACGATGATGCTTATGTTTATTTGTTTCATTATTATATTTGGTTTTCCTAATAGGTTTTGGTTTTCATTATTATATTTGGTTTTCCTAATAGGTTTCGGTTAAGGGTTATTATTATTTAGTTTCATTATAGGTTTTGGTTGCCAGTGGGTTTTAGTATATAAGGACCCTTTGTTCACGTGTAAGAACTCAACTTTTGGCTTTTGATTATCAAGTAAACCTAAGGGTTTTCTTCCTAGTGGATTTCTGGGTTTTTCCTTAAGTTTGCGGCTTGCAAGCTTGTTTGTTTGAGAAGCTCGGCGCTTGCGAGTTCTTTGGTTTTCCGACTGCGTCAAGTGGTATCAGAGCAGGCTTTCTCCTGTCTCTCTTCTAAGCTTGCACAGTCATGGGAGATCAACCGGTCATATGCGCGGATATCGAGGCTATCACCACGGCTTTTACCACGGCAATCACAACCTTGACAACGCAAGTGACAAATTTGGCGGCACAGGTGAACAACAATCAAAACAACAATCCGAATAGGAGGGAGCGAGGCAGGAGAGTCGAGCGGGAAGAACGTCCCAAGAGGGCGCATGGTGCTCAACCCGGTTCCGATTCTGGTTCGGATGAAGAGGTCCATGACGAGGACCAGGATCATGATGTTGATCGGCAAAATCGCAACGATTATCGGGTCAAGGCAGACATCCCTTTGTTTTATGGAACTATGGGCGTTGAGGATTTTCTTGATTGGCAACTTGACGTCGATAGATTCTTTGATGTGATGGAGGTACCCGAAGGTAAACAAGTTAAGATGGTAGCCATTTGTTTGCAGAGTACTGCTGCAATATGGTGGGACAAGCTTGTCGTCCAGCGCCAGCGCCAACGAAAAGCTCCGATCCGAACATGGCGAAGAATGAAGCAGCTGATGATGGAGCGGTTTCTATCGGAAGATTACGAACAAATATTATACATGATGTACATTGATTGTGCCCACGGTCGGAGAAGTGTTACTGAATACACGACGGAATTCCTACGTTACACGGAACGCAATGAGCTGGGAGAGACAGAAGGGCAAAAAGTCGCTCGATACATCAATGGGCTGGTGGGTTCAATTCAAGAAAAGATAGGTCTGCAGACTGTGGCGGAGGCCTCGACCCTAGCATTGAAGGCTGAATTGATGGAGAAATCCCCCAGGAATCTTCCCCCTTTTCGTCGATTCCCTCCCTCGGGAAATCCTGTTGTTGCCAGTGATAAGGATAGGGCAATGGGTGCCAAAGAACTCCAGTCCACCACGAAACCTAGTGGCGGCACTTCCAGCTCAAACAAAGGACCATTCCCAAAGGTTCCTAACCCGTACGTGAGACCTACGGAAGATAATTGTTTTCGCTGTGGTGGCCAAGGCCATCGTTCTAATGTATGTCCTTCCCGGAGAACATCAACAGTCTTGGATGAGACAATTGGAGTGACTAACGATCTGGACGAAGAAGAGGAGAGTAACGAGTATGAAGGACTCGAGTTTGCCGAGGAGGAGTCCGAGGACGTATTAAATATCGTGCTTCAGCGAATCCTGTTATCGACGGCAGATGATGGACAACACAAAAATCTTTTTCGGACACACTGTTCTATTAATAATAAGGTGTGTAACCTTATTGTGGACAATGGAAGCACTGAAAACCTAGTGTCCCAGAGGCTGGTCGCATACTTAGAACTCCCTACTGAACCTCACGCTAAGCCTTATGCGCTAGGTTGGGTAAGTAAAGGGCCGCAGGTAAAAGTCACGCGGACTTGCGAGGTTCCTATCTCGATTGGAAAACACTACAAGGAGGAGGTCGTGTGCGACGTTCTCAACATGGATGTGTGCCATGTGCTCCTAGAGAGGCCGTGGCAATATGATAACAACATTACCTATTGGGGCAAAGATAATGTAATGATGTTCAGTTGGGGTTCGCATAAAATAGTGATGGCCCCAGTCTTGAGTTTCAACAAACAACCGGGCAAGGCGAGGTCTAGTTTTCTCAGCATGGTGCATGGTGAACAAGAGCTAGTGGAAGCCGTGAAGGAAGCCGAGTGGATTTGTCCCGTCGTTGTGAAAGGATTGTTGCATGCGGCAGGGGAAGAGACTTCCACACCATCGGAAGTGCAAGAGATATTAAAGGAATTTGGGAAACTATTATCGGTGGAGCTGCATGGTGCCCTGCCGCCCATGCGGGATATTCAGCACCATATTGATTTGATTCCAGGAGCCAGTTTACCGAATTTTCCCAATTACCGAATGAGCCCAACGTAGAATGAGATATTACGGGAGCAGATTGAAGACCTCTTGAAAAAAGGGTTCATACGTGAAAGTATGAGTCCATGCGCGGTACCCGTGTTGCTCGTACCAAAGAAGGGTAACCAATGGCGCATGTGCGTGGATAGTCGGGCAATCAACAAGATTACTATTAAGTACATGTTCCCTATCCCACCGCTAAAAGATATGCTTGATGAGTTTACCGGTTCGAGAGTGTTCACGAAGATCGATTTACGAAGCGTATATCACCAGATCCGCATTCGACCCGACGATGAGTGGAAAACGGCGTTCAAAAGCAAGGATGGGTTATACGAATGGCTAGTCATACCGTTTGGGTTGTCAAACGCGCCCATCACTTTCATGCGTTTGATGAATCAGGTTCTGCACCCTTTCAATGGTTCATTTGTAGTAGTCTATTTCGATGATATACTAATTTACAGCAAAACCAAGGAGGATCACCTGGGACACCTGAGGCGTGTATTTTAAGCTTTACAGGAAAATGAGTTGTACGTAACCTTGAAGAAGTGAACTTTATGTACCGACAAGCTTTTATTCTTGGGATTTATCGTGGGTGCTGAAGGAATTCAAGTCGATGAGGAGAAAGTTAGTGCCATCCGCAATTGGCCTACGCCTGCGACTGTGTCGGACATCCGAAGTTTCCACGGGTTTGCTACCTTCTATCGCCGATTCGTGCGCGACTTCAGTACTATTACTGCTCCTATTACTGAGTTCCTGAAGAAAGGGAAGTTTCACTTGGGTCCTCCGCAAGAGCGTAGCTTCGAGATGATCAAGGAAAAGCTCTGCACCGCACCAGTCCTTGCCCTCCCCGACTTTGACAAAATTTTCCAGGTTGAGTGTGATGCTACCGGGTTGGAGTAGGCGCTGTACTCTCACAAGAAAAACGGCCTGTTGCCTTTTTCAGCGAGAAACTAAGTGAATCTCGACAGTGAGTTCATCCTGTTTACTGACCATCTCGCATTGAAGTACTTCCATAGCCAAAAGATTATTAACAAGATGCATGCCCGATGGGTGAGTTATTTACAAAAATTTCCTTTCATCATCCAACACAAATCCGGCGTCCAGAATAAGGTTGCTGACGCAATGAGCTGGCGCGCCTCTTTGCTGGTTACACTGGCGCACGAGATCATCGGGTTTGACTTATTAAAGGATCAATATGAGTCCGATCCTGACTTCGCTGAGTTATGGCTTAAATGCACTCAACATCATCCCATCGATGACTACCATGTCCGTGACGACTACTTGTTTAAAGGGGATCGTCTTTGTGTCCCTAGTTCTTCCTTGCGGGAGAAGCTGATCCGCGATTTGCACAGTGGCGGACTCGGGGGTCATTTGGGACGCGATAAAACCATAACCAGCTTGGAGAACATGTTTTTCTGGCCACATCTACGGCGTGAGGTGAGTCTCATCGTCAAGCGTTGCTATGTTTGTCAAGTTTCCAAGGTCAATCGCAGAATACCGACCTCTATATGCCACTACCTGTTCCCGACGATATCTGGTTGGATCTCTCCATGGATTTCGTCCTGGGTCTCCCTCGTACCCAGCGAGGAGTGGATTCTGTCTTCGTCGTGGTTGACAGGTTCTCTAAAATGTCCCATTTTATTGCCTGTAAGAAGACGGCAGATGCATCCAACATTGCGAAACTGTTCTTTAAGGAGGTCGTCCGTCTTCATGGGGTCCCCAAATCCATCACCTCCGACCGCGACACCAAGTTCCTTAGTCATTTTTGGATTACTCTATGGCGGATGTTCGGCATCGCATTGAACTGGAGCTCTACGGCTCACCCGCAGACTGATGGCCAAACTGAGGTAACAAATAGGACTTTGAGAAACATGATTCAGAGTGTTTGCAGAGACATGCCAAAGCAATGGGATTTGGCTTTACCACAGGTGGAGTTTGCGTACAACAGTGCGGTCCATTCCGCTACCGGCAAGTCACCCTTTTCTCTTGTTTACACTACTCCACCTCTGCACGTTGTTGATCTAATTGCACTTCCCAAAGCTCCTGGGGTGAGCCAAGCTGCTGAGGCCATGGTTCGAGACGTGCAGGCTGTTAAGGATGTTGTCAAGGCGAAGCTCGAGGCCACCGGCCAGAAGAACAAGCGGGCTGCTGATGCGCACCGCCGCGAGAAACTATTTGTTGTGGATGATTCTGTTATGGTGTTTCTACGCAAGGATAGGTTTCCTTTTGGGACTTACTCTAAGTTGCAGCCTCGTAAGTATGGTCCTTTTAAGGTGCTCAAGAAGATTAATGATAATGCATACGTTATCGACTTGCCAGCTTCCATGAACATTTCCTCTACTTTCAACGTCGCTGACATCTACTAGTTTCATGCGGATGATGCTCCATATTCTAACCCGAACTCATGGTAGAGTTCTTTGCGAGTGGAGGAGACTGATGCAGCGCAGCTGGAGGCCAAGCTTGATGAAGCTATTCGTATGGAAGGCGGGACGGAAGACGTGATGCTGCATGATGCATGACGATGATGCTTATGTTTATTTGTTTCATTATTATATTTGGTTTTCCTAATAGGTTTCGGTTTTCATTATTATGTTTGGTTTTCCTAATAGGTTGTTCGGTTAAGGGTTATTATTATTTAGTTTCATTATAGGTTTTGGTTGCTAGTGGGTTTTAGTATATAATGACCCTTTGTTCACGTGTAAGAACTCAACTTTTGGCTTTTGATTATCAAGTAAACCTAAGGGTTTTCTTCCCAGTGGATTTTCTGGGTTTTTCCTTAAGTTTGCAGCTTGCAAGCTTGTTTGTTTGAGGAGCTCGGCGCTTGCGAGTTCTTTGGTTTTCCGACTGCGTCACTTAGACCTTTTGCTAATCTAACATGGATGCAATAATCATAAAATGAGATTTAGTTTGATATGGCGTCGGTTCAAAACCATTTTTTATGTGTAATGAATTAGTACGACAAATACATGTAAAGTGAAGATGAACCTGATTATGCATTTTGATTCTTTATATAAATACAGTGGTTTAAGGCCTTAAGCGATAAACTAACTATACACTCACTTTTAATAATTAGTTGATTCACAAGCTATCAATAGGGGTGAGCACGTGGGTGGTTAATCCGCAGATTGATATCGATCCACCCGCAAATAACCCAACCCGCACGCAGTGGGTGATTGATGTGGGTGGATTGCGAATTGATAAATCTCTCACCCGCACTTATGTGGGTGGGTAGTGGGTCACCCGTATGACCCGCATCCTATTTTCCCATAAAAATGTTGTTTCTTATAATATCAAATATTCATCATATTTTTGAATTGCACAACAGTCTAACCATATACTTCAAAAGGTAGAGAATAAAGAATAGTTTTGACTACTATTATTGGTTATTGTGTTGTACAATATTCATTAGATATTAGATATTGGTTTGCAAATTATTGTTAATATCCATTAAATATTGGGATGCAAAGTATAAATTATTATTTGTATCAAAATCACAAATTATTGATACAATCTTACTTTGCTATGAATTGCTAGTTGGAGAATTGCTTTTTGCGGGTTGACCAGCGATCCAACCGCACTCATCCGCCACCCACCCAACCCAACCTGCAAAAGTATGTGGGTGGATTGCGGGTCACAATTATTCCAACTCGCTAGTAAGCGGGTGGGTCAATTTGAGACCAAAATCCACCCAACCCGCCCATTGCCCACCCCTAGCAAACATGTCTAGTTACAGTGTAGTAATTTTCATGCAACAAATACTTTTTTCATGTAATAATTCAATAAATAAATACGTATGAAAATAATATTATATGAAATATATGTTACTCATTAAGTTGATGAATGAGAGAGGGTATGAGTAACATACATTTATTTTAAAAATATAGAAGTTGCGAAGTGTCTTTTGGGTTGCATGAAATCGCATTTTCTCATTATTGCTAACTAACTTATACTTTTTTGCAATAGATGGTTCAAAATGTGCCTTATAAATTTTATTTCCACCAGTGTAAAAGAATTGTTTGAACCAAAGGATTGTAAAATCATATCGAAAAAGTTGGTAGTAGAGTATTTTATACTGAAGTCATAATTTAATTGTGGTTCAACCGTTTCATATTGTTAAATATCACCTATTGATTTAGCCTATGATGTGAAGTTTCATGGTCGAACCGCCGGTATGTACGGTCTTTCATTACAAACTTTAAATAAAAAACACTGAAATATTGACATTATCAAATACCCCTTAAATCTCGGAAATTATAATAATCGTATTAAAGAAAAAATCTTCCAAATGACAATAGTGATTTAGGATTTTAAATTGAAATAGAAAAAATATGTCAAATATAATGTCATCTCCTAAAATAAATCCAAACTCAACATAGTAAGACTAAGAATATCCACTAATCAAAGCAGAATGACAATTATTTCACACTACCACATTTTCCTCATCTTTTAAATGTGTCATCTCACTCTTTATTTGTCTTCTTCTTTGTTTTTCCATTTGTTCTTCCATCTCTCTCTCTCCTAGTTTTGTATCTCACAACTCTCCCCCTTTTCCCTACTTCTTTCTTCCCACCGCTTGGAATCGAGAGAAACCTGTAAACAACCCAATTACTTCTCCAATTTTGCGTTTGAAATGCTTCTTCTCCATTCATAGTCGATAGTCTGAATCAGAGCACCTGAAACTTAACGAATAGATCGCCGCTTATTCATAGATGGAGAAAAATAGCTTGATAGCTAGGGGTGGGCATTGGGTGGGTCGGGTGGATTTTGACCATAAAATGCACCCACCCGCGCTTAAACGGATTGATAATTTTTAACCTACCACCCACCCACATTTAGTCTCGGTTTGGGTCGGGCGGATGGTGGATGATGCGGGTGGGTTTGTGGGTTCACCCACATCACAATGTATATAATATAAAGGAGTCAACTTGACATGATAATAGGTGAAGAGAATCATCGAGGGAAACAAAAAGTTGAAATAGGGCGAAAAATGTCGAATTAGTTCTTAAATTGGATAGAAATTCTATTATGAAAGAGTTTTCTACAAATTGAGACGATTATTAGGTGCAAGGAACTAAGGAAAATAATTCCACAAAGGAAAGAGCGGTGATCTAGGCACAAGAATTAGATGAAAAAGTAAAGGGAAGAAGAGGGGATCTCTATTTGGAAGGTTGGCTTTGAGGTTCAAACTCCAGGAGTAGTCCGAGTTTATATCTAACATCTCCACTCTCCTCTTTATAGCGCCAACGACTTTGATCTTTTTGCTGTTGGGTTGAGCGGGTCACCCGCACACTCACCCACAACCCACCCACCACCCGGCGGATGGCTCCCAGCGCAACCCGTCACCCACCCACAGACCCACTTACTTAACAAAATTCGGGTCAAATGCGGGTAAGTCGGCCCAAACCGACGGATGATCCGCCCGCATGCCTAGCACTAGCCATCCCTACATCACCCAAGTTCAACATGGCCCAATAAGCTGAGCTAGGCCCGGTTTCTCTTCAATAATCCTATCCACAATTCCGGAGCCCAATTAGCATCACCAGCTGGAGCTAACTTTTCCCCCACGTTCTTTTTGGTCCCCAATGGACGATGCTTTGTTTGGCCGCGCGCAACCTAATCAAAATCATTGATCTAGAAACTTCCCTCTCTGCGAACGTCTATCTGGGTGGCTATACAACTCCATTGGAATTTCTCCCGGCAATCTTCTTCCGCTTCTCGTCCAGTCCCAGTCTGATCGCCGCCGCCGCCGCCGTCGCCACCTAGTTCGCCGCCGTCACAAATCGCGACGTTCATCACCTCGCAGGTATGCTTGTTCCTCACGTTTTTATTGGGCGGGTAAATGGGATAATTTTCAAAGTCTTGGGAGTTTGCCGTTTTTCTTACCTCCTATGAATCAATCTTCTTTTTTTATATCTGTTTCACATCATTCTCCGTTCGTGTTGTATGTGAATTCGTCGATTCCAGTTTTCAGGGTTTGGTTGGTCGGTTTGTTCCTTGTGATTGGGTCTGTAATTTGTTGCCTGAGCATGGGGCTTTTGAGGTTCTTTCTCAATTGATAGATTGGCTCAGGGTGTAATGTACTCCCCTGTGAATTTGTAACTGACTAGCTAGCTACAGAAGCATCCAGAGCAGAACTGATCGTGGGTAAGTGGGCGGCGAGTTGAGGCTCCTCTCCCCTGCTTCTGCATTGCATACAATACATTGAAGCACCATTGAGCGACCTTCTTTGCATTCATTTGTTTTGGTTAGTATTTACTAGTTAACCCTAGAATTAATACTATTAGGTTAAATTTTCTCTTTGATGAATATCAGGTAAACATTTTCATTCTCAATGTATTTCATTAAATCTGGTTTTATGTGATCTAACTGTTAGTTTCCGTATGATCCATCGGACTTGTTTGAGGTGACTGTTGTGTGAATTGTCGATAGTGCACCCTCATGATTGCAATTTGATTGATATGGTGTGTTTGGTTCATTTTGAGCTGGCGTTTTCTTCACGTGTTTCTTTGTTGGAAAGATATTTTGCTTGTTTTCATGCACCTGGATCTGCAGGCAAGTTGCTCCGTTGTTGAATTGGGGATAAATTGCTTACATCATCTTGCATTGTGATGTTGTTGCAGGTCTGAAAATTTGACATTACCTTCTTACACCGCATATCTCACTGGGACCGTGCTTCTTCCTCATAGACAATGGTACGTGTGCTCTGATTTCCTAGAAAGACAATAGATGTTGTAGGTGCTTGCAACTAGATATGTTATCGTTTCGGTCACGAAGTTGCTTTTACAACGAAATGGCTTCTCGAATGGAGTTTCTAGTAGCTCTGGTATGGAGTTCCAGTTAGATAGAGGATAGCTATCACTACGTCCTAAAGAATATTTATCACCTTTATATTTCAGGCTGGCAGAGTAATTGTGAATTTGATTGTGATGAGCTCTGGAGTGTTAGCAAGGGCCTTTTCTCAGGCATATCGTCAAGCGCTTCAAAGTATGGTATTAGCCTTATTATTGTTCTTTCACCCCGTCACCCCCACTTTTGCTTTTATCTTATCCTTTGGGCTTGATCAAATCGCCAGATGCTTCGAGGAACGGTGTTGCACATGAAACAATACATAACATGAAGAAAGTCAGTAAGACGATGACCGAGTCTGAGGCTAAGCAGATTCTTGGAGTTTCTGAAAATGCACCGTGGGAGGAGATTCTAAAGGTTTGCAAATGACTATTTATCATCCATTGAAATATGCGAAACCATCGTCCTTGTGATCATCAAGTTGCTACCCTTCTCTCGACTAATGATTAAATCGTTCACCATAATTTGTCTGCAGAAATACGATTCCTTGTTTGAGAACAATGCTAAGAACGGCAGCTTCTACCTGCAATCCAAGGTCTTCCGAGCTAAAGAACGCCTGGAAAGTGCAGCCAAGAAGGGCACCGAAGGAATAACTGGGCTGAACATTTAACGTTCTCGTCTCTTCTCCCAACTGCAGAGGTGCACATATTAGAAGTCAGCAGGTGCGTGTTAGTTCGATGTTTCACTGTAATGCGTGTCGAAGCATGTAGTCCAAAAAGACGAACTGGAATTCCAGGTCTGCAAATTTTATATAGAATTTTTTAAGAATAAACAGAAAGCAATTGTGGATGTAAAATGTCATGCAGTCATTTTCATAGTTCATTTACTCGTTGTGTTATAGTTGAACCCTTGACGTGAGAGTATTTGAGTTCGGTCGTGAAGGGTAGTTTTCCGACAGCTCCTCCCTGGCTGGCGTTCGCTAGGGCCACCAGGCTGGTTCAATCCCCACCAACAGTCCAACATCATTAGAAAAGACAATTTCAACCTGGTGCAGTTGCAGCAATACACAGTTGTAAGTTCCTAAAAAAAAAAAAAAAACACACACACACAGTTGAAAGTTCCTTTTAAAAAATACAGTTGTAAGTTGTAACAGACGACATTTTCTCCCTAGAACGGAAATATTGAATATCATGCCCTAAATTGTAAACTGTTTAACAGCACATAACGGGTCAACCACGTTTTTTTAGTACAAAATACCCTAGGCTTACACTAAACTTTTCCGGTGTCTTTCTTATAATAGATCATTATTACAGATTTTGATTCCTTTGTGGCTTCTTTCGTATGCTGATTCATTTATGCTGTTTTCTGATTTCGTAGAAAGGAAATAGGAGGGTAGAGGATAAATGGATAAATTACTATCATGGACTTTAAAACCTCACCCAAAACTCGCATTAAGAATTGTAGTTTGCAAGTTCATAGGATTTATGAATTTGGACCCTTAAAGTACATGCAACTTCAGAAATTTGATACCTCTAACTGCATGAAGCAAGCAATAGACTTCGTTCAAACTGCAAGAGGAATAAGATTCGTTCATAAAATTCTTTAAGCAAACTTGTCCTTAATATTTTATTTAGGGTTGTTAGTCGTTGTTGTTCGATTATAACAGTAACCGTTTAGTCGGTTGTCGATTAACTTTTAAACAATTTGTGCTTATTGTTAACTGTCCCGTCTACACTAATCGATTAACCTTAACTGTATTGTCGATCATCAATCATTTTTTCGGTTAACTGCTAGCCGTTAAGCAAGTGATTCAGTAAGGTTAGATCAAAATAATCGATCGGTAATCTAACCAATAGAAGACCTCCTTTTTCAATTGTGCATTTTTGTAATATTTTTTCACACATATATATGTTTTCTCTTTTTAAGTTTTTATCATTGAATAAAAAATAATTTAACATAGATATCAATCCATAATTAACACAATCCAACACAAATACACAAAACACCATTATTCCGTCAAATTTGATTGAAGAAGCTGACAAAAATAAGAGACCAATATAATTACTAATTCATAAACCTCACCAAATTACATGGAAGATTAATGTTGCTGATCACTCATCAAACTTTTTGATTACCCAAGAGAGCCCTTCTTCATAATCAGACAAGTAAACAATCATGATGTTAAGGTAGGCAACTATAGAACGCCATCTCAGAATGTTTTGACAGGTACAAAAAATCACTATGAGATTTAAGGAACGCTCAGATGTAATTATTCCAACGACATTTTTTCAGGTACTAGCATTCTTTCAGATACTACCAAACATAGTTTTGACATAAGTCCATCTTTTTTATTGTCCTTCTTATAGAGCCCTTTCCATATGAATCTAAGTCAATATTACGGAGCAGGGTAGGTAAGAGATCTTGTAAGCCTTCAACACCCCATTATTTATGGTCTAAACCTGCAACTCATCGATGCTTATTACTTTCGGGCCCTAATTGTAAGGATGTCGTAATAGTCAATTAATCTTATAACCGCCGGTTACTAATTAGCTCAGGATAACTGATAATCCTACTTCTATTTTAACATCCTCCTGCAGCATTTTTAATTATAACTAGTGAGTTGCGCGCGCTCCGCGGCGCGGTCATCTATTTTGTATTATATTTGTTTACAATATAAGATAATAGAAAGGCCATATCGACATTTAACATTTCATAATCAAATAAAGAAATGTGCATATTTGTGTGGCCAAAATCGGCCATTCAATAAGCTGTTGCTATGTCTGATGCTTTTCTTGTTACAATTTAGTCAAAACTGTAAATGAAAACAGTGTCACGGAAAATGGTAAAATAAATTTGGTGATTCAAAATGGTAAAGGCAAGTGGATCTCCCATGCTAGTGCCCTCGACAATAGAAAATCTGGAAAGAGACACATTTCGTAAAAGAAAGTAAAAAACAACGTCGTGTGACCTCCAACCTGGTAACCTTGCACCTGGTCAACCCAGCGGGGGTGTGTGGCTCGTTTTTCTCAGCGGATCAAGGTCAACACTTAACATTTCATAATCAAATAAAGAAATGTGCATCTTCATGTAAGGACCAAAAACCAGCCATTCAATAAGCTTTTGCCATGTGTTGATGCTTTTCTTTTACAATTTAGTCAAAACTGTAAATGAAAATAGTGTCGCGGAAAAAATGGTAAAACAATTTTGATGATTCAAAATGGTGAAGGCAAGTGGATTTCACATGCTAGTGCCCTCGACAATGGGACGGGTAATGTAGTTGGGCGAGAGGGTGAATGATCCCACATATATATATATATGGTGACTTCTATTGTACCTTGGGTAAACTCTAGGGTACGACATACCTTGAGTAGGAAAACGCTATCTAGACCTCGAATTAATCGGACTTTTAGGCATGATACTATACCCTAACCCTTGATAAGTGAACCCTAGGTCTTAGTTTTCTAAATCATATAGCCTAACTGTTAGAAACAAAGAAGTTCCACAAGGAAATCAGGGATTGAGAAGAGAAGAAATTAGGGATTTGAGAGAAATTGGGGAAGAACAAGAGATAGAGAGAATTGGGAATTTAGGGATTTAGGTTGAAATATTGATTATTGACTAATCTGCAGAACAATGTTTCCTCCTCTTAAATACTAAACAGAAATAATGAAAAATAACAAAACTGCCATCCCTCACCCAACCACCCGCCGGTTTCTAACATCCTCCCCCTCTTCAAGCCCGACCTTGCCCTCAAGGTCGAAGTTTGGGAACTTCTGCTGCAACTCGCTGGTCTCCTCCCATGTAGCATCATCCGGCTCCAAATGTTTCCAAAGCACCAAGCTCTCCTCCACCAGCCGTCTTTTCTTCTTCGTCCACCGCGTCTCAAGCACCCTCAGTGGTTCGAGCTCGAAGTCTCCATCCGCACTGACAGGAGGGGCAGTCGTCTCAACTCTATCTGCTGCTCCTCGGTAAAGTTTCAACAAAGAAACGTGGAAGGTGGGGTGAATGCGAGACTCCGCCGGTAGCTGCAGATGGTATGCCACCGTGTTTACCTTCTACAGGATCTCATAAGGGCCGAAGTAGCGCGCAACCAGCTTCTGGTATGCACGCCGGAAGACTGAGGCCTGCCTATAGGGATGCAATCTCAGTAGTACCCAGTCCCCACCTCAAACTCTTCTTCCCTCCGACCCGCATCCTCCATCTGCTTCATCCGGTTGTTGGCCGCTGGCAACGTACTGCGCAGCTATTCCAGCGCCTCATCTCTCGCCACCAACCATCTATCCACCTCATCCACGGAGCTGACGCCAAGCCTGTACCGCACCAGGGACGGTGGGGCACGCCAGTACAAGGCCTCGAACGGTGACATCTGGATAGCCCGATGGTAGGTGGTGTTATACCATAACTCAGCCCACGGAATCATGGCCAACCAGCTCTTGGGTTGCTGATGGGAAAAACACCGGAGTGACTCGCTATGACATAACACCTAACAATGGCCAGGTGTAACCAATGGAAGGGACTGCGGTATAGTGGCTCAAGTAATAAATATCGAATCAACAGGTCTCTAGAGTTACTATTACTTAGCTTCAGTTTATTATTTAGCAAACCACATTAAGATGAAAGAACTAAAGTACTCTAGCAAACTGCAGTTAAAGTTAATCTAATTACAGGTTGGGAACTCACTTAGGTATGATTCCCCCTAGCCACTAGCCAGATTAACGATTGATGATTTCTAACTTGTTTCACTTTCATTCACAATGCGGAGAATCCTTGACTAGACCTTGAGTCTCGACTAAAGGAACAAAGCCCTCTTGAGTCAATTGCCTAGAGGGACGTATCCTTCTCTAGAACAACCGATCAAGGCGTTCTGAACTAGACTCCCTCTATCGAAAGAGGTTCTCAATCGATACAAAGCAGTGAATCAACTCTCGACTAAAGCAATCGATCCAATACTATCAATCTATGGTGCTCTATTGACCTAATCAGGTATCGCTCTCATAGGATCAAAGCGGAATCAATAATCTCGACTAAAGCAGAATTGAATCATGAAAACATGCATAGATTGATTATGAACTCAAGGTTATCAAGTCAGAGTAATCATACAATCATCCAATCAAACAAACATAGCTAGGGTTCCTCAAAACCTAAGTGAAGGGAAGTTACTCCATAGAGAAGAGAGAGCTGCAGTAAGAATCTTCAGATGATCAGTCTTCAAGTCCGGGCTTGTTCCTTGAGCTTCCAAGGCGAAGAAATCCTCCAATTCCACTGTTCGAATGCCCTCAAATCGCCCTCTCTCTCTTTGGTTCGTCCCTTGGGTGTTTGGGATCCAAAACCCAGCTCTCCCTTTCCTTTGGCTTCAATCTGCCTAAAAAACCCGATTCTGGGCAAAACACGGTCAAGGGCACGGTCGTGCTTTTCCCCGTGTTAAAAACACGCCCGCGCGCGTCGTCCAAAACACGGTAAAGCTCAAACGATCAAGAAACAAAGGGGAAAACATGTGTAAATATCGAGTCATCACGGAGGTACTGCTCCAGATGCTTGTTCACGATCTCCGTCTGACCATCAGTCTGCGGATGATATGCCGAGCTCATACGCAGCGCCGCCTTGGCCATAGCAAAGACTTCCTGCCAGAAGTTGCTCAAGAAGACTGGATCCCGATCACTCACAATAGATCGAGGGAACCCGTGATGTCGTACCACCCCTGTCATGAACTGCTCAGCCACGGTCTTTGCTGTGTACGGATGGGCCAAAGGCATGAAGTGAGCATACTTTGTCAGACGGTCTACCACCACAAACAACACAGTCTTGCCTCCTGAGGGAGGGAGCCCCACTATAAAATCCATAGTGATGTCCTCCCATACCTGCTCCGGTACCGGTAGAGGCTGCAACAACCCAGCAGGTCGCAGATGAGATAGCTTCACCCTCTGACAGGTGTCTCAAGAAGCCACGTAGTGTTTTACATCATCTGTCATGCGAGGCCAGTAGAAATGGCCCCTGATCCAACGTAGAGTCCGCTCTACCCCCGAATGACCCCCCAGCTGTGAGTAGTGAAACTCCATGAGCACTGTAGTGACCAGGTTCGACCCTGGTGGAAGGACCACCCGGCCCTTGAAAAGTACTAACCTCTGTCTGAACTGGTAGCGACCTGGATCGTCACTCACTGCAATATCTCGACAGTTCTGCAGATATGGGCTGGTCTCCAAAGAGGTACGAAGCTCATCCCAGAACTCCGGAATGGGTCCGGTCACCACCATAAGGACCTCTCCTCCCGGCCGCCTGGACAGGCCGTCCGCCACCACATTGGTGGGTCCCGGTCTGTAGTGGATCTCATAGTTATAACCCAGTAATTTTGAAATCCACTTGTGCTGATCTGGTGTCGACACCCGTTGTTCAAGGAGATGCTTCAGACTCTGATGATTTGTATAGATGTGAAATTTCTGGCCCAGCAGGTATGGCCTCCAAGTGTGGACTACTGTGATGATGGCATGCATCTCCTTCTGGTACGTCAACCAGGCCTCTTTTGAGGGCGGTAGAGTTTTGCTCATGAAAGCAATGGGATGTTGATCCTGGGACAACACTGCCCCAATTCCGCGGCCCGAAGCGTTCGCCTCAATCACGAATGTCTTCGAGAAATCCGGCATGGCCAGAGTGGGGGTCATTGACATCGCCTGCTTCAGCTTCTTGAATGCCTCCTCCGCCTTCGGTGACCACCCAAAACCCCCTTTCTTCAGCAGGTCCGTCAAGGGTCTCGCTATCATATTGTACCCCTGAACAAACTTCCAGTAGTATCCCGTCAATCCCAGGAAGCCGCGTAACTCGATCACGTTGGTGGGTACCGGCCAGTCCACCATTGCCTGAATCTTTGTCTGGTCCACCTGTACTCCCTGAGGCGTCACCACATGCCCTAGATAATCCACCTTCTGCACCCCAAACGCACACTTGGAGGCCTTGACATAGTATTGGTGTTCTCGAAGGATCTCAAACACCTCCTGCAAATGTCTCAAATGGTCCTCCCAAGTCGGGCTATATACAAGTATATCATCAAAAAATACCAAGACATGCCGTCTCAAAAGTGGTCGGAAAATGTCATTCATGGCTGCCTGGAAGGTAGAGGGAGCATTGCACAGCCCGAATGGCATAACCAGGTACTCATAATGGCCATTGTGGGTGCGAAATGCTGTTTTGGGCACATCCTCTTCCTGCATCCTGATCTGATGGTATCCGGCTCTCAAGTCAAGCTTAGTGAAATAGCTCGACCCATGTAGTTCATCAAGCATATCATCCACTGTCGGGATCGGGAAGCGATCCTTCACCGTAGCTTTATTGAGAGCTCGGTAGTCTGTGCAGAACCTCCACGTCCCATCCTTCTTTTTAACCAGCAGCACCGGAGACGAAAAAGGGCTGGTAATCGGCCGAATCAGTCCGGTGGCCAGCATCTCCTCTACCTGTTTCTCGATCTCCCCCTTCTGTGAGTGCCCATAACGATATGTCCTCACATTCACAGCTTCCACTCCTTCTTTCAAGCAAATCTGGTGATCTACCTGTCGGTGGGGTGGGAGCGTGGTTGGCGCCTGGAAGAGCTGGGGATACCGATCCAACAGCTCCTGTATCTCCCCATCAATTTCTGATTTCCCTGTCGCGGATAGTTGCCAGCATAGGACATCAAGCTCTGTGTCCTCCCCCTTCTCGCACTCTTCCATCTCAACAGGACCAATGGCCGTGGTCAGACCTCTCAACCTCCATTCCTTGTCCCTCCACTTAAAACACATTGTCAGACTCCTCCAATCACTGGTTATCGGCCCCAAACTCTGCAGACAAGGTATACCGAGAATGATATCGAACCCGCGCAGGGGCAGTACATACAGGTCAGTGGTGACCTCGAGGCCTTGGATCTCCATAGTCAGGTCTATGTACACCTCAACGCACCGCATTGGTGCGCCATTAGCCACTCTGACCACCACTGGTTGCGACGGACTCGCTGCCACCTGTAAGGTTTTAGCAAAGTCCTCCCCGATAAAATTCAGGGACGCCCCACTGTCAACAAGGACGAGGCCCTGCTGCCCGGCCACCTTCGCTCGAAACCTTAGGGTTCCGGGCGACGAAATCCCGGCTACGGAGTGCAGGGAGATCGCCGCCGTCTCCCCTCCTTCCGCGCTCGCATCCGGGCCGCCTCCGGCACTGCCGCCCTCGGCCTTGCACCTCACCGCGCCGCGCGGTCCCCGCTCCTTCTCCGACCGCCCCGACGAGCGGGCCTTTCCTCGCACCGCCGCCCGCTGTCGCACCGCCGCCAGCTGTCGCGCGCGCCGCCACCTGCAGAGCGGACTCCTCCCCGCTTCGGCCAGCCTCACCGAGCGCCGCCGACTCCGCTTTCCCTGCCACGGCGCCTCGCGCCGCCCTCTCTTTCCAATAGCCCACAATCTGCCACATCCTTTCTTGCGTCTGAGCCCATGTCTGCTCCGATTTTTCCATTGCTTTCCTTGGTAATTCTCATGGTTCGAAGCTGTCCCTGATGGAGTTGAGAAGAACTCGTCGATCGGAACCGGGCTCTGATACCAGATGTTAGAAACAAAGAAGTTTCACAAGGGAATTAGGGATTAAGAAGAGAAGAAATTAGGGATTTGAGAGAAATTGGGGAAGAACAAGAGATAGAGAGAATTGGGAATTTAGGGATTTAGGTTGAAATATTGATTATTGACTAATCTGCAGAACAATGTTTCCTCCTCTTAAATACTAAACAGAAATAATGAAAAATAACAAAACTGCCATCCCTCACCCAACCGGCCCAACGCGCCGGTTTCTAACACTAACCCCTAAGATTTTGCATGTAATTTGTTGCATATATTTCGACCAATCATAACCGTCGATTGTTATTTCTGATTAAATTGATATTAGTGTATGTGATTTATAAAATTAAGACCTAGATTTTAATCTTTAAGGGTTTGGAAATAGTCCAGATGTCAAACTCCTGTCAATTCGAGGTCTAGATAGAGTTTTTTTACTCATGGTATGTCGTACCCTGGATTTTACTCAAGGTACGATAGAACCACCCATATATATAGGTTATTTATGGCGACGAAGTTCAACATTCACTGTGTGCAAACTTGGAGAGAGGAGTTCAGTAACCTTAGGTGAGCTCTATTGCTTTTATTTTCGAACTCGAATCTAAATATTGCGGGTAATGGGTGGTCATGGTTTTCCCACTATCCAACCCGAACTCGCCCAATTATATACATGCATATGTAATTTATATAGAATTGAGTATTTTCTCAGCAAAGTTTATATTTAGCATACAAATATCATATTTTCATGATATTGTGTTCTTTGAAATTAGTTTTGTTCATTATAGTGACTTACTATCGTACTTTTCCACTTATGTAATGTGAGTATATGTGTAATCGTTAAATGGTGGTTGAAATTATAATGAGAAAATTATTACCCATGGATAACCGTGGATATCCGAAACTCAAATGAGTATGAGCACGATTTTGATTTTTTTACCCGATTTATATGTGGTATCCACGGGATATCCAAAACCCATGTAAATGTTAACATGTTGGTTGAAGTTATAACGAGAAATTATTACTCATGGATAATCGTGGATATCCGAAACCAAATGAGTCTGAGCACGATTTGATTTGTTTATGAATATGGGTAAAATCCGAACTACTTTGGGTAGGATAACGAATATGCACTATCCGTCCCCGACCCAACCTGTTGCCATCTCTAGAGATGGTTTTGGAGGAAGAGTTGGGTGGATGGGAAGAGATAGAGAATGGGGAGGGAAGAGTTTTATGGGGAGAGAGAGAGAGAGAGAGAGAGAGAGAGAGAGAGAGAGAGAGAGAGAGGTTGTCAACCAGTGGGTCGACCCGTTGTTTGACTCGTGACCCATTTTGACATAGATCCACTGTGGGTATGAGTATGAGTAAAACCCGAACTACTTTAGGTAGGGTAACAGATATGCACTATCTGCCCCTGACCCAACCCGTTGCCATTCCTAGACATGGATTTTGGAGGAAGAGTTGGGTGGATTGGAAGAGATAGAGAATGGGGAGGGAAATAGTTTTATGGTGGAAGAAAAGAAAAAGGAGAGAGAGAGAGAGATTGTCAACCAACGGGTTGACCCGTGACCCGTTTTGACTTTGATCCGTTGAGAAAAATGAGTCACACACACCCATTAGGTCGACCCGTTGCAAGGTTACCGGGTTGGAGGTCACACAATTTTGTTTTTTACTTTCTTTTACGAAATGCGTCTCTTTTTCAGTTTTTCTCTTTGCCTAACCCTATCTTTGGAATTTTAAGTTGAACCTCTGAATATTGATATTGATGTTACTCACATGTTAGATGAGATTTGATATAATTAATAAATGCATGTAATGTTTTTTCCCCATGTATCCGGGTTAAAAAGGACTAACACGGCCGACCATTAACCCTCATCTCACTTGCTTGACCGGACCAACGGGCTAAATCGGGTTGACAACCTTGGGAAGGAGGGGAAAGAATTGATGAGAAAGAATTTTAGAAAGCAATGAAAAACACATAAACAATATAAATGCTATTAAAATATTAATCAATTGTTAAACAATTTTTAATTATAAATTTTTTATGGGACACTAACAAATAGTGTTTTGAAATCCTTTTTTTCAATATCTTAATCTTAACTAACTACTTGAGATAGCTTTTAATCCGCTATTTCCTTTGCGACACTCACTCAAATTGATTAACCATGCTGATGATGGATTAAGCTGTTGTTCTCGCATCCAAGTGGCACAAAGCTAGGATCCTTTCCTCCAACAATGGCCAATATACAATAGATTACCGAAAGCAAGAATTTTATAAGCTAAGGTGTTAAGAAGCGACGCTACGAGGCATTTAACTGATACCTTAATCCTTCGTTTTCAATGTTCTTCGCTTTGTAACTTGTAAAAGAAATATTTTGTCTCGCATACAGTTTCTAGGATCCTATATAGATATTTGCCGCCTCTATCCAAGACGCACATCCACATTGCTCACCTGTCTTTCTTCTCCTCCTTCCTTTTGGCTTGTGTTACCTCATTTCTAGCTTCTCTTCTCTCCCCACCTCTGAAAGTTCGGAACAATGGCGTCAAATTGAAATCCCAAACCCAAGTCTGAAATTCTCAAACCCGCACAAAAAAATGGCATCTTTACAACAACTGCTCGCCGAAGAAGGATTCAAGCGCAGCAGCAGCAGCAGCAGGAAGCAAAAACAGGGGAGCTTCAGAAAGACGGTCGATGACCCTGTCTTCAACTTCAAGTCTCCAGTCTACATTTGCCATGTCGAGAAATCCGTCAAACCCAATAGAACCAGCGAAAATATCTCGTCAAGAACGAGAAAGGCAAGCATTGACAGCACCGGCGGTGGAGAGCCGGCGATGGATCAAATCGCCGTCAAGGCAATCGTCTCTATACTCAGCGGCTACATTGGAAGGTACACCAAGGACGCGGCTTTCCGGCAAAGAGTCCGGGAGAAATGTAATTCCTGCCTCGTCGGAAAATCCAATTACCCGATCCTGACGAACATGGAGCTCGCCGTCCAAAACGTCGACGAATTGGTCCAGAACAGAGCAATGGTAAAGAAGAAGGAACTGCTAAGCAATTCCATCCAGCTTCTGACGATCGTCTCCTCGTTGAACTCCGAAAAACTCAGGAAACAATCGACGGCTGGGATCCCGAACTCGCATCTCTCTTCCTGCGCCCAATTGTACCTCTCCATTGTTTACAAGCTTGAGAAGAACGACAGGATGTCCGCAATTCACTTGCTTCAGTCATTCTGCGACGCTCCACTGCTTGCCAGGACCCACTTGCTTCCCGATCTCTGGGATCATTTCTTTCTCCCTCATCTCCTCCATTTGAGAGTGTGGTATCACGAGGAGCTCCAATTGGTGTCCAGTTCACAGAGCTCTGAGAAATGTCTGAAATCGTTGTGTAGAGTTTATAACCATTCTATGGATTTCGGGACGCGTCAGTTTGCTCTGTATTATAAAGATTGGCTCAAAATTGGGGTGAAGTCGCCTTCGGTTCCTGATGTTCCTCTGCCGGCATCGAAACCCAGAAGGCGAAGTTCCATGGATTCTTCCGATTCTCAGCTCTCTATCAATCGTAGCTTGTGAGTCGAATTTTTTACAATTCCCCTGAAATTCCTCTGCTTAGATTTTTTATTTTATTCATTGCTCTCGTATGGATATTAATCAAAAACTTTCCCGGAAAGGAAGATTTGAGTATGTATTTGGCCGAACGCCTCCCCACCAATTGAAGGGCGAGGAGAAGGAAGTATCGCCGGCTGCAGACAGCGACCAGGACGGCAAGTTCATTGTGGTTAGTTGACAAAAGACTGCAACTTTATTTTCTTTTTTCCCCCTGTTCTTACAACTCTGTTCCTGTTTTTTTTTTTTTTTTTTTCTTACAGAGCAAGACGAAAGCGGATTCGGGATTAAGAACTACCCAAGATTACAGTTGCTCGGAGATGGCATTGGCAGCGAGTGATGGCCTGCAAAAACTAGAATCCTCGAAGTTCTTCTCCTGCAGGAGCATGGTGGCAGAGTGTGTAGTAGCGGCGGCGGATGCAAATTTAGCTCTGAAGAACAATCTTTCTTCCCGCAGAAATTCTCTAGACGATTCGCATCTCCGTTCAAGCCCACTGAGAAGACCGATCGTTGAAATATGCACATCCGACGTACTGAGCGATTGCGAGGCGGCGATCCACGAAATCGCAAGGACGTGGTTGAATTCCGGCGGCGACCCAGTAATCGTCGACGCTCTGTCCAAGCAACCAGTGATCGAATCGATGATCGAGATCCTCTACGCATCGCAAGACGACGAAGTTCTCGAGCTGGTCATCTCCCTGCTAGCCGAGCTAGCCTCCAGAAAAGATCGAAACAGGGTGACGATTCTGAACTACGACCCGCAGCTCGAGATCTTCATCAAGCTGCTGAAAAGCAGCAGTCTTTTTCTCAAGGCGGCGACTCTGCTTTACCAACTGAAACCCCTGGCGAAGCAAATGATTTCCACGGAATGGGTTGCTCTGGCGCTCAGAGTTTTGGAGTTCGGCGATCAATTGCAGGTGCTTTTCACCGTCTTGTGTTATCCACACGAGGCGGCGCTGTACTTCTTGGAACAGCTGATGAGGGGCTTCGACGAAGACAAGAACTTGGAGAACTCTAGCGAAGTTGTGTCGCTTGGCGGGTTGAGCTTGCTGGTTCGAAGATTCGATATCGGCGGTGTTAAGGAGAGGGAAGGGATTGCGATGCTGATGTATAGCTGCGTGAAAGCCGTTGGGAGTTGTAGGGATTACTTAGCTGAGAATTTGAGTAAAAGGTTTCTTCTTCAGCTGATTGCTCTTGGGGTTAGGAAGGAACAGGGGAACAGAGGATTTGCGTTTAGGTTGTTGACAGAGTTGCTCTGCCTCAGCAGGTAATTTATTTTCTGAAGGGATGAGATTAGGGTTTCCCCAATTTCTTACTACTCCATTAGTTTGATTCATTTTCCGTGTTTTGATTGCAGAAGAAGTGAGATTATTAGGCTCTTGATTCAAATCAATCATGGGTTTGATGATGGGTTGAACGCAATGCACATCTTTCTCAGCTATCTACAGCGAGCTTCTGCAGTGGATCGACCATTGGTTGCTGCAGTACTTTTGCAGCTTGATCTTCTGGTTAGTTCTGGTTTCCTCTTAGGTTGCAAGATCGTTTAGAAAATTTTGTAACACCAAGTGATGATGTTTCACAGGAGGGAGATCCTATGAAGCACAGTGTTTACAGAGAAGAAGCAATTGAAGCACTGATAGAATGTCTGGATTGCGAGAGATGTGATTCCGAGGCACAAGAACAAACGGCAAGAGCTCTGTTGATGATGGGAGGGAGCTTCTCTCACGACGGACAGTCAACGACAACATCGACGGAGGAATGGCTGTTTCGAGGGAGATTGGACGATTCCATCGATGGTAGTGACTTGGTGAGTAAATTTTTCGAATTTTGGATCATTGAAAAAGCACAAATGTTCCCAATTTTGAGCCTATTGAAAGTTATCTTCCCCTCAATACCAGAACGAGGAAGAGGAAGCAACGATCGAATGGCAGAGGAAACTGGTAACAGTGCTGCTAAACAGTGGAGGGCAGACATTCTTGATGGCTCTCTCCGGCGCAATAGCGAATGGAGTTCCCAAATTAGCACGAACCAGCCTGTTCACTGTATCTTGGATGCATTCATTCGGCGACCGAAAGTTGATACCTCCAGCACACTCCATACTACTGTCACAACACACGGACAAACGGTCTCCTTCGTCGTTGTTGCAGAACCTCGTTCGCAATCAAGGTACTCTACATTTCAACAGCCAGGCTATGAGACAGTAAAACTAACTGATGAATTTGTTTTTAGGCGAGGAACTGTCGCTAATGTTATCGTTGTTTCGATCGTGCAGAATGTGTGTCTATGCTTTGGACACTGGACAAGCAGTTGCTGGACCCTCTCCGGACGCGTAATACATTCCAACAACAAGAGCTGCTGCTGCTGGAATGACGAGAGCGATGCTTTTGTTCGATTGCTGTACATAGTACAAACCCCAATTCTAGCCAACTTCTGGTCCTTACTTTTCCATTCCATTTGTGCTTGTTTCCTTCCTATCTGTTCCGTAGAGAAGAGAAGAGAAGTGGACGTAGATCTTTCAGAATTTGGGTGGGGAAATTTGTTTTATGTTGTGTAGTCGCTGTCGGCCAAGGCACATGGGGAAGGGAAGGAGGTCTCATTCTTGGCCACGGCGGCCACTATAAACTTGGCCTTGTCGCCTGTCGGCTAACTCGGTCAGTCAGGCGCAGTCCCACTCAGTGTGAATTATTGTTCGCCCATCGTCGTCGTCATCGCTTCCAGCTCGAGGAATCTTATTCTTGTGATGGAGGAGGATGAAGATATCCAGTGCTTGGACAAATATGCCAAAGTTTTGGATAATGGGTGTGATCTTTTCTTTGTCCATTTTGAAGCTCATTATTGTGGAAAATGATGAGCAAATGCCAAGTAGAGACCCACTAGCTCTTCACGATCTTAACAGTAACTACATCATTCTCGCAGTGGTGGAGAGAGAAATCTGAAAAAAGAGATGTAGATTTATGTTTAAGAGATTTGAACAGAGTGTCTTTCCGGGCGAGTTCTCTTACCCAGCCTATGAGTTATCGAAGAGCCAATTTCAGTGGCAATTGCTTTCGTTCGAATTCTGCCATAAAGACAGTCTCTAATAAAGGTATTATAAATTTAATTTACCCGATACAGAAAAAACTTACTCTATTTTTTCGAAATGTGTTACAAAATTTATATGTACAAATAATACAATTTGGAGAGTTAAGTGCAGCTATAGCCCCTCTTACCAATAACGTGGCTCCACCACTGCATCCTAAGCATCCCTGGCAAGAGTGAGTCTCTCATTCACCAGACATCAAGCAACTTCTCAAACTTACCTATCAGTCCACTGATGAGTGTTTTGGAGGGAAAGAAGGGAAAAGGGAGACCGAGACTTGGCTAGCAGCCAGGTAGATCGACGGAGGGAAAGAAACAGTCGGGCTAAACAGAAAAATCGTGGTGGGTAATCGCTAGAAATATAGGGGAGGATGGACGGGAAACAGACGCAGAGAAGGAGCTGAAAAAATGGGCAATCGATCTTGCCTGGAAGGAGGAGGATCAATGTGTACATGCATGCAATCGATGCTTGCCTAGCGTTAGTTCAATAAGGCCAACTTGATTTACTTGGCCAATCGCCAGTAGGTCGACTGAGGAAAATCACAGATGGTAATTGGTAAGGGTGGAGTTTCGGTTACCGGTTAACCGGCCGGTTATCCACTAACCGATAATCGAATTTCGATCGGTGTTCGGAGGTTGGCCGAGATGGTTCGGTTAACCGAAAATCGAAATAAAGGAAGTATATCCTTATTTCGGTCGGTTATCGGTAAGGGGGGCCGTCAGTTCGGTTAACCGATAACCGACCGATTGGTTACCGATTACAACCAAACTAACCGAAGCTCCACCCCTAGTAATTGGCAAGGCTATGATGAGAAACAAGGGTCTGGGGAAGAAGGATGGGATCTCGCGATGGAAAAAACTAAAGAGGGTGTAAGGGGCTTACGGTGAACCTACCTGTATTCCACCAGACCCTACCTACTTGATACTTGCGGATTAATATATATACTAATAAAGAGATATAATGTATCATAGATGGTTTGGATACTAATTATTATTAGATAAAAAGATATGAATATTTAAATTTTTTGAACTAAATGATATAATCCCCGAATTCGAGCTGCTCTCTCGAGCTGATTGATGAGCATAACTCCGGATTTTTCCAGAAATAGCACCTTTAAAAATTTTACAAAAATAGCACTCATTCCGTAGAAATTACAAAAATAGCACCCTTTTTAAAAACCGCACCCCAGGTGCGTTTTGCATGTAAACCGCACCTCCCTAGTGTGTTTTGTCATTAAACCGCACCTTGGGGGTGCGTTTTAGTTTTCTGGGCCAAAACCGCATCTTGTCCATGCGGTTTGCGGTCTGACCTAACCAAACCGCATGGCCCAGATGCGGTCTAGGCCTGACCTAGTAAAACCGCACTTTGGCAACACAAACCGCACCCTCAAGGTGCGGTTTTGGCAACACAAACCGCATCCCCCAATGCGGTTTGTGTGTCAATTATTTTCCGACACCGGACATGCAGCCATGCAGATTTACAGACGTGGGGCTGCATGGCAGATGAAAAACGCACCTCTAAGGTGCGGGTTTCATTGATGAATTTGCCTATAAAAGACAGCCGGGAAATCTTCTTCTCTTCACACCTCTCATTCTCCCTTTTCAATTTTCTATTGTAACTCCCTATTTCTCTAGTGTTTTTACGGTTAACGTTAACTCGTAAGTTTATTTTTTATTACTTTTATTGTGAATTGTGAATTGTGATTTTTATGATATTAGTTGAACTAGTGTTTTTTTGCAGATGGCATTCCAAAAGTTCACGCTTGGTTTACGGTGGAATGGTTACACGAAAGAGAGCGGAAAGAGGGTCACCTAGTCGGTGGTAATTTTCAGAAAATAAAGGTCGCTTCCAGACCGATGCTTGAAGACCTCAATCAAATGTGTACTAACGTTACTTGCATGGATGGCATGAGAAGAGTTGATCGTATGGTGTACCAATATCCAAACAGAGAAGGTGGGTCGTTGTGGCACGAGAAATATCTCATAACCAGTCAGGATGAGGTAGATGCCATGCTCGAATTCTTGAGGTCCAACAATCTTTCCAGAGCCGAGATGTTCGTTTATACCAAGCCGGTCATAGGTGTTGGAGTTCATTCTGGAGACGGTCAAACATCTGGTATCCATGGTGGAGATGAATTATATGGAGATCATCCCTACCAAAGTTACCATGATCCTCATTCCTATTTTCAGTACCAAGAGCAAGGTGAAGGTCATCATCAATCTTACCCGTCATATGAAGAAGAAGTTCAACCGGACCATGCCAACCAACCCCAGTACAACTTCCAATCAGGCAGTTGTAGTTTTCACAACTACCATTATGGAGCTGATGAAGGTGTCTTTCATGAGCTGAATCAGATGGAAGATGCCCTGCCAGCACCAGTCAGTGACCCCTCCGATGAAGAAGGAGAGAACAACGTCAGTGCATACAGCTCCGACCCTCTTGAAGGTGCTGATGACCGTGTACCAGTCCCCTACTACAATCACATTCCAGACGACAATTGGATGGTCGACAGCGACATGGAACCGCCAGAGGTTCCAATATGGGGTCTACTCACTGGGTTTATGAAGGGCTAACAATTTGGCTCGAAGAAAGAGGTGCGGCACGCCATTGATACTGAAGCAATGACTCGGCATTTTGAATGGCACACAACTCATTCCAACACAAAAAGGCTCATAGTCAGATGCTGTAATCATAATGAGGGATGCAATGTTAGGATTCGGGCCATCAACAGCGAGAGACACGGCCATTGGGTCATATCCCGTGCGATGAACACACACACATGTGTGTCATCCATAACATCTCAAGGCCATCGACAGTTGAAATCTAGGGTGGTTGCATTGAGAGATGCGTTGCACAAATGGTGGTAGATATTAGCTAGGCAAGCCAATGCCCAACTCAACTCCCCCATCGCATCCCAACTACCAAGGAGGATCATAAGCCATCCACAGCTAATTAAATTGCTCAATTTTTTTTGGAGAAAAACACTCCTCCTATCATGCCTATTAGATAGACAAGAGCATTTCCTTCTCCAGCTCCAGACTTTTCTCGGTTAGGGGCACCCCACCTTTTTCAGGATCGTGATGGTCCCTAAAATACTTCGTCAACCAAGTGATTGATACTTGGCCTTTCCTCAATGGTGGCAAGCGATCCGTTGCATCAATGCTCCCCTTGGTTGGTACTTTCACCCCCCAAAACACTGTGGATGAAATACTGCCAACCGATCATACCGTCACGATCCTCGGGGGGATGATCACTCACACCCACCGCTTTGCCGTCGATAGGCAGATGAGTTAGGATGGCGACGTCCTTGAGTGTGATGGTGCACTCTCCTTCGCGAAAATTGAAACAATGTGTCTCCTTTCTCCATCTCTCTACCAATGCGGTGATGAGTTGGCGATCAACTTTTATGCCTACAAAATGCCTAATCGACTCCAACCGTGCCCTTTTGAGATATGGCAAGATAACTAGGTTCCATGGGAGCACATTGGTCGTACCCCTGTAGCGCAGTATTTGTTGTGCCTCCTAGCAAAAAATTCAACGTTATTTATGATATATTATTAACAGTTTAGTCTTATAACTAAATAAATTAAAATTAATAAATTAATTTCAACCATTATTAAAATTATTTATGATATATTAGTAAAGTTTAGTCTTATAAATAAATTAATTAAAATTAAGGATTTAATTTCGACCATTATTAAAATTATTTGTGATATATTAGTAATAGTTTAGTCTTATAACTAAATTAATTAAAATTAATGATGTAATTTCCAAGATATATACATATTATCATAACAAAAATACTAAATAAATTGACATAAATAACATTATAAATGAATAATAATTTAAAGAGATACATACATATTCAAACATTTGAAATTAATAAAAATTATTTAAGTACACATAAACATAAATTGTATTGGTTGTTTGGTAAGTAATTTAATTGTATGGGTTGTTTTAAATAATTTAATCGAATACAATGCAACACTCGTTAGATTCTTAGAAGAGGTATACATCTTCTTAGAAACGCAGCCTTTTTGACAGAAAAAGGGGGGATCCGAGGATCTCTTAATACCCGATTTTTCCAGGAAATGGGAGGATCATGATAATCGCTTAAAACCCCATTTCCTTACACGTGCATCTCTTTATAAAGAGTCGAAGTAAGTGGCGCTATGTATTCGATTAAATTATTGAAAACAACCAATACGATTAAATTATTTCAAATTTATTTTATATTCCACTAAGTACATTAGCAAAATGAAAGAAATATAAATGATGAAGAATTGTATGTACCAGGTGATCGTTCCAAACATCCCTTGAACGATGGTTGGGTTGGTCATACAAGTCGGTCGGATCAATAGGCCCTTGATCCAAATAGTACCGTTGGTTGTATATATTCACGTCGTCTCCAACCTACGAGAGAATAAGAACAAGGTTAGTACATAGATTAATTAAAAAGCTTATAACAAAAACAAAAATTGACCAAAATAATGAGTACGTACCGCTTGAAATTCATCATAATAAACTCCCTCTCCTTGGAACCACTCGTCCATTATTTCGCGAAAGTCGGACAGAAATTCAGCGGGTTTTTGAGGGGAAAACCAAAGAAATGTTTTCTGATGGCAGATCGAACTTAGCCGCAACCAACAGACCTATTTCCTAGGATTTTGGGAGGGGAGGGGTTAGAGAGATAATTCTAGAGAGAGAGAGTGGAGAATGGTTGTAGTGTGTAAAAATGAGAGGGGGAGGGGGTATTTATACCCATCAGACCGCACCCTACAGGGGCGGTTTGGTCATTTCAGCCTTGGTCAAACCTAGGGATGGCAATGGGTCGGGTTGGGGCGGGTTTTGTCAAACCCAAACCCAAACCCATGGGTTTATCTGCCAAAAAAAACCCGGGGTAAAACCCGTTGGGTTTGGAAAAACTCAAACCCAACCCAACCCGTTGGGTATCCGCGGGTTCATGGGTACCCGTGGGTTTTTGTGGTAAAAAATTTACACTAACAAGTTTCTTTCAAAATAAAAGTTTAACATCAATTTTCTCATACAAAAGACATCAATCTAGAGCATACAAGCAAACCGCAAATGATCAATACAAAATGTTCAAAATTAAAGATAAACATCTATAAACAATAAGATTAATTGAAAGTTTCTTCCTCGTCAACTAAGTTTCTTCACTCTCCACTTCATAATATCAACTTCATTCTAAACAATTAGAAAGAACAAATTATACATGTCTTCACAAACATAAAGAATATTAGTTGTTTAAGGAAGATACATTATTTAGAATATTAAATATACCGGGAAAGTAATTATATGTGTGTGGACGGGTACCCATGGGGCGGGTTTACCTAAACCCAAACCCAACCCGACCCGGTGAATAGTGTAGCGGGTTTAAACCCGAACCCGGCCCAAAACCCGTCAACACGGGTTTTACCCGCGTTGACCGGGTTGGATCGGGTGGGTACCCGTGGGTTCGGGTTTTGTTGCCATCCCTAGTCAAAGCGCTCCCTTCAGATGCGGTCTACACATCCCGAGGGCTGACCGCTCCCTCCCGCTGTGGTCTTCGATCCGTGGCAAGGATCGCTGAGGTGGCAAGCGGTCCGCCGCTGGATCGCTTCCTCATCCTGCGGTCTCCATTTATAAATTAAACACACCTGGAGGGTGCGGTTTAGTTATAAAACACACATTGGAGGTGCGGTTTGATAAAAATGGTGCTATTTTTGTAAATGTTGTGGGCTGGATGCTATTTTTGTAATTTTTTTTAATAGGTGCTATTATTGGAAAAATCCCGCATAACTCAAGTAGAGCTCGTGAGCTCATCAACAAGCCAAGCTTGAATCGAGCTCGAGTTAACACAAGTTAAGATTTTGTAAACAAACCGAGGTCGAGCTTGACTCCTTTATTAACAAGCTGAGCTCAACGTAGGTTAAAACTCAGCTCAAAATTGGCTCATGTGCTGCCCTTGTTGTAGCCACGTTAACTGATTTATCCTTCTTGATCTTGACGGTGTAGGATTAAAAAAGAAAAAGTACCGATTGATCAAAATAGTATGGCACTAGTCAGAACGGGACCGAATCCGGTTAGTAACCCATATGTGAGTAATTATGCATAACCCAATCATCAGCCGCCACATCAACACATCATCTCTCTCCTGGAAAGCCTGTAATATTTTCTCTTGTAATATTTAACGAACGATTTCTCTCTCGTTTTAAGTCAAAATTTAATTTTTTTGCACGGATAAATCAGACTAATTGTGCTCTTCAAAATGATATCCACTTTGATATATTTTTAACAAAAAATTGAGACATTTTTTACTTGTCTATACCATGGTGGTATTGATTAATATTAAAATAAGAACATATCATATGACATGAAAGCGTACCATGGTGGTATGAACATGTCAAGACTATAAGAGCATCTCCAACAATGCAATCCTTCTTCACTTTCAAGTGTGGTCCCTACTGCCACCTAAGCAACTCTAGCAATTACTTCACTCATCAATTTCATACTAGCTACATCAATGTCATTCCAATGCAATTGCACTTCTGGGTCTCACTTACATTTTAATACCACACAAATGGTTGGGAAAAGAAGAAAGAAAAACAAAAACAAACAAAAGACCCACTTGTAGTTGCATGTCAGATTTTCATGGTGTGCAAATTTTCATCCCTTGAAAGTAGTCTTGCATCAATGTCATCCACTTTTTCAATTGCACATGGCTGCCACCTCAGCTTGCAATTCTCTCCATTTGCACCATTGGAGATGCTCTAAGATGGTTAAATACATGATAGTAGGAGCATACTAACTGATTATCAACATTGTGTACCACAAGATATCAAGGTGGTATAGTATGGTATTTTTTTGTCTTGTATTTTTTTCACCAAGAAATTTTTAGATCCAATAGATCGTGATTAACTTGTTATTTCTGTGTAAATTTTTTCGAAAATGACTTAAAAACGAAGGAGATACCATATGATATGAAATTGGTAATAAGAGATATGAAAAAAAAATTCTGAAAAAATATTGAAAATAGATATCTTGTAAACCACAACCAACTCGTTCCATCTATAAAAAATTGAAGGGTTAATAGCATTTTCTACCCCTCTACTATCACAAATTAACAAACCCCTCTACTAATTTTTTGCACAAACGTACCCTTCTACTATTAAAACGTAACAAACATAATCCTCTGTCTAATTAGCCGTTAAATGACTGTTAAGTCGGCTGGTAAATGACTAAATTATCCCTAATTTGATGCTAAGTTAATTTTAATTATTTTTTGTCCTGATTCAATTAAAGTTAAAGCCGATCTCTAAAGAAATCCCCTCCACAGCTCCACGGGAAACCATTCGTCAAGCTTGACTCCCCTCAAATGGAAGTCTCTCCGAAAGTTTTGCCACCGATCGATCCCCGGCGGCGGCTCTCTCCTTTTCGTCGACGGCTGGAGCAGGAAAGGCGATCGATCCGTGGCGGCGACTCTCTCCTTTTCGTCGAAGGCTGGAGCAGGAAAGGCAATCGATCCCTGGCGGCGGCTCTCTCCTTTTCGTCGACGGCTGGAGCAGGAAAGGCGGCGCGCAAGGGTGTAGTCATCCGTTTCTCCCATCGATTCCACAGCAGAGGGGCATGCTTCCCGGCTTCTCCCGCGATGTTTGGACGCCAACTCCCGGTCGAATTAGGTGACTTAACTCCCTCGTGCCCTCAGCAAACGTCGGCAGGAGGCTGCATTCATGGACGGTGGAGGCAAAATGAAAAGCATGAGGAAGCTGCAAATGCTGAATCATTTTCTTGTTGCTTAGAGTTGCCTGAATGAGGAAGCTGCAAATGCTGAATCATTTTCTTCTTGCTCATTGTAGCGGTCTGGTTTGTATTATGCAGAATAAACTGCTGTCGTAGATTGTTTCTTCCCTTGTCAGATTGAACTGTTCTTGTATGCAAATTAAATTGTTGGTATCTAGATTGTATGCTATACAAAAATCAGTCTCTATAACACTAGATTATATGCTCTTGCACCAGATTATCAACAAATAGAACTGGCAGCAAAGATTATAAGCAAATAGAAAGTTCTATGAATGCGAAGATATATGCTCTTAATCCAGGAAATACATTTGTCCAGCAAAGAAATAATGCAGCTTAAGACAATGAGAAACAGACAAAATGAAAAATGCAGAAAAGTAACAGCCTGCAGAAACAAGGTTCATAGTTGCTTCCACCATATCTTCACATGATCAATAATACCAAAACTTGGTTTCAGAGTTACTTCCTACTATCGACTACTTCACCTTGGCTGCTTGTTTGAGGTCGAGGGAATTTGGTCTTTACAGGTTCGAGAGTTGTGTCCCTCTTGCTTGCACCTTTTACAAGTAATAACTCTCCCGGTCTTGCATAGCTTGGAAGGATCATTCTTGTCTGGTGCCATCAACTCTTCAGAAGTGTAGATTCTTTTTTTCTTCCTTTGTTGATCCTCATTTTCTTCGGCACTCCTCACTCTCTTCTTTTTTGGTCTCCCGGGCATCACTCTAAAATCTGGAGGGAGTATGGGTTCATATTCACTTTGGATCCATGATTTAGGACCGTCCATTGGTTGCAAGGCATGCTGGTTCTATCAACTTCATCATCAGAGTGGTAAGTAACTGGAATTCCTAAGTGCAACTTCTCTTTTACCTTCTGCACTTTTGATATTATATCTTCTCTATCTGCAATATCCTCGTCACTAACCCAATCTGGGTTCAATTCAAACTCACTATCAGTGTTACCCTTCTCTTCTTCACCTTCATCATCGACATCACACGCTTCATTATTAATTGCAGCTGCAAGACTCACATTTTCAGCAGCTGAACTTTCATAATCAATAGCTGCACTATCATTTTCAGCAGCCCCGCTACCATTTTCTCCTTCATTAGTCATGTTTGCTGCCGCACAAACAACTAACAGTGGTACTCCAGATGGACTTTTCCTTTACCTACCAAATTCCAAAATCACAACATACAACCAATATTAAATTAGATCTATTTGTCGTATATCCATCACACACTAAAAATTAAAAGTATTATAATTGGTTTGGTTTAAACAAACAATACCTCAGCAATACCAATGCACCGAGGATTTATTATGAAAGGCGATTGCTGTATGGGTAGAGATTCCTTCTCAATGACGGAGAGCAAGCTGCTTCAGTCGCCTAAGCTGGAAGAATCGAGCGCCACCTTTGAGCTGTGTGTTCGCGCGAAGAAGATAGATTAACCGGGGATCGTGAGCTGTCCTTCCTGCTCTAGCCACCGGCGAGGAGAAAACAGGGGCTGCCGACGGCAAGGAGAAAACGGGACCGACTTCAGGGGAGACTGAATTTCAGGGGAGCCGGGCTTGTGGGAGACGGATGGTTTCACGTTAGGTGGAGGGGTTTCTTTAAGGAGTTTGTTTTATTTTTAATTATAGTGGGAATTATAATAATTAAAATTAACTTAGCATCAAATTAGGGATAATTTAGTCATTTACCAGCCCACTTAACAGTAGTTTAACGGCTAATTAGACAGAGGATTATGTTTGTTACGTTTTAATAGTAGAAGGGTACGTTTGTGCAAAAAATTAGTAGAGGGGTACGTTTGTTAATTTGTGATAGTAGAGGGATAGAAAATGCTATTAACCCAAAATTGAAATACAAGTTAGAATTAATAAGATAAAAACTAAAAATTAAAAAAAAATTCCCAGAGCTGCAGCCCACTAAAAAAGATGCAGATTTGGTTACTCTATGTTGAGCCGGTGAGGACGGTCTTTCACACCAATCTTTACCGCCTCTCGGTTGGATTCGAAGAACACAGCCGCTGCGAGTTAGAGCGCGGCGCGTTTGGCTTCGCTGCTGGCTGCTTGCTGGCCTGGGTGTTCTGAAGTGTCACTGAGCGTATTTAGGGTTCCAAATTCCCAATTCATTAACTTGCCAATTACGGCAACTCAAATGTTGTATATTAAGCTTCAATCGCCGCTTCCCCGCCGTCAAATTATTCCGGGCTCCCTTGCTACCGCAACCTTCTCTGCTGCCAAAGCCCACTCGGACCCTTTCATTTCTCACTCTCTTCGAGCGACCGCATTCCATTCCCCTCACCGTGATTTTTGTCGGAACCCTAATTCCTCCCTTCCATTTCTCTGAACAGAAGGACTCCGGTAACGCTCCGACTGCTCTTCTTTTCTCTCACTCTCTGGTTGTTTTGTGTTATTTGGGTTTAGATGCCTGAACCCTTGAATTTGGAGCTAAATTGCTGATCATGAAAACTCGGTATAAGAGCCATTGTCTTTATGTTAAACCTGGGATTCTTTGTGTTCTTTTAATCCTGAACTGATACCCCGGCTAGGATAATCTCCATGGGGAAGGAGCCAATGGAAACTGACGAGGTGGGCAAAGGAAATACGTCATCTAAAACGAAAGGATCTTGCTTCCGTCTGAGACCAGTTCCATGTGATGAGGCTGGTGAAGGGCTGCCTTATGCTCCTGAGAATTGGCCCAATCCTGGAGACATGTGGGGTTGGAAAGTTGGGAAACGACTAACCTACTCTGGGTGTCATCAGGACAGGTTCCTCTACCTTCCCAAAAGCCTTTGCCATCTTGTGGGCGCTCCTGCTCGTGTGAAGAACGGTTTCGCAAGCAAGCTTTCTGTTCGGAGATTCCTGCAAACGCATTTCCCCAAGGCTGATATTGAGGCATTCTTTGATTCCTTCGTCTGGAGGATCCCTTCTAACCAGGCCTCCATGATCAGTGAGTTCTCTCTTCATACAGCTTGTATAAATTTTGGTGCCTCTCTTAACTGGTTCTCAGTGGTCTGCCTTGTTATTTTGTTGTGCTCGTGATTGTAATGCTATGTGTATCCCTGTGCTACTCGCATTGACAGAAGTCCTGGTCTTTAGCTTGGAACTGCACTTAGCTTTAATGGTGCCATATCTATGCATAAATTTAATCTTCGAGTCATGAAATGAGAGTTAGCCTGATCTAGTTTCACCTTATGTGTCCTATTAAGGGTAATTATCTCGACCTTTTTCCAAAACTCAAGTATAAGAACAAGGAGATACTTCAAGTGGCTTCCAAGTGCTGCCAAATAGAGAAGTATATTACCTTGCAATGAAAATTGTGTACCTTCTATGGTACATTCCCTTACAAACTACAACTTGTATGTGTTATGCTCATGGTCTGGTCCCTGTTTGTGTTGTACATTCATTCCTTGTACGGATTTCGATCCTATTCAAGAAGTCCACATGCCAAAAGAGAATGTATGAAAGGAATGTTAATGGCTTTAGGTTCAACAACTGTACTGTAATTTAGACAGTACCAATGTACTCGAGTAAAATTATTTTTTACCGTTATGTTGCATTTGTTGCGACGTAGCATGGTAGCCCGTTTAAGTAGATAGCAGTTGTGGTTAATGAGCTACTAATATCGGAGAGTATTTTCTACCTTTCTGTAATATATGGTAATCAAGTCTTGGCTAGGCAGCTTGTGGTGGGCTATATTTCGTTTGATTTTCTTGTTTTCTGTCTTCTCCTATTTACAGGACTTGCGAATAGGAATCCTTCTCTAACTATAACAGGAGACATTGATAGCGGTGCCTTTCCTGTGCCCCCTTCAGCTACTTTAGCATGTGATCCCCAATCCTATGGAGGCTGTAAGGCAGGAAATAAGGGTTGCAGTAGTCTTGAAGAAGCAATAGGAAGTAGTCCTCCTGTACCTTCAGTACCTTGTGATATTTGCTGTATGGAGCCTGGTTTCTGTCGTGATTGTTGTTGTATTCTCTGTTCCAAAATCATTACTCCATCACATGGTGCTTACAATTACATAAAGTGCCAATCAGTGTTGAGCCCAGGGTGCATATGTAGCCATGTAGCCCACATTGAATGTGCTCTGAGAACTTACATGGCAGGAACTGTTGGCGGAAGTATTGGTCTTGATGCTGAGTACTTTTGCCGGCGTTGTGATGCAAAGACTGATCTGGTTCCACATGCTGTGAAGCTTTTACAAACTTGCAAATTCATGGATTCTCGAGATGAGATAGCGAAAATATTAAATCTTGGCATCTGCATCTTGCGTGGATCTCAGAGAAATAATGCCAGGGATTTGCTGAAGCGTATTCAATTGGCTGCCAAAAATGTAAGATTATTTCCGTCCTTGCAGTTAATTTGTCATTTCAAGTATCGCATAGACAATCTTAACAACCACTCAATTTGGCAAATTTTTTAATCATATGCATCACCATAATGATCTCCATTTTCAATTAGTGACATTGCAAACCCAATTGCTGTATTAGCAAGCTTTCGTACTTGAAATTGCATTGCATCCACATACATAAAATTGCAATTGCAAGTGCCATGTAGCTGCCAACATGGCTTGTGCAATTCCTATAACAACAGGATGCAGATGCCCTATAAAACGAATTCAGCTTTTTTTGGCAGTAAAATGAAAAGGCCTTTTCTTTTATTGGCAGAAAAGGTTATAGTAGCTTTTTCACTCTACTTTTTCTAGATGAATTAACAATTTCATGTTAACATCTCCAGCTTAGTCATGGGACTACCCTTGAAGATGTATGGAAAGCAGACAATGATGCATCTGGTAAATTCTCTTCTGATCCATTTGACATGTTTCTTCTGGCTTATCCTCTCTTAGTCTGATGCTCTATCTTCAAATTATTGCCTGAATTCTTATTGCATCTGTCTTTACTTTGGTCTTTTGACATAGACATGAACAAAAAGCAACCCTTTATTGATTTGGAAGCCAAAACTCCTGATTACAATACTGAAATTCTCCAACTTGATGCTGAGATCAACGATGTGCTCCATGCACTGCGAGAGTCACAAGAGCTCGAGTTCAAGCTTGCAGAAGAACAACTCCATGCTAAGAAGAGAAACCTGCAAAACCTTTATGAACAACTTCAGAAAGAGCATTCTGGACTAGCATGCCTGAACTTAGAGGCGACGGGTGATGGTGAATTGCGGAGCACAGTGACTAGCAGGATAGATCAGATAAATTGCGAGAGAAAGAAACTCGAGCATATGAAAAGAGTGGCCAATGGTTTTGGGAGGACCTCCAAACGCACTCTCATGGAACATTTTGGCTTGGCAGTTGAGAAGAAACCAAGCAATGGTGTGCCATCGTGAAGGTGATATGCTTGTGTTAGTGTTTCACAGGTTCGTCAAAGTTTTCATATTCGGGTTTCTTTGTTTCTTTTTCTGGGTTTGGGTATTCACCAGGCTCTATCTACCGGAGCCATATGACTTTCTGGCTATTTCTGGAAAAGGGACGATTTTGGTTTCGACTGTGTTCATGCTAGAGACATTAGTTTAGATAGAGTGCATTGCAAATGTACATGACTGTAAGAGTTAGAAATCGAATCTTCTTGAGCGCGATAGACTATACAGGATATAGAGCATCAACTTTTACCAACTTGGTTTTTGGTCAATGGAGTTTCAGTTTCTTTGCAGAACAAGTTGCTTTGTGTGAGTTTATTGTGCTTGTTCCGTGGGACAGAACTTTCCTTCGTAGCCAAACTCTATCTGCGATTTCATTTCATTTTCTGAAGAAGAGCCTTCTGAGTTCTTTGATTTGTTCAATCGCTAAAGATGGGAGCAAGCAAAGAAATAGCCTAAATGCCTAATGCAGGGATTCAGTGCGTAAAATATCTGTCATTTCGTTTTATTTTCGTTGACCCTTATGATTATCTTTTGGATAAATAATAGCACTCTAATACATTATATTTGTATGATATCATGTAGGATTAGGACAATCACCTAAAATATTTGTGTAAATTTCAACGTGACTTTGTAGTTGGGTGATTATTAGGTTAATTATAATTTGGATAAATATTAACTATTAGCCAAATCTTTTATACATTATTTTTTCAGTTAAACATACGGAATTACTAATAATTAGACAAATCTTTTGTAATGCATCAAAATATTACAAATTGGATAATATGAGGTAAATCATGATTCTGATAACCCTAAGAGATACTTTTATTGCCTTCAAGCTTCGGGTGACTATTAGGTTAATCATAATTTGATAACCCTAGGATATATATTTATTACTTGTCGATGATTATTAGGTATAATGATTATTTTGGTAAGCCTAAAATATACGTTATGGTTTTATTGCTTTTGGATGATTTTTAATAAATCATGATTTCAGACTTACAGTAACCTTATGAAATACTATTATTGCTTTCAGGTGATTATTAGATTAATCATGGTTCAAGTAACACTAACGACATACTTCATTATTTTTGAATGATGATTGGGTTAATCATAATTTTGATTAGCTAAAGATATTTTTTGTTTGTTTAAGTGATTATTAGGTTTATCATAATGGTTTTCTATTGAATTATTAGGGGTTTTCATAACTTTCTGTTATTGCAGTTGGCTTTGAATTGTAATCATTAATCTCAATCAAAGAAAATTTTATCTTACTATCCTCCAACCTAGTTGTCAAAGAGAAAAAAATAAACTGAACGGCAAAACCAAGTGAAGCAAAACGACTGCATGATGAAGCATGTTTTTGGAATTCCACAAGGCATGTTCTTGAACGCGATATGTTCCAAATTCCACAAAGAAACTTAACAAATCCTTGAGTAAATTACCAAAGATTAAAAAATGGTCTTTTTTTTTTGGAATTTGTCCTTTTCCCTGGCTTAAAATGATCAAACTCAACTTCTCAAAATGGAACAAAGAGAGAGTGACGCAAAGGAGTACCATCTGATCGAAGTAAGAACTCAATTTCGACATGATTACTCCCAAATCACCACCATCCAAAAAGATAACCACTGTCAGGTCTGAATTCCAGACTGGGACAGACCAGTACAAGCACAACTCACAGAATTAGGGCCAACGTTGGTGTTGTGAAGCAGCTGTGGATTCCCGGAAAAGGTTGCCCCTTTTCCGTAATCCGAAAGAGGACCACGGAAAACACTTACACGGCATATGAAGTAAGGAATCACTTTCTTCTGCACGATGCTGACTACTGAGAGGACTGCTTTGGGCGAGCATCTATTCTATTCTTCATTCAATCTCCAGCCCTCATCTCAAATACACACACACATACATACTGCTAAACTTTCACACCTCACTCTGCCACGCTCCATTCATATCTCCTAGCTCAATCAATGCAGAATTCTACCGCGGATGACGCAGAATTCCACAACCCATAAACCATTACCTCAATCAATGCAGAAATCTACTGCGGATAACGCGCCTAATCCTGAAGCAAAGACAGAAACTACAGTCTACAGTTCTCTCTGAAAAATGAAGTAGGATGCAGCAGCTATTGTTCAATGGAACACAACATCATAACATTTGATTTAGATAACCATGGATCATATAGCGCAACAACATGAACAACTGTTTTAGGGAAAAAAAACTGTGCCCTTTATCATTTGGGTGCACTGAACTGGGAAGTAAATTCTTCCCCATCAGCATGCTAGTCGCTAGACATGGAGTATGGTACTTTAAGATTCTAAGAATGGATTCAAGGTTGAGACTTGAGAGCATCATACATCCACTATGGTGGGGTGGATTGCTTCATTCAGTTTCATATGATCAAATGAGATCATGGTTGTTAGTATGCATGATTAGGTCACTAATGATGAGATAGGAAAGAAAAGCAGGTCATAGATTACTACAAAAAAAAAAGTGCCCATAATTAAAAAACGGGCAGAACAAAAAGAGCTCCTAAAGAGAAAAGGTGGTGAACACTCACTCAAGCACAAGTGGATCAGAAAAAGCTTGGTCAATAATAATGCTTTGATCTTAGATTATCCTTTCCTTAAGATTCATATGCTACCCGCTCGAGGGTCTTTACTGCCAAACTAAAAGACAACTACAAGGCTCAGGGTCCTAGAATAGGCAGGCTTAGCAAAAGATACAGATAGTGCCTGAGAATATATTCGTAGTCACCACGAAAGAGTAAAGCATTTTTTCCAGCAACAAAGCAAGCAGACATGACATGCTCTCTAGATTCCCAGTTTAAACAAACGAATGCACAACCTAACCATGTCTTATGTCTCTACCAACGAATGTGAGCATGAGGCTCTTCACCAAAAAACCGGAGACACACCACGAAACAAGCAAATACCATTCCCCATCTTCAATGCCATTTGCTCAACCAACCACATTTCAAGAACAGAAGGTGGAATGAAACCTTTTACTTGGTTCATTCAATATGGTAAAAAAGCTAAGCATTACGAAGTCTAGTCTCTCAACCACAGAAGAACACCTCCAAGGGCTAAAACTTGGGATCTGTTGACAACAGTGATTCAAATGGAAGCATTAACCCAAAAAAGAAGAAAACAAGGGAAGAGCAAAGGCAAAGAGGGAACCATTTTTTTATCTTAGCAATTCCATTCCATTCCATTCATTCACTGTACAAGCACAAGCCTAGCATTGTTATTATTGTTTCCCATTCCTCCTCTAAAGTCCCTGCTGCCATTATTATTACCTTCTTCCTCCGCCTTGGGCACCGTCACGATCAGCTCGCCGTCCGTGAAAACCGCGCTGGCTAGATCGGGTCGGGTCGATTCCGGCAGCCGGAACCTCCACATGTCCAACTCCAAATCATCCAACGTCGGCAATTCCAGGTACCCATTGGGCCGAATCACGATTTTCGTTACCCCGGGATGGATTTCAATGGTGTGAGCCCTAACTTCGCCAACATCGTCCGCCTCCGCCACGAATCGGAAGCAATCGGTGCTTTCCTCAACCAACACTTCAGCATCCGACCGGAACGGCAGCTCCAGGACCCGATTGAAAATGTGGGGCAGCCTCCTCAGCCTCTTGTTACCGCCAGCGGCGGAGGCTAGTTCTCCTCCTACTCCCCCTCCTCCTCTCTGATTATTCCCACCGCTGCCGCCGTGGTTCACATAGTACCGGATTGTTATATTGTTCCTCCTATTGGGCATAGGATGAACCTTCATGATGCTTGCACCGCCTTCTGGGTTCTGCTCTCCTGGGCCTCTCGGGTCACTGCAATTGTTGCCGTCTCCGGCGGCGGCGGCGGCGATAACCAGCAGAAAGACGAGGAGAGTCGCTCTCCCGATGCGAGATTGGGAAATCTGGCGATGGGTCCGAACCGAAATCGCCAGAAGATTGCAGTTTTGCAGTGAGAAAGTCGAATTGAGGAACATAAAATTGAGGGTGGGAAGAAAGGGAACGAGGGAATGAAAAAACCTACTGGAGAAGCAAAAGCTTAGCGATAGAAGAAAGATTGGAGAGATGGGCAATGGAAATTTATGGAAGAACGGGGCCAAATTGTAAAGGGGGTTTATACGGGCATGGCGGTGGGAGATGGGTTCGGTGATTTGTGATTAGGAAAAGAAAAGCTTGCTGTCCATAGAAGAACACAGAGATAGAAGAAAGATTGAGCCTGGCCTTCCTTCAGCCCTTCACTGTTCGTTCTCAATCCTCTTTATTCTTTTCTTTTTCTCTCGACTGAAATGGAATGAGAGAGGACGAGAAGGAATCACAAATTGACGGATTAAGAGAAGGAGATTGTGATTCGGTTACTTATTACTTATTAGTCGTTACCCTCTTTTCTTCGTCGAATTTACGGCCGATGCCACCTTTCAATTTGTTTTGTCCCCTATCTTCTTTGTTTTGCTCCAAGGAAAAATATGGGTCAATCGATATTTATGTGCATTGTTTATCCTATGTTGTCTTTGATTAAATCCGAGACTGTTGGAAACTTGGAAGGTTTTCACTAATGTTTAAGAAACGGTAAATCGGATCGGAAATATCAGATATTGCATTTTAAAAAGTAGGTGATTTAATAATATTGGACGGTAGAACCACAATTGAACCACAATTTTAGTACAAAATGATCATTATTTTTTTTCGGTATAAACCACTAGTATGATTTTAAAATTCTTGATTTCACTTGATAGTTTGAACGTCATAACAATCCCAACAATACTAATCAAACTAATTAAGATAAACTTATAGATAAGCATGTATTGTACGGATTACCTAAATATCTTTATACGTGATGAATTCATATTTTGCCTCTTTGTTAATCATCATACTATCAATCATAAATATCTTTCAATTTTTACAATGTATCTATCATTTTGGAGCACGAGGTAGATGACCTCATTGCTAATATGTTTGGATGAAACTTATACGGTAGACAAGAAACGGATCAAGGACGCAATAAACTAATAAAATCATTTATTTATTGAATTTTGTCTTCTACGTGAATAGCAATTGGTAAAAATGAAAAAAAAATAACATTTACATGATTAATGTTCAAAAACTTTAGATCTAGCGGGACAAACGGTTCAATATAGAAAGTAGCTCATACTAAAATCTTATAAACCAAAATAAAAGCATGTGATGGAATTGAATTGGTTTGATCCGATAAGATATGGCTCATTTGTAAAATAGTATTCAAAAATCAAAATAGAGAGGCCAGGCATGGAATCTTACTTTACTTTGGTCACTCTACAAAGGTTGCTTTCATTTCATTTGCTATGTGACGAAGAGATGAACGAAAGAGCCATCCAAGGATCGACACAACAAATTCTCCATCCAATCAAATGAATTGACCGAATGGGAAACTAATATTATTTGGTTATACGACTTATAGGGAATAATGGCCCCAAAGCAAGGTTGTTAAACTCCTATAGAATCTCTGGTTAGATCCGGTCCGATCTAATTTGGGCTTCAAAACGATCTCTAGAAAGTTTCATGGTCTGACCCCTAAAGAGGGGGTTAAGATCAGGTGACTAAGGGAGGGTCTCTTAGTCACATAACTAAGTCAATCTCAACCATTGAGCTTCATTAAAATCTAATGGTTCAAATAAATCCAGTTTAGTGAAGGGTAAGATAGTAATTACATAATTTATTTATTTAACAATTAAAATAAAACAAAAAAAAGTTGGATCTGCTATTTCTGTTGCCCGCCGGCCAGTGAGAGAGAGAGAGAGAGTTTCTGCTGGCTGAAGGAGACTTTGCGGCGATCAGCGACGGCGGAGAAGAATTTTTCGGTGACAATGTTTGATTTGTGATTTTTGTTGACCTATTTTGTAATGTTTTTAAGTCTGGTTTGTAATGTTTGTATCGATTTGGTTTGTATTATTTATCATTCTTGTTTGTCATTTTCAGTGACATTTTGTACGGTTAGTATGTTTTGTAATGTTTGTCGGTTTATTTTGTAATATTTGTACGCTTTGTTATTTTGTAATGTTTGTCGAGTTCTTTTGTAATGTTTGTAAGCTTTGTTAATTTTGTGCACCATGTTTATCATTTTTGCCAACCATGTTTGTAATGTTTTTTTTATGTCTAAAAAACAACCTGGTTGACTTTTGGATGGAACTCCTTTATATAGGGATGGAGCCTCCAAAGTCAACCCAAGTGTTTTTTCCAGTTTATATGGATTATCGTTCTAGTTTGTCATTTTTGTCCACCATGGTCGTAATGTTTGTATGTCTAAAACACAACCGGGTTGACTTTGGGACGGAGCCCTCTATATAGGGATGGAGCCTCCAAAATCAACCTGGTTGTTTTTTTTTTGTATGGTTTGTATTGTTTGTCGGTCTAGTTTGTATTGTTTATACAGTTCATACGCTTGTAATGTTTGTAAATCTGTTTGTATATTTTTTCGTTGTAGTTTATATGTTTGTATGGTTTGTACTGATTGTAAGTCCGATTTGTATACTTCGTAATTTTCCATAATACCCAAATTACCCATGTCATTAAATAACCCTTCTCACTATTTAACCGTCAGATTGTTGTGTCTAGATCTAAGGGCTGGGATGGTATTAGTCAAGTGACAAAGCACCCCCCCTTAGTCACAGGATCTCTGCCCAAAAGAAGAGGAGGAAGAGAGGAAGATGAACGAAGGAAGGGAGATGGTGGGTGAGTTATGGAGGTTAGGTAGATTTATTTTTGGAAAATAAGTTTTTGATAAATACATGTAAGATAAATTTCATTTCAGTCATTAAATTATTAATTACTATCTTAATTGTATATATATTTAGAAAACATCTAAAATGGCTCAAACCGGCCGAACCCCGATAGACCATTAAATCTCAAACCTCTGTGGGAAAGACAATTATTTGTAGTTTTTGGTTATTTCGTACTAGTGTCGGTTTTTAATGATTGGGGAATTATTTGGGTAATTCGGGAAATAAACGGGGAGTCGATTGTTATATTTTATTAGTTGGGTAGTAGAAGGAGATTAGGCGGATTATATAATCTGTACTATTGGTATTATTTTCATTAAGCAATCAATTATCAAAAACCTAAACCTAATATCTCTCTCTCCTCTCTTCCCTACGCCGATCACCTCCCTCTCTTCTCCTTCCAAAGCTGCGGCAGCAGCAGACTCTTTTCCCCCTTTTTGTTCTCAAATTCCCAAATCCTAATCCCTAGTCAGATCAATCCCTAATTGATCTAGCTAAATTCCCCAATCCCTAATACGTTAGAAACCTTGTTTCTAACATCTGGTATCAGAGCCTGACTCGAGAGTGAGTTCTTTTGAGCTCTTGGACCAGGGAAGGCGACAATGGTATCGACAAAGTCGATGAAGGCGGCATAGAAGGCGGCTCAGGCAGCTGAGAGGAACACCGAGGCGGGTGACGTTGGGTTCGACGGAGCGGTGGAGGACGAAACTGATCTTGAGGCGGTGAACGTAGTGGTGCACGAGCACTCTGATGCGCTGGCTCGGCTCGAAGAAATCCTGGCAAGAGTGCAGGCTGACGCGAAGGCGGATGCTGATGATCTGCGTCAGAGGCTCGAGGACCTGATGCGAGCGGTTGCCTCGCTGCAGGCGAAGGGGAACGGAGCAGGAGGAACCCCGAGCCCGACCGAGATGGGGGTCGACGGAGGTGGCGCACCTGGCGCGGCCTCGAGCGGGATGGAGGCGACAGCGACCGGGGCTGGCAGGGACTCTGTCGGCGGGACACCCGCGGCGACGGCGGCACAGACGGGTGCGGCGGTCGCTGCGGCAGGGGCAGGCGGGGTGGCAGGCGACGGGGTGCTCGCGGCGAAGGCGGCGGCAACGCAGGCCGATGCGGCGTCTGCGGTGGCCGAAGGAGGCAGGGCGGCGGACTCGGGGCTGACCCGAGCTGATCGTGCGGCGGCGGGGAGCGGGCGGGGTCGTGGGTCGGGCCTATTACCGACCCCCTCGGCCCAAGAATTCGCGGCCTTGAAGGGTAAGGCGAAGATGCCCGGGTACGACGGTGTGGGCCCCCAGCTGAACTTCGGCCCTCACGAATACATGGGCCAAGGCAAGGAACCCAATGGGCTGGGGTGGCTGTGTCCAGACGAGGAAGAGGAGCTGGGCCATGATCAGAGGGCCCGGAATTTGGCCGAGTCAGGAAGAGGGCCGATGGGAAGGGGCGCGGGCCGTGGGTCGGACTGACCGCCCGGTTGGGGTCCAAACCGAGGAGGGCTGACTGGGTTGGGCCGAACCGAGTCGAATCGATCAGAGTGGGTCAAACCGAGTTGAACCAGCGGGTTGAATCGGTCGGACCAGCTACTGGGCGGATCAGGCGAGCGGGAGTTTGGCACCAGAAGGGACTTCGGCAAGGGTTCGGGATCCTCTTACCCGCCAGTTCATGGTCCCTATCCACTGGCAGAGCCATGGGATGCTAATCAGGCACGGAAGGCCGGTCTGGACGAGTATGCGGAGTACCCGTTCAAGGAGGAAGAGGACTGGGGGTCGAAGCAGAGGTCCGCCAGGACCGAGGGGCTACCACGACAGGTATGACAGCTATCCCCGTGGTATGATGGCGATCTGGTGTTTAGGGCCAAACCCCCTACCATTGAGTTCCCAAAATTCGATGGTCAGGAGGATGCAGGTCTATGGTTGTATGCAGCTGACAGGTGGTTCAAGAATCACCGTACCAAGGAAGAAAGGAAGGCGCATCTGGCGTCTTTCTACCTAGAGGGAGACGCATTACAGTGGTGGGAGTGGCTGGAGCGATCATGCGCAGCCGCGCAGACCTTGATCACCTGGCCTTGTTCAAAGAAGAGCTGCGGTATCAGTTTGGCAAGTCAGAAGGGTGGGCACCGGAGCAACTGGCGAAGTTGCGCCAGACCGGGACAGTAGCGGAGTACAAGACGGAATTTTTCAAGCTGGGCAACCAATGCAAGGGAGTGCTGGAGGAGACCCTAGTCGGGTTGTGCATGGTTGGCCTAAAGCTAGAAATAGTCGCGGCGGTTAAGGTTTTCGAGCCCGACTCGCTGCGGTCTGCCTTTCGTCTTGCCGGTTATAAGGAGGAGGAGCTGGCGAGCTGGAGGAGCACGATTGGGCGGATCCCAAAGGCAAGCGGAAGTGGAGGGAGTGGAGTTGGCTCAGGCGGAGGAGGTGCGAGTGCGCCTACTGGCACTGGGCTGTCGCCAGCTGGCGCAGTCATCGCGAGTCGGCAAGCATCCCGGCCACCTCCAAAAGGGTTCGTGAGGCTCTCACCACAGGAGATCGAGCAGAAAGGAGGGAAGGCAAGTGTTTCAACTGCGACGAGAGGTTCACTGTGGGGCATAAATGCGCCAAGCCCGACTTGATGATGCTGGTGGGACATTGGGAAGATGAAGCAGAGGAGGAAGCAGCCGAGGAAGGGTCGCCGGAGTTGGAGTAGGATCCACAACCTTGAGGACAAGGTTGTTTCCGAAGACGGCGGGGATGTGGGAAACTCAATTATTTGCAGTTTTTGGTTATTTCGTACTAGTGTCTGTTTTTAATGATTGGGGGATTATTTGGGTAATACGGGAAATAACGGGGAGTCGATTGTTATATTTTATTAGTTGGGTAGTAGAAGGAGATTAAGCGGATTATATAATATGTACTATTGGTATTATTTTCCTTAAGAAATCAATTATCAAAAACATAAACCTAATATCTCTCTCTCCTCTCTTCCCTGCGCCGATCACCTCCCTCTCTTCTCCTTCCAAAGCTGCGGCAGCAGCACACTCTTTTCCCCCTTTTTGTTCTCAAATTTCCAAATCCTAATTCCTAGTCAGATCAATCCCTAATTGATCTAGCTAAATTCCCCAATCCCTAATACGTTAGAAACCTTGTTTCTAACAACCTCTTACTTGATTGATTGGCTCAATGACTTGAACTGGCCTTGCGCCAAAGTTTGCACACTAGTTGAACTAAAACATTTTCCAATATCTATTTCTTCATGGGATAATTATACCACCTTGTTGTTTAATCCCCATTAATATATGGTAGAGTTTTGTGTAATTTTCTCCATTTCAAATTTTCTATAACGAGAGTGAAAGTATGAAGGACATTTTTGTCTTTACAATTATTTATTTATTTCAAATAAAAAATATCAATATCAAGATTTGAACCCAGATCTCTTCAAACACGGACAACAGTCATAACTAACTACACTAAACAAATTTGTTGTTTCTATTTGATACAAAACATACACTAAACTCTGGAAAGTTAATGACTTTTACATCATGATCAACAAGCCCACTAAGTCTACCATATTTATTTTTATAGTGCTTAATACTTCAATTTCCATAGTAGAGTTTCATGTAATTTTATCCATTTTAAAATTCATGCTCTCCTTAATTTTTGCTTAGGTAAATTTGTAATTGGCTAACATGGAAGAAACTATTTCTTTTACTACGTGTTGCGTCATTGTATATTTCAATTTAAAATTAAATGTTGTACTTTTTTATCTTTGTTCTTATCTCTTTATAACTTCCTCCAAAAGTCCCTCCATCGTGCAATAACGCATTTGACTTCCCAGTACAAGAACGCATTTGACCCTTTCACTTCCCAGTACAAGAACGCATTTGAAAATTAATCTTCTGGTTTCTCTTAGCATGACAGTTTTATTTTTGGGATTTAAACTAGGCAAATAGAAAATTTCAAATCCGATATTAATCTATGGCGAATAGAATGGAGTTCAATCAAGTAGTTATGAGTTTAAACTTGGAGTAGAAGAGTTTGAATTGAGTTTGAGAATGGAAGTGGTGGGGGGAGGGGGGGGGGGAAGAAATTGTGTTTGAATTTGGTAGCAGGTAAAGTTCCACTGCAACAGGTGAAGGCAGAGAAGAGGGAGTTGGAGAGGGTATTGAATGAATTGAGGTGGGTGTTGAAAGATATGGAAGAGAAACTGGAGCAGTTAAAGAGAGAGAAGTGAGAGATGATGAGGATAATAATGAAAATGGAGAGGTTATGGAAGGACATGGAAGTGGACTAAAGCAGGTGAAGGCAGTCAAGGGGGAGATGAACATATTGATGGAATTGGAGATGAGTGTTGGTTTTAGCGAACTTATTACAAGTGCCCCGAGGAAATGAAGTTGTTTGGTTGAAACATATGCCTCTTTAGGTTTATGGTTTTTGCAGCTACCACAACCTATTTATATGTTAAACGAGAAATCATTGATTTACTGAATTAGGTCGATTCTTTATTCAACATACTGAAACTTATAGAAATGGAGTGTCTAATTTTGTGTCTTATGACTTTGATAAAGTCTATTAGTATATTGGAGATAACCCTAATTTTGTCGTTTGCTCTCAAGTTTTGATGGTTCCCTCTTAGTTTAGTTTGTAGTATATAGTTGACTTGAACCAACAACTCTCAATTTCTTTTTTATTAGTGGCATGTTGTTCCTAAAAGAAGAGCATTGAAGCCTTTATGTAGGAAAGTGAGGTTTTAGATTCAGTTTCAAACTATATATGGGCCGTGTGGTAATTCCAGTGAGCTTTTATATTCTATATTTCTTGACAATTAACTAACCAATATAATATTATCATTATGAAAATGAAAATGAAATCAATGATATATTTTTATATTCTTAAAAGATGATGGTATTTCTTCGAGTGTTCAACCTATATATTATTTCTTTATGTATCATCTAATTCGAAAATTTATCAAAAAAATTAAACAGGTTGATAGACTTAAACTTAACATAAAATTATAAATAATCAAATATGAACATTTCGGCCAACGGGCCGAGTTATAAGCTAGTATAAAAAATAGTGGTCTATGATTACTGAAGCTCGTGCTGCAATGACTTGAGTTAATTACAAGTATGATTACTTCACTCTTGTTTAGAACAAAAAATTAAAATCGGAGAACTTCGCACTTCGGTTCTTTTCAGTAGAGCAAAAAATATTTTGAGAAGAGTTAGAATGTCGAATTTAACCCAAAATTTTGACATCAAGATAAAGTCAAAGTACTAATCCCAGTAAATTAAACAAAGTGTCCGAACAAAGTATGGGTTTCTTCCTGTTTCATAATTCACTCGTTTAATGCAGTAGTACTGTTGCCTTCTTTCTTATTTCACTGTTAATGTTAAAACAGCAGCCTGCCCTCCATTCATTATGAATTATGATGTCGTGACAAAACGATGAAGGTTCCAGGGAGTTTCCTGGACAGGACCTGATGATAAGCAACATCGATCATTCCACCTCTGTACGTATACCTGCATTGATTCATGGTCATGGATCCTTCCCCTTGGTACGAAAAAGAACCGTGTTGTGGGTAATTTTCGGCTGCCATCGATGTTACTCTTCCTCCTTGTCCTGTTCATTGCTATATCAGCTTCTTCCTCCATTGATATAGAACCATTAGTCGCCAATGAAAAACAGGTTATGAAATGGGAAATATGCATGCATAACCAGCGGCGCCCCAACTAAACAGTTGCGGGTTGCACTTGTTTGTTCAGCAACTTGCTGCGTGGAGCTAGCAGCGGTTGCAGCAAGAAATCAAGCTGTTGTTGCTATTTCCAGATTTGCTTGCATGCAGTGAACACACAAACAGGTTATGTAGGTAGGTGTACTTGAGTGATGGAGTCTCATCAAAAAATGAAGTCGTCAAAACGATTGGAAACTGCTCAAACAACTGAAATTGATAGCTGATCATATGTAGATAGAAGAACCATATATGATTCACCTACGAAAAGATCAAAACCAGAAGAAAAGTGAAAAATGGGAAATCAATAATAAAAACGCTTTACACAATGAACTGCTGACACTTGTTTGGAGAAAAAGAAAAGTGAAAACAAAGATTCCCCATATCAGTCGGGAAAACTGTTTCACGGTCCTGATTTGGTCATCCATATAGTCATATACATTGCACAAATATGGTTTTGCCCACAAGAGGGGACCTCCATCCTCAAGACAGTCACTACTGGACATTATCTATGTGTCCTTTCATTGCCAGCGAACTGCTTCAAGGATGTGCAGTAGCATCTCCTGACACGATGATGATCATGATGCTGGACAGTGATGTATGTTACTACATACTCTCCAAGTCACAAGGTAGATTCTCGATGAAGGCGCATTCTACGCCTATTACGGCGGTGAGATTGTCTGTGACTGCGGTGGGTTGCTCTAGGTCCACTGCCTGGAGGAGTAGCCGGGTGATGGATCTCCTCCACTGGTGGTGCTACGTCACCAAAAATGCTACCGATAGGGTCTTCTGCTATATGAGCTTGCTGAGACTCCAAGTTCAATTGAAATAAGGTGAAAAGCTTGTTAGGAGCTCTGTAAAACCCAAAGATACAAAACAATCTATGTTGATGGAAGGAACTTACAGTTGTTGGAGTAACAGTAACTTGCTTTGGCTTCGAATTATCAGCCTTCTTAATAGTATCTGCTTCCTTCAACGAATGATTGTGGTGATCTTGGTCATTCGCATTTCTGTCCTCAGAATCCTTGTGGTGATCACTGTTGCCTGTCTTTTGTTCACTGTCGCCAGAGTAATTCCTGTGACGCCACCTCAGCATGGCTTCGCCCGACCCTGTGTCATTATAAACAGTCTCCATGTAGAATCGTTTGCATAGAAGCTGCTTGGCCCAGGGAATATGAGAGTGATTCTTCACCATTCTGTCAATTGGCGGGGAAATAAAATTTTAAAACAATTCAAGATCCTGTATAACTAAGAAACCATGACAATACAATCATAACATAGATGTTCGTCTCCCTACAGAACTATAACTCATTGCATTGACTTACATATTTGCCAACTCTCTCTGTAACCGACTCCCATCCTTTGAAAGAATATGATCAACACATGACTCTAGGGAATGGCCAAATCTCCAAAATCCCAGGAAAGCAGCAGCTCCTATTTAAGGGTCAAACACATTGATGATGATTAGACGAAAAGAGGAATGTTTGGTTTTGCGCATAGATTGAAAGAGAGTGCTGAATGATTACCTCCGGAGATGTTTACACGTAACACCCTACTCAGCCTCCAAGTCACTGCCAGAATGCTATGAAGTATCAGAAAAGGGTATTGAAGCAGGACATTTGACTTTAAAATAGTAAGTACCAGAGTAAACATCTCCCATCTTAAGATGAAAGAGATGGAAAAATCAACACCGATGGATAGAGCAATACCAACTTAAAACCATATTCCCATTTCCTGCTAATGCAAACATTATGGCAAGAGTACAAAGCATAATTGGAAATTCATAGACGACAGTAATCAAATGTCAGCTGGACTAATGGGCGCCAATTATTTCATGATATTATCACTATCCTAGTTAGGTTACATAGGCATCATTCTATCACCTCAGAGACAAATACAAGAAAAAGGGGCGGAAACCGTACCTCCCCAGGCAGTAGAACCTCCAAGCAATGCACCAAAGGTGAATGCCCTAATAGCATTGCTCTTGCACACTTGGAGTAATTGTGCTTCTGGTGCAGTCAAATACTCCTAAAGAGTTGAAAACAACAGAGTTAAATTCAATTCATCAGCAAGGCCCGGTTCCGGAATAAAATGAGCCAACCCCCAAAAAAAAGACTGAAACCTTATAGGTAATCAGGATTGCTATCGGCTTTCGAGGGAAAAAAATCAGGCATGACCCTTTACAATTCACACTCAATGCAGCTAAAAATTACATCAGAAACGTATCTGCGACTCTATTCCTAACAATTGCAGCTTGAAAAAAGGGGGAAATCAGGGAAATTTTGTCTCACAGGATTACGATTTCTGGGCTATTAAAACGAAATTTCTGCTTCAACTAGAGCTTATACCCTTTTGGATCATGAAAAGCTTCAAGGGTGGAGGGAAGTACCTTTTGGGACCTGAGTACTTGCTCGAGCTCGAGGAGAGCTGCGCCCATTTTCCGCAAATTGGCTTTGCCTTCTGATCAGAAATGTATTTTGTGCGAAAAAGGCTTCGAATTCGTAATTCCCTTCGTTTCTGCACACTAACAAGAACCAATTGAAAGATGGGGAGAAAAGGGGGAGCACGAGAAAGAGAGACGCGCGACTGTGACGCTGGCAGGCCAAAGGCCCAATAGCATCTGTATAGTGGTACTAGCCCACTAGGAAGCCCATTGCGAGGAGTACTGTACAATCAAGCAGTCCGCTTTCTGTAGTCAGTCACAAACAGAAGGAGGAAGCCCATTGCAGAAGTACCTGAGATGGCTCAACACTCGAGAGCAAGGTTGTCAACCCGCGGGTTGACCCGGACCAGGTCGAGCTAGTAGATCAAGGGTTAATGGGTCAACCGTTTTAGCCCGGTTTGGCCCGAAAATATGGAAAGAGTCATTATATTGTACTTTTCCTTATAAATTATATCAAATCTTATCTAACATATGAGTTATAACATATAATATTACACCAAAATAACATATTGTACTTAGATCTAGCATAAAGTGAAAATTCACACACACTTATATACATCAATATTCAAATATTCAACTTAGGATTCCAAAGATTGAGTTAGGCGAAAAGAAAAATCGGAAATATGCGCATTTCGCAAACCAAAGAAAAAAATGACACAATTTGACCTTCAACCCGGTACCTTATAGCGGTCGACCCGGCGGGTGTGTGCGGCCCTTTTTTCTCACCGGGTCAGGGTCAAAGTGGGTCGACCCGCGGGTTGACAACCTTGCTCGAGAGGCTCTGGCTGTATGGGTTTACCAGGGGCTTGTAGCCTAGGTAGGGAAATGGACAATAGGACAATTGATCTCACAACTAGGGATGGCAACAAAACCCGAACCCACGGGTACCCACCCGACCCAAAACCCGTCAACACGGGTTTTACTAGGGATGGCAACAAAACCCGAACCCACGGGTACCCACCCGACCCAATCCGGTCAACGCGGGTAAAATCTGTGTTGACGGGTTTTGGGTCGGGTTCGGGTTTAAACCCGCTACACTATTCACCGGGTTGGGTTGGGTTTGGGTTTAGGTAAACCCGCCCCATGGGTACCCGCCCACACATATAATTACTTTCCCGGTATATTTAATATTCTAAATAATATATCTTCCTTAAACAACTAATATTCTTTATGTTTGTGGAAACATGTATAATTTGTTGTTTCTAATTGTTTAGAATGAAGTTGATATTATAGAGTGGAGAGTGAAGAAATTTATTTGACGAGGAAGAAGCTTTTAATTAATCTTGTTGTCATAGATGTTTATCTTTAATTTTAAACAATTTGTATTGATCATTTCCGATTTGTTTGTATGTTCTAGATTGGTGTTTTTTTGTATGAATAATTTGTATGAGAAAATGATGTTAAACTTTTATTTTGAAAGAAATTTGTTATTGTAATTTTTTTACCACAAAAACCCACGGGTACCCATGAACCCGCAGGTACCCAACGGGTTGGGTTGGGTTTGAAATTTTCAAACCCAGCGGGTTTTACCCCGGGGTTTTTTAATGGATAACCCATGGGTTTGGGTTTGACAAAACCCGCCCCAACCCGACCCATTGCCATCCCTACTCACAACTAGGGATGGCAACAAAACCCGAACCCACGGGTACCCATCCGACCCAACCCGGTCAACGCGGGTAAAACCTGTGTTGACGGGTTTTGGGTCGGGTTCGGGTTTAAACCCGCTACACTATTCACCGGGTCGGGTTGGGTTGGGGTTTAGGTAAACCCTCCCCATGGGTACCCGCCACACACATATAATTACTTTCCCGATATATTTAATATTATAAATAATATATCTTCCTTAAACAATTAATATTCTTTATGTTTGTAGACATATATAATTTGTTGTTTCTAATTGTTTAGAATGAAGTTGATATTATGAAGTGGAGAGTGAAGAAACTTAGTTGACGAGTAACAAGCTTTCAATTAATCTTATTGTTTATAGATGTTTATCTTTAATTTTGAACAATTTGTATTGATCATTTGCGGTTTGCTTGTATGCTCTAGATTGGTGTTTTTTGTATGAATCATTTGTATAAGAAAATTAATGTTAAACTTTTATTTTGAAAGAAACTTGTTATTGTAAATTTTTTACCACAAAAACCCACGGGTATCCACGAACCCGCGGATACCCAGCGAGTTGGGTTGGGTTTGAGTTTTTCAAACCCAGCGGGTTTTACCCCGGGTTTTTTTGGCGGATAGACCCATAGATTTGAGTTTGGTTTGACAAAACCCGCCCCAACCCGACCCATTGCCATCTCTATTCACAATCCCTCTCAGAGAGCCTTTGTGAAGTGGCGTTCTCTCATCTTCAGCAGTAGCAGAATCAGAAATCTAATCCAGCATTGATTTCAATCATGGTAGTTGAGGAGGGGACTAAGACTTTACTAACTGCTCTATTTTTTCAAATTTGTTACGAATTTTGTATGTAATTTTATCTGTATTACAAAGTTGATAGACTATAACCTCTCTTGATTTCGACCTAGCTCCGCCACTACATACCATCTCTGTAGCTGTAAGGAAGGAGGTCACAACTCACAACTGATTGTGGAAGTAAATAGCGTCATCAGTGAAGCCTCCTTCCTTCCTCCTTGCCTATTTGATATTGCTTTCGAGGGAATATCTTGTGTATCTTGCAAAAGTTTACGCTCCTATAAGCTTCGTTTCCAATACCAATGCGAGAGACCGAACTCCGAAGATCCATCTCTATACCTAGTTTAGTGATGCTAATATGTATATGTCGAGTACTTCAGATGGTTGTTCAGTTTTCATAGGCAAGTCCAGTCAAGCAAAATCAAGTAGGTTGTGTGCTGCTATTAACCTGATTTACTTCCTGCTGAAGAGTGTAAACAGTAACAGCCTTGATTATCAATGGAATCAAACATGTAATCAACTAAGCAAGTCGGTGGACTGAACTACTAACATTCAAGTTCTTGACTGGCTTGTGGCTATACTCAATGTACACTCTAGAAACATCATTTCATACTTAATAGCACAAAGAGGAGGTTTAATGCTTTGAAAGCCAAAAGCCACTAATGAAGATGGAAACTATCCAACCTAGTTAACAAAAAGAAAGTGAATCTCTTCTCAGAATCAACAGAGGCAAGATTCAAGAGCAACAAAAGATCCCCAGGAGGAAGCTTAAGCAAACGCATTAAACCTGTACCAGCCCAAGAGGGTTAGGTTCACTTCTCCCTCAGGTAGGGAAGCTCTTCTTCATTTGACCATTTCCATTGAACACAGAGGAGTAAGTCTCCTCGAAAATGGAGACGGAACATAGTACTCTGTTCATTGTTCTCAGTAAGCTCGAGACCCTGATCTTGACGAGCTCTGCAACAAGTGAAGACAGTACTCCTCTGGGTTTGTCATCAGCAGCAATCCAGCTTCGGCCGTACTCCAAAACCCAAGTGTTCGGATCTAATTGAACTGCTGAACCGCTCCATTCCTTCTGAACCCACGAAGTGTTCCCTCTTCGTATCACATACCCAATCTTTCCATCAGCCCACTGCCCAGAAACAGGAAATCAAGTTCTTCAATGGAGCACATTCCCTCAGATAATTGGAAGGGGAAAAGAGAAAGAGGGTTTCTTGAAATGAAATTGAAGTTTGTTTGTTTACCTCCGTGACTCTGCCTGATAGAACGGTGAACGAGCGCGAAGAAAATCCAGTCTTGATCAATCCCGCAGTTTGGAAAGGCCATCCCCAAATCTTTACTTCCTCCGTTCCTGATTTGAATAACATACATTGGGAGCTCAAGAGCAGACCATTTTCCTGGAAACAAGATCGACTTAGTGAACTAAATCAAAAGGGATATTATATCTCAAATTCGAAATTGAAGACATTTTCCCCTTACATGATTGATTTTCCACGCTGAATCTCTGAAACTGCAGTTGGAAACCCTAACTCCAGGAGCGAAATTCCGCAATTGGTTTTGCACATACATCAATCTTCCACTTAAATCCCCTTTCACAACCCTAGATCTCTCACCAGCTGCCCTTACTGAATCCGCTGTAAAGACGGGCTTCATAGCACTACGGACCCACATAGAGAACACTGTCTCCGATGCCAAAATCAAGATCAAGACGAAACCCAATTTCAAGAGAACCCCTGCTGCTGCTGAAGGTGAAAGTGAAGATGAACCACAATCTTTCTTCTGACCTTTCTCCTTGTCTTCCTCTATCTTCTGACGATTCGAAATTGAAGCTCTTGCAGTCGATTTGAGGGCCGGAGAGGTGATTACAGCCCGGTAACTGGATCTTGGGGTGGAGACAACAGAAGGATCGAAGGACAGTGGAGTCCTGCGTCCCAAATTGGGGCGAGAAGAGGATATCTTGTCTCGGGATGATTTCTTCTGGGTGCTGTAAGGCATGAGATCGAGAGTTGCGTTGATGCTTGCTAAGCAGATCTCGCACTCGCAATTGGCGTCCTTCTTGCAGCCTGGGTAGTAGCAGCTGCCATCTGCCGGTCTGGCCTCTTCCGTCCCGGCGGCTACCATGGTGGTCGTGGAGTTCGATCTCACGGACGACGACGATTCCGCTGGTTTCATGGTGGAATTTGGGTTTTCTAATTTGTTTACGCTTTTCTTCTTTGGGTTTGTTGGGATTTCTGAAAAGCTCGAGTCTTGTTGAGGTTTGGAGTTTGGACTGGGTTTGTGCGTGAGAGTTAGGAGCGAGGAGTGATTCCGACGGTTTAGGCGTGGAGAGGAGCCGAGATTTGAATTTCTAACGGTCGTCTCTGTATTCACGTGGATTAGATGGAATGGAAGAGTTTTCACTTCTTTTTTCAATTTTCTTTCTTCTCGGCCGTGGAAGGATATAAAAGGAGAAACGAGCCCATACTAATGGGCCCGAAAAAATCTCATTGTCATGGGCCTGGCAGGCGACGATGGCTTGGCAGTTGGCACTAACCCACTAAAATCCTAGAAAATTAAATTAAGTTTCCTAAATTAATTGGTTTATGGTTCAGAGTTGGTTTGGACTAGTAAGTGTATGTTCGAATCTCCACAAACTTTAATATTACTGGTAGAGGTGACAATTCTCAATCCAATTCACAAATTTTTTAAAAATATCCAATTAATCCAATTCATTTAAATTCAATTCATTTGATCCAAATCTACTTGGATTAGTGGATTCATGGATCGTTTTCAAATTACAGTTTAGTACTTATAATTTTTTTTACATTTTTTTACCTAGAATTTACTTTTTCTTATGAAAAATAACATCAAGAAAATTACTTTTTGGCACCTAAAATTTTTCAATGACATTTTTGTACCTAAAATTTTCACATTTTACATATTGGTCCTAGGTTGAGGATGTCATCTGGAGTCATGGATAATCCATCAATCCAATCTATGAATTCACCAATCCATTTGATCCATGGATCCACCGATCCATTTGTCACCTCTAATTACCGGTTGATTTAAACACAAGGTATATTGGACATGTTCAAATTTGTTGAGGTAGCTTTCGTTTGATGATTCGTGCAAGGGAGTAGTATAAGATCCATAATTAGAGGTGGCAAATGAATTGGATTCATGGATTGGTAAATCTATGGATAATATGGATTGGCTGATCCATGGATCCATTGACATCCAAGCAATGGACCATTATATAAATTTTGAAAAATTTGGGTACTAAATTGTCATAATGAAAAATTTTAGGCATCAAAATGTAAATTTTCAATTACATTTTTTATCTAAAAATAAATTTTAGGTAACAAAATATAAAATATGTAAAGTATAGGTACTAAATTATAATTTGCCAACGATCCATGAATCAACCAATCCAAATGGATTGAATTATTTGGATATTTAAGTGGTTGAGTTGGATTGGTGGACTGGATCTGTGATTGCCACTCAAGTTATTGAAACCAGCTGGTTTATGACACATCTAAAATCAACAATAACATAAGAAGAAAAAAAGATTGTACAATTTCATCAAAACTTTGAAATTGGCATGATTGTTGGTTTTAGATTTAGATCTCATTTATCTTTCTATTTATATTCCTATAATTTTGTTTTATATTAAAAGTGAAGGCAAAAGTTACATTTTCTTATGTAATTAATTAATAAACTATACACTCAGCAACAAAACAATAATGTAATTTCAAAATGTTAAAATTGTATAATTTCATGTATATAATACAATACAATAATATAACATACGGCATTAGATTACATTTATAAGGACCACAATGTATGTAGTGCACCAAATCAATGTTAAGCCGCCACAACAGCACACCCAAACTCACAACACACCACCGTATTCCTTTCCTGCGTAATGACCTCAATTCCCTCCTTTAATTTCTCAGTGCTCTTACATCAGATTCCCTTTAAAATGGTTAATCGATCACCATTTACACATCTGTCGAAATCGAATGTATGAAAAGTTCAGGAGTTGGACCGACCCGAAAGTCTGCAAAGTATAATCAAACTCGAAAGTTGTTCATCATTATTGTTACTTATTATTCTCAATCCCTGGTAAAGAGGGCACTTTAGCATTTATATTTCATGGTTGAAAACTAGCAACAATGAATCATTTTAAGCTTATGAAAAACAAGGTTTTACATAGGTGGCAATACTACAATAGGTCGATAAGTATCTCAAAATAATTTCTTTTTTTAATTGTTTCCAAATAACTTGGGAACCATGTCACCTTGATATTAACAACATATATTATGTTATTAATAAGGTTGTGGGTTTCGGATCTCTTGCATTAATTTTAGTTACTGGACGATTTGGCTCTTAATTTCATATCAATTTTTTTGTAACTCATTTTCGAAATATATTTACAAAAGTCACGCTTGAAACTCTCAAAGTTATTTAATTCAAAATCAATTATCCGTGTTGTAATCTAATACCATTATATAATTATCATTTGATCAAACTTCAACGAGCTTATAAGTTTATGGTCATTCACTTTCATTCTCAAATTTATAGAGGTTCTCTAGACTTCTAAGTAAATACAAAATTAGTATTGAGAATGGTAGTAATTCAAACACAATTACTATCATACTGGAATGTCAAGAATCATTTTAGCTCTAATAATACTTTTTTTTTTTACAAAATTTAATATGAAGCGAAGATAGTTACATCCTGAAATTTAACCAAACCATAAAATCAAACAAACGACTCGTAGTCGGAAACAATTGAAGGACCTTCTTAGCCACCAAGTGAGCTACCCTATTACTACTCCGCCCTACAAATCGCATAGAGAACTCATTCTGAAGCTCCAAGCATCGCCCAACCTCCTCAAGATTCAAGAAGCACCCCTATCAAGCTACCCCTGGTATCCGATTGATTGACCTTATCAATAATCACCTTAGCATCCCCTTCAAATCGCAACTCCGTAAACTCATATGCCCTAATAAGACAGCTTTGCATAAAGCTTTGTTTTGAACCTCACCAACACTGACCTTAAATAACAGATTCTTCATCCTGTGTTTCTCAAAGTTTCAACCATTACCATGACATTACCTTAAATAGATTTGATAATCTGTTAGTCATCTACATTAAGTGGCTTTCTTCTGATGGTGGCCTGTATGGGGAAGTTGAGCTTTCATTGAACATTTTTACCTTTTTCTACTCTTCTTGTTCACCGCCAATTTTAATATGGGAAAAAAACTTAAGATACGTCCATGATATCGTTGGGTTTTTATATCAGTAATGGAGCCCCAGCCCCAGGTTCTAAAAATCTCTCTCCCACGTCAACCACCTCAACAAACTGTACCAAAGTAATGTTTCTTAATTGCTCCAAAAAACAGGGCATAGGAAATAACGGAAATCCTAAACTAAGGTGCCACCACCATATTTTATAGTGGAGTTTATAATTGTAGGAATGCACATTAGCTGTAATTGGTTAGGAAATACATTGACTTCTGCAAAACCTTATTGGAACGAGATTTTGTTACCAACCCTTTTCTGGTTTTGCAAAAACTAAACGTTTAAGCAGCTGGGTTATACCCAGAAATGGAAAAAGTTCCAAGCTTTTCTCAATTTCTTGCCATGCCTATGGGACATTTGGAACATATTAGTCTGCATCAATAGTCTCAGAGATTTACCCTAGAACGAAAGTGTATGTCAACTTCAAGGCATGATAATGAAAAAGAAAATGCAGCAAAAGCCAGCAAAAATGGGCAAAGATAGCTAAACGGGAGAAGAAGAAGAAGAGACTCCTCTTAGAAATTGTGTTAACATAATGATTCCCCACTGTACAAAATACACCCAGAAGTTTGATAACCTTAGTAGCTATAGAAGAAGGCGATCAATCAATCGACGGCTACCTTATATTGGAAACAAGCAAAAAGCTCTGCCTTTTCCCCTCTCTTTTTTTCTCTTGCGGCTGAAGCAGAGCGCCCAAACTCTCTTTCTCCCCTGTTTTCCTCTGTTTTCCCCCTGTTTTTTTTCTTACTCTGTTTCTTTTCACCAGCTTAGTAAAGTTTGGTACTGGCGGATCTGGAGTACTTCTTAGAGGAAGAGGGAGAAGAAGAAAGCTCCCCAGAGCGCCTCCGGAGCATCTGCCTCATACCGTCGGCGACTCGAACCGCCGGATTGGAATTGAATTTGCCGCAGAAGGACATGTGAGCTCTGACGGCTTCTTCCATCATCCCAGAAGAAGCAACGGCAGACTTCTTGGTTTTATTGTTAGTATTCCCTCTGATGGCTTCGTCTCTAACGGCTTCTGAGCACAGCCCGCATAGCCATTTACCGTCGAATGTGTCTCTGACTTGAGAGATGTAGTCTTGCGTGCAGTCTTCTTCCAACCCACAACACTCGCACCTCACTGATTCGATCTCCATCCCCTCTCTCTGGACTTAGATTTTGTGGTTTGGTTCGTTCAGGTGCCAACTCGACGGAAGAGAAAGAGCTTATGGGTTCTGGGCTCTGTTTTCTTTTGCTTTGGGATATGATTTGGAATGATGGAGAGAAAAGTGGCAAGTGGGGTTATCTTTTTGGCAATCTTTTGTGGCTATGCTTTTGGTAGCTTAGAGTGGAAGGGGGCGTGCGATGATCGATGGGCAAAGTTCTTGGATTTTGTTTTCTTCAAGAACTAGGAATGAGGAGGAGTAGGAGAAGAAAGGGCAGAGGGGCAAGTAGGAAGAGAGGAGTAGGGAGGAAGGGGGAGGAAAGCTGCCATAATTTCCTCCATGTTATAAGGGACATGGAGCAGTGGAAATTGAGACAAACCGGTCGGGATGGGGGTCCCTCGAATATGGGCCCATCTTAATTTCTCCCCAACTAGAAAGTCTAGCCTTAGGAGAACCCGAAAAATCGAAAATGTATATAATCGGGTCGGTTTTAGGTAAACCCGAAAAATCGAACCCGAATGGACACCCCTAGCAGAACGACACACTAATGCATTAGTATGTTATATATGATGATTTATTTTTGTTATGATTGAAATCCTCTTACATTATTTCAAGATCGAATGTCTAATTTATGAACCCGAGACAATTAAGTTACCACGAAATCTCCATCATGATAGAAATGAGCGAGGCCAACCTCTAATGAGTTCAGATCTAACGTTTTGATAACTAAGATTAGAGTTGTAAGTTTGATATCGGTATTTGGGATATTATCGAATTTTGTACCGAATATGTCGATATTTGGTATTGCCGAATGTTGATGTGACTTGAATCGGACTATCAGCTGAGATTAGGGATGTAAGTCTGTAACCGTTTCCTTTGTAATCTCATAATCTGTAATCTACTCGATATAGTGAAACTGACTCTCTCCTGTCCGTGAACTACCTAACACACATTGTGTTAGTGAACCACGTAAATCGTGTGTCCGTTTTCGATTCTCACTTTCGTATTCTTGTTTTACAATTCCGGCGATTTCCCGATCCGTAGCAGCGCAGTTATAACACCGAATACACATATTATTTCACGGGATTGGGATTGCATTTCATGTGTTGTTCGGTATTAGCGATTACGAGATTGTAATCGGTATATATCCAAATACCGATCAATACCGAAATATAAGCTAGTGTGTATTTTATCACTCTCTACTAGGCCCCTTCACTCACTTCTACCAACCCTCAACCGCCCAGAAAGATCACTTAATCACACATAGCTCATTCTCTCGTGTTATTTGACAACTCATATTAAGCTCATTTTATTACTTGTAGTATATCTATGAGTTGTTTAGTTGTCTCTAATTTGTTTTTGAAGTTGGACCTGATGAACTAACACCGAAGAACTAAATCGCCATCACAAAATTATCCTCACAATTGAGCAAATGGAAATGAAAAACGAGAACGAAAGCTTAACACTTGGGATAGGAGGGTCTTTCGTAGATGAGGTTCAACGGAATCCTTTTGCTCTTTTTGCCATGTTCTCGCAATTTGTCATGTTATCCTTCCTTTGTTAAAACAAAGTTTTATTGACAATGGCATTCCTTTGTTTTTTTTTGTTTTTGTCAGTGTAGAGTGGGGGGTGGTTTGTTTATTTTCTTCTTTCTTGGGTTGACAGTTACTTTCGGTTGGCCTTATCACCACTTTGACCGGGCAATGACTTCCGGACGAAGGGCTTACTTACTTACTTTACTTACTCACAAGCCTTGTTGGCCTAAGCTTAATTTTACTACATTTTATAATATCTATATCCATTACAAATATCAGTTTTTAGTATTATGGGTTTCCCAAAATTTCACTCTTTTAGTCTTTTCCCATGCGGCTCGATATGCTGCTGACGATTACAGAAAAAAAAAAAAAAGTCAGCATCATCACCACTCCTTTTGTTGACCAACTGAGGCTCAGTGGGAGTGGTTGAACAGCCAATAGGAGCTGATCCAACGGCTGTGAGAGCTCATTCTTATTCATGTGAAGTGTATGGAACTATTTTACTATTTCTGAAGGTGGTCATTTTTCAATACAATCAATAATATGTCACAAAAGAGGAGAATCATTCTTTCTACGTATTATTTACTTATTTGTTAAATTATCGTGACGTACAAAATAGATTTTTCGTACAGTGTCTTTATTTATGTGAGCCGACTCACTGGCCTAATCCGATTCGACCCTACTAGTACGAACCAGACATGATCAAAGAAGAATAAGGTGGACATGATCAATTAGATGTTTGATCCTATACAATCAGATGTTTAAAAAAAAAAATATTAGCAGGACCAACGTTAGGTTCGGCCCAATTTCACCCCATCAATTATCATATTTCAACTTATGATTCCTTATTCCTCTAAGCCTGAAACATGATCAATTGTAGGGCACATGCAGCCAGCACTGATACCTTTCTGAATAAATTGATTCGGTTTAAAGTTTAAACTAGCTCACACTTTTTGCTCTCATCTTTCTTGATTTTCGTTCACTAATTAACAAAATAACTTCACTGACAATGGACCTTATTATACAGTACTTGTCTGTCTTCGTTTCTACATGTTATACCAACAAGTTAAAGGACGTTGTTTCTTTAAAACCTGTGGGTGTGGTTTCATCAAATCATCACCGGTCAAATGAATGCCTTTTTCATTTTTAGCTATACCCTCAACCCATTTCCGTTTTGCATCAGATATGTCATTGTACTTGTAAATACGATCTTGGCTTTGTTTGAAAGTTGCGATTGTTTTGTTGAAATTGTCATTATGCATGTATTGTTTATAATGCATCATTTTTTTTAATTTTTTTTAGCAGAAATAATATATGGATTGTTTCTATGATGTGACAGAAACTATCACTCATTTTGAGTGATTGTTATATCTCAACTTTTAGTTGTGATTGTTGAGATAGTTGAGTTGAGATTGTTTTGTCTCAGCTTTTAGCTGATGCGACATACACAATCACATATACCAAACGTTGTATTTCTTCTTCCCATTCACTTTCTTCTTCAGTCTCCACACAGGCCATTAACAACATATCTTCATTCATGTCTCCATAACTCTTATCTTGCATACTGGCAGAGACCACATAATGAGCCTGTTGATTAGAATACCACTCAGGGCACTCATATTTGTAATGCCCCAGCTTGTGGCATCTGTAACATTCAACAGATTCCTTGTTCCAGCCTCTACCTCCTCGACCTCTTCCTCTTCCCTGGTAAAAACCTCTTCCCTGACCTCTGCCACCTCTTCCAGAACCATACTCATGAGAGACCCTTAAAGCCTGCTCCTCTTCACCAGCTGACTTCCTTCTGTTAAATTTTTTCTCATGTACCAAAAGAGAACTCTGTAGTGCATCTACTGTTAAGAACTCTATGTCTTTGGATTCTTCTATAGAACAAACTACATAATTGAATTTGTCAGTCAATGTTCTAAGAATTTTCTCAACAACTTTTCCATCAGACATGTCCTCCCCACAGTTTCTCATAGTATTAGCAACTATCATTACTCTGGCAAAATACTCAGACACAGATTCATCTTCTTTCATCTCAAGCAATTCAAAGTTCCTTCTGAGTACCTGCAACTGAGCCTTTTGAACTCTTGCACTGCCTTGAAACTTCTCCTTCATAGATTCCCACAGCTCTCTTGCAGTGCCTTTCTTTGCAATGGTCTTCAACAGTGTTCTGTCAATGCTACTGAACAGATAGTTTTTGGCCTTTAGGTCTTTCAACCTTAGCTCCTCCAGACTCCTCGTTTGTGCTGGTGTCAACTCCTCCCTTGTTGCAGGCTCTCTGAAGCCAGGACTGATCACAGTCTAGTACTCTTTGGACCTGAGCAGATTCTCCATGACCAATGTCCAGTGCTCATAATCCCCATCAAATTTTGGGATACAGACCTGAGCACTACTTCCATTATCACCCATGATGATTTTCTCACTCACCCTGATTTGTCTTTCCCCACAAGCAACTCTCGTGTTTCCCTAACCCATATCACAAAATTCTTTCACTCAATACCCTCTCTTCTCTTGGTTACAGTCTGCTATAGGTGCTCTGATACCACAATGATGAACACAAATGTTTTGCAAACTGACAAATTTGTTATTGATAGCAAAGAGACGATTAAATAGTTAGGGTTGAGCCACAAGATTCGGCCTCAACACCTCCATGACTAACAACTTACCTACCAATCAGCTGCACTAACAACTCTAACTCTTAACAAACTCCAACGGTCAAATTTGACCACTATAACAGGACTAAAAAACAACAGGTACCAAAAGAACAATTTGCCAAAACGCTGTGCTTGGCTTTATTCGACTGACTCAAACGAAAACGGCGCCGCAGCAACTAAACAGCAGGGGTCTTTAGTTCAGCATCAAACGACGTCGCCGAGACTAACTTCTTTGTGGCCTTAGATAGTCCGAATCCGAGAAGGACAAGGACTCCAGCTTCAATTCACAATCCAACATTATTTAACAATCGCAACTTCCAAACGACCCCTACGATTGTTGTACCATTTCAATTCTTTTTCAATAAGGATATGATTCGCTTTAGGTAATTTACTCCGAACGTATTATGATGATTTTTTTGAGAGGTCACCCATTTTTGCACTGATCCACACTGAGCTGGTCGTTTAACTTCAGAATTCTCTCAATAACTCATACATTTCATTCAAATCACGTCTTGTCAGTTAACGTTTATTCGATTGTTCATTATGAACTATGACGATCTAAGATAAATTACACAACATCAGGTGTCATGAAAGAGTATATCGACATGTCAACATTAGCTAAATGTGTGTTGAATTACTAGATCTTCAATTCATCTCAAACTGGATTATTTACTTTAGCTCTAAAAGACGATCGAGTTCCTTATGATTAAGAATTTTCTTTTTTTTTTTTGAAAATTTTGACCTCATCCACTTTACTATTGGTTGAAATCTTGGGCTTCTACTAAAACTCCTATCTTGCCAAATTGCCAATCATGCAAATCCAAATTCCAAAGAGAGACATTGAACCATGACGATTAATTGGTCAGCTGACCCTGGATTTGGTCACTTGCAGTAATGATCAGTGAAAAGGCCACTCCACCACATATGTACACACACCTTCATATCCTCTCCCCTCCCAATCAAGTTTTCTTCTCCAATTCATCATTACCGGTGGCATCAAAAGACAAATACAGTGCCTAACTATTTAACGTGATTCCTACATACATTATTACTTGATTGATTAGACTGAAGCTTCGTATCTCACTCCGATCGAGCCACCATCCATCATGTCGGTTCGATAAGCACTTGGCAGTCGTACGTGAAACCTGCATCACCCATCACCTTCACATCACCAGCCATCCTGCATGTAAAACGTTTCACGTTATCGAAACAGCGACTGATGGTGATGATGATTAGCGTTCTAACTTGACTCCGAAACAGTACGTTATAATTAATATCATGATCAGGCCGGTGGACCAATATATATGTCTGTTAAGTGAATGCGCGGCTGCGGAGGCTTGTCGTTCTTAATTGGTAGCGGTTTAGCCACGTGACGAAACGTATAGCTTGTCGTAGACGAAGTATTAAAAGCTTGTCCGCCCCGAAATGAAGGAGTCGAACAGCTACAGGACTGAACCGAAATGCCGAGATATCGAGTTTAGGGCGAGATGGGGAAGAAGAAGTAGGAAATCGTGTTTTGGTCCGTTCCACGTAAGGCGACAGAGGAATAACAGGCGGCGGCCCTGCATGCAGGCGGGGCAAGCAGATCATGTGTAGGCCGGGTTTGTTGTGTTGTTCGTAATGGGAAATACGACTTCTTTATGACGATGATGATTAACATTGAGTAAACACGGTTAGAGAGTGGTATAAGATCCACGATTGAACCTCTCCAATAATTCGAATTATTGAGATCAACTGGTTCTTGACATGGTATCAGAGTCTAGAACCGAAAGGTCATGCCACAATATTAATCGTTGTCTTTCCAGCACATGATATGGTGGGCCTGTGCAAACTTCAAGCCTATGAGTTGATTTTCGTTTGAGGGGGCGTGTTAGAGAGTGATATAAGATCCACGATTGAACCTCTCAACAACTCGAGTTTTTGAGATCAACTAGTTCTTGACAAAAAGGTAGGTTGGGGGAAATGAAGTTGGGTCACTGTCAAAGCACGCGCACCGCGCGATGGTTTGTCCGGGGCAGGGATCAGGCAGCTCCTGTGGTCGCAAACGATGCATATATCCCATCAGTGTCGTTGAGAGCTAGCTGCGGGGCAACAATTTTAATAACATTTTGTACTCTTTTAACAATGTATGGTTTCTGTATTTTGTTGGGACCAATTTTTATTTCAGAAAACGTTGTGGAAACTACTGTTGGATAAGTTTATTATGTGCCAACTTGGACTTGGAGTCAGAGTTACATGTAGTTTAGATCGGATTTTGATCCTTCTCGTTGTTTAAGATGTTAATACGTAAAATGCAGATCATGTCGAGCAATCATTAAGGATGATCGACAGGAGATCGAATGAGTATGCTATTATTAGCTACTAAGGGAGGAGAAGCATCAAAGGTTGTTATTTATGTGTACATGGTGATATAGCAAGAAAGTTACTGAATCTTAAAAAAAAAAAACAATTTAGCTGCTTCCTCAATTGAAATTTTGGTTTCGTCACTGTTCAAGGAGTTATGAAACTGTGCGAGATATATGTACTAGGGGGAAAGTGTCGTTTACATTTTAGGGATGGGAAGTGTGGCGTTGACTTTTGATGCTTACATGAAATAGTGTTGTTATGTGTGAACATCAGACTGTAAAATGGCATGTGGGATTTTGGTACCTACTATGTATAAATAAATGAATTCACTCAGCCTCGAAAGGTTAGTGTCAATAAGATGCATTGTATACCGGCCGGAGCTTTAATAGTGCCGGAAAAAAGTGTCAGGTCAGGTCAGGAAACTTTCCATTCCTGGATTCGCCGCTGGGAACCATTTTTGGTAATCATGGCCAGATGTTCATCATTATCGGACGTAGTGTTTTTCCAGGTTTGTTGTAAGTTCCAGTTAAGTTGGAAGCAGTCAGTCATCATATTCATACATTGAACCTGCATAAAGAATAGAAGTGTGCCTTCATTCGCAATTTCGTTTCACCCGCGCGATTCGAAAGTTGGTCAACTATTGCATTGCAGAAAAGTTTATATCAACATGTGTACGTATTGACTAAGAAAACAACAATCAAAACATAGTTTCACAAACAAATACAATATAATAGAAAGTTTAGTGATTTGGTCTAATAATATGCAACCTCTTACCCATTTTGATAAACTAGAGAGAGTATTACTGTAGAAATTAGCAGGTAGAATTAATTTATATAATTGATTATAGTTGAGATGGTAAATATTTGATAATTAACATTGAAATATGGGGTTCACATTTCATTATTGGTGTATTTATACTACTATATTTTGTGTATTTTTCCAAATCAAGGAGGTGTTGTGAAACTCCTTTTCACTACCCTAGCTCCGTCATTGGACACAATACTAAGGTTATCTTTCGTTGTTTTAATCTCTTCTCACGTACTCAATTTCAATCCTTACATGCCATTGTCATTTTTTTTTTGTCCCCTACTTATCACCGGAATCTCGTAAACTCTTTGTGTAACACCTTAGACAAATCCCACATCGACAAAGCACAGGAGAGATCCATGGTTCATAAGTAGGAAACCGGCCTTAACTGACAAGACGCGTTTTGGAGTGTAATGGAAGAGTTCTTGTGAGAACTCCGAAGTTAAACGTGCTCAGTGTGTTGTACAACAAGGATGAGTGACCTTATGGGAAGTCACCCTGAATTGCACTCCAAATTGAAATCCGTGCGGATGTAGATGCCCAAAGCGGACAGTATCTTATCGGAAAAAGGTTCGGGATGTTACACTTTGTTTGGGTTTTTTTTCTTGCGAGGCTATAATTGATGCAGCAAATTAAATACAAAATGCTACTAAACAGAAAGAAGGGAAAGGTTCTTAGCTTTATGGGTGCATGGTAATTATTGCTACTAATTAATTATATTGTGCATGCGACGAATGATTAATGAATGAGAAGAAGGGCAATCACTGGTTTTAGCTCTATAATATATATGATCCATTGGCCGCTGACTAGGAGCTAGGCAATGATTCATCCTCACATGGCTGGCGGCGGGGAGTTTCTTTTCCCCCCACTCCCCTCTTTTGTGTTCTTGGGGATTTGTTTGGTTCTGGTTCTCCAACGTATTGCCAAACGTAATTACAAGCAATCAGATGCATAAACAGAGCTAAAAGGGCACCGAATTTCATTATCCAGAAATAGAGAATAAGTTGTTGTGCTTATTTGGGTGATTAATACCCACAAACAAATCAAATTTAATAATGCTCAAAATCAATCATCATTATGTTCTCCATGATCATTATTAACCCTCAATAATCATCATCCACACTATCCTGTTAATCAAACAATAATACTAATCAATCAACCCACCTCATCCATTAACCCTTAATCATTAGTGAGAGATCGAGAACTCAAGTATCACAGCCACCACGAGTATCTTATTGTCTGTTTACTCTATTTTATAACAAAAATCATTAATTATTTACTTGAATATAGTTTTCCAGAAGTTCTGATAATTTATGATGTGTGTGGATTCCTGGGGAGATTAATGCCGATGTACATTATATATATGCTTTTGTAGAACAAGAATTGAGCCCTAACTTTGTAGTATTAACCGACCGAGTCTCTAAAGTTTTTACAATACAAGCAAGCTAAGTAAAACTGACTCTTCCCTTCGCTCTGAATCGTAATCCTCTTTGCCGATGACGACCGTCACCGGCGGAGCCTCCTCGGGTGTCGTCGGTGACGGGCGCACCTGGGCGTCTCTGTTCTCGATCAGTCTTGATTTTAAGTTGGATTATTACGAGCCGGAGTTTGTTAATGGCTCACTGCGTATTCCTGCGTCTGTCATTGATGAAGGATCTAAGCGTTGGGTCAACTGTCTCGTTGGGCAATTTCTTGATCGGCCGGCGTCACTCTCATCTATTCATTTTTGGGCGAATTGGATTTGGGGGCGCGATGGAGCGATTAGGGTTTCATGGTTGGGGGATAAGCTGGTTCTGTTCCAATTTCCGACTGCGGAGGTCTGTCGCTGGGTATTCGAAGGAGGGCCTTGGCACCACAGGGAGAATATGCTCTTCCTGCGCAAATGGGAACCAGGTGTCCAGCCCCTTGCTATTGATAATTTTGTTGTTCCAGTATGGGTTAGATTGTCGAATTTGCCTTCTGAGATGACTTCGAAGGAGGGGTTAGGGCGGATTGCAAGTTCTTTGGGTAAGCCGCTTTGTATGGACTTTCCTACAAAGCAGGGGACGCAGTTTGGGGTGTACAAGGTCTGTGTGGAGGTCACAGTGAAGTCGAACATGGTCAACAAGCTGAGTATTACCCCTGATGGCAGGCCTGAGATGTTCGTGGATGTAGAATATTGCCATGTACCGAGCAAATGTATGAAGTATAATGTTTTTGGGCATGATTGTTCGAATCTAGGAGGAAAAACGAAGCAAATTTGGGTTGTTAAGCAACCAAGAGTTCAGGAAGTACATCAGGCTTCTAAGGATAAGGGCAAAGGATTTTTAATGGAGGGAGTCACTGAGTCTTCCAGTCCTGTTATAGATATGGCTGATGTTGCTGACCCTCTTCAGTCTGGTAAGTCTCCCATTTCTGAGGAGGTGAGGGATATCACTGCTACAATTGAGGATGGGTTTCAGATGGTTACGAATAGAAAGCATCGAGTGAGAGCTCCTACTCCTGGGTCGATTAAGAGCCCATGGAATGGTTCTACTGGTAGAACTTCCGGGAAGCTGTCTTTGGATGAAAGGAGTTTTCCAACTTTGAGTCGTCCTAGTCCAAAGTAAGTTGCTGATCCTCCTCCTGCACCTGCAAAATGTAGAGGTCGAGGGAGGAAGCGAGGTAAATGAAGGTTCTATGTTGGAATGTCAGGGGGTTTAATGCCCCCGACAAGCACTCTGCAGTGCTGAAGAAAATTTTTCGTTTAAAGTTGGATATTATAGCTATTATAGAGACTAGAGTAACAGAAGATAATAGTGTAGGTATACTTTCTAAACAGTTTAGTCATTTGAAATATTTGAATAAATACCCTAAGTCCCCTAATGGTCGAATCTGGTTACTTTGGAAGGAAGGTTTAAAGATTACAAAAGTTGAGGATGGCAAGCACTTTCTGAAGGTGAAAGTTTGGGGAGTCTCCCATTTTATTCTCATGGTGGTTTATAGCCCGAATAAAGAGAGTGAGAGGTCTGTTCTATATAAAGATCTTCTCCCTCACAAAGACAGTGTTCTACCTATGGCTGTTTTGGGTGATTTCTGTTTTGACTCCAAGGGAGACTTCAAACCTCGCTGTAATGAGTTCCAATATGGTTGAGTTTCAGACCTGGGTTGATGATATGAAATTGGAGGAGCATAAGGTCATGGGAGCTTGGTTTACCTGGTGGAATAAGCCATAAGAGAATCCAATAGCCAAGAGGCTGGATTGGATTTTTATTAATGAGGCTTGGCTTTCAGTATTTGCAACTAGCACTGCTACTACTACGACCCCTGGGATTTCTGATCACTGTGGCTTGCTGTTGCAAGTTATGCCCCAATTAGACAGTCTGCCAAAATCGTTCAAGTACTTTAAATTCTGGTTTAGTCACCCTACTTACTTTGATTTGGTCTAAGAAGCTTGGAATACTGCTGTTAAGGGTCGCCCATACTTTTTTTCTATGGGAAGTTGAGGCAGGTGAAACTGAAGCTTAAGAAGCTAAATAGAGAGGTCTATTCTGACATCTCTTCTCAGGTTCGTGTCAGTGACCAGGAATTGGAGCGGATACAAATGGAACTTCTGCACACCCCAACTGAGGGATTGGTGGAGGAGGAAAAAGAACTTGCTATGAGATGCCATGAGTTGCAAAGGGCTGAGGAGAGTTTTTATAAGCCGAAATCCAGAATGAGAGGGGTCCAAGAAGGGGATATGAATACCTCTTTCTTCCATCGTTCTGTGAAGGTGCACACTCACAAGCAGTAGATTACTCGTCTTATAAACTCACAAGGGCAGGAAGTTTCAGATATAAAGGAAATGGGGAGAGTGGCTGTTGAGTTCTATAAGTAGTTAATATGGGAGGCAAATTCTGATGTGGTGGTGCATCCTTCTAGTTTTTATGAGCAGTTGTCACTCAAGAAGATTTCAGCCGAGGAGTCTCTATCTCTGGTTTCTCCAGTTACTAGGGAGGAGATCTGGCAAGTGTTTAAGAACCTTGGTAGGGACAAAGCCCCAGGGCCCGATGGATTTCCATCTGAATTTTATCATCTTCATTGGGGGATAATTGGTTATTTGGTTGTGGAAGTGACTAAGGACTTTTTCCAGTTAGGCATAATGCCTCCTATCTTGAACTATACTTTTTTCACTCTGGTTGCTAAGGTTCCCAGTGCAGAGCGGATGAAGGATTTCAGGCCAATCTCATGTTGTAATACAATCTATAAAGGGATTTCCAAGATTTTGGCCAACAGGTTAGCAACAGTCTTACCCTCTGTTATATCCACCTCTCAATATGCTTTTATTAAGGGTCGCTCAATTTGTGATAATGCTCTGTTAGCTTCTGAATTGGTTAAGGATTATCACAGAAAGAATATTACTCCTCGTTGTGCTATTAAAATCGATATTATGAAGGAATTTGATTCGGTCGATTGGTCATTTCTATTTTCTATACTTGAAGTGATGGGTTTTCCTGTTCAGTTCATAGGCTGGTTAAAAGCCTATGTCTGTTGCTCAAAGATTAGTGTAGGCTTGAATGGTGGCTCTTGTGGTGTTTTTTCGATGAAACGTGGGCTTCGTCAATGAGATCCATTATCTCCTTATTTGTTTACAGTGGCCATGGAAGTCCTAGATGCTATGCCGAAGTTGGCAGTGACATAGAACCAAGTTTCCTTCAATCCTCGTTGTTAACCATTAGCCATAACACACTTATGTTTTGCTGATGATTTGCTGGTTTTTACAAATGGTTCTGTGCGTGGGGTGGCTGGTATATGTCGGGTTTTGGATGCGTTCTATATTATTTCGGGTTTAAAGTGCAACCCAGAGAAATGTCAATTATTCTGTGGGGGAATTTCTGGGGAGGAGCAGCGGTTTATATCTTCTGTCTCTAAGTTCCCATTGGGGCAGCTCCATGTTCGTTATCTTGGGGTTCCCTTAATCACTGGGAAGCTCACTCGTACTGAATGTAGAGTGCTAGTGGAAAAGATCACTGCCAGAGTTCGCAGTTGGAGAGTCAAATCACTGAGTTTTGCTGGTCGGCTTCAATTAATTTCTTCGGTTTTGACTAGTACGTTACAGTTCTGGATGAGTATTTTTCTTCTGCCTCAATTTGCCATTAAATAAGTTGAGTTAGTTTGCAACAAGTTCTTGTGGGACATTGATGACTCCTCGGTCAGGAAGAGAGCAGAAACATCCTGGAAATTCCTTGCTCGCCCAAAAGCGGAAGGAGGCATAGGCATTCGTGATTTTTCTCTTTGGAACAAAGCCTGTGTGCTTCGACATTTTTGAGCCATTGTTGCTGAGGAGGGCTCAATCTGGGTTGCCTGGATTTGGCATTACCGAGTCAAACAGTCCTCCATTTGGGACATGAAGGTTTCTGCCGCTGGCTCTTGGATCTGGAGGAGAATACCGAAGTGTCGTGAGCTGGCTAGGCCATTCATTTTGCAGACTGGGACTGATCTGACTTGGGATGGTGATGTAATAAAGGTCTACTCGGTAAAAAAAGTCTGGAACTCGATGAGACAGCATGAAAGTCATGTCCCATGGGTTGACCTGGTCTAGGGTAAGCACATTGTGCCTAGACATGGGTTCATTCTGTGGCTTCTTATTTATGACAGACTGAAATTGCAGGATAAGCTGATTGAGTGGGGAAAACATCTTTCGAGACTCTGTTTACTTTGTCCAGGTGGTTACGAAACACGATTATCACTTGTTTGTGAGCTGTTCATATGTCAGATGTATGTTGTCCTCTCTTTTGCAGTTTGCAGGTCCTCAAGATTTGGGTGATTGACAGTCTGTGTTACAATGGTGTGTGGTTAAATGGCAGGGTAAAGGGACTGAGGTTATTTTGAATAGAATGACCTAGTTCATTGTTCTAAGTCTCGTGTGGCGGGAACGCTGTTCCAGAATGTATGGAGTAAGAAGTGCAAGGGATCCGATTCAGCTTTGTCTTGAGGCGAAATGGATCATTCGGTTTCGTTGCCAGTTAGATCCGGCTCTATTCTGCTGTTTTGAGTCGAGGGGGTTGGGGTAGTTTTTTGACAGTTCTTCTTTGTGCTAGAAGCCTATTGTACAAACTGTTTGTGCTTAGAGGAGCCTTAGTGGTTTGCTAAAGGTTGCCCGTTCTTAATACCATTTTGATTTAACTATAAAAAAATAAGTAATAATTGACATCCAAAATTTTACTAGTCATGGTATGATCTGATGCACAATATTAATCTACTACTAAGTCAGTTGTCTCTCAAAACTAAAAGGATCGGTGGAACTTCGAATCAAACGTATTTTGATCGGTCGAGATGAATAATATGTTATACATAGACAAGTTAATATAAAATATCCATATTTTTTAATGCCATAGTTTTTTTCCCAAAAAAGAAGAATAATTTGGGTTCAATCATTTGGAGACTCAATACCAACCATATATTCCAACTTCCCAAACTTCCCCAAAGGGCCAATTATTAAAAGCTTAAATGTGGGGGCAGTTTGGCTTTGGCTTCGCTGTCTTTCATTGGGATATTCTATCAATCCACCCATAAGAGAAAACAATCAATGTATGTCCAGATGGATGGATGGATAGGTAAGGAAAATGGAGCACTTAATTACTCTCTGATCACTCCGGGATTGAAGCAAGTTGTGGAATTATTATGGGGAGAGAAGAAACTTGACAATGCAAGCTTTGCTATAGACAGCAGCAGCAGCAGTTGTGTGCGTGTCTAGAGCTTGCCCTCTCCTTGTAGGCCTTAGGATTAGCAGGATTCGACAAGCTGGAAGGCATAGAAATGAGATATGGATGATTCATCACCACTACTGCTGGGTTTGATTTAGATTGTGTTCAGCTAGGGGCATGGGGCATGGAGAGAGAGAGAGAGAGCGTAAGGCTGTTAATTCGCGAGTCTATCCGTCGGCTGATCCGCTTTGACCCCGACCCGATGAGAAAAAATGGGCCACACACACTCTGGATCGACCCGCTACAAGGTGACTGGTTTGGAGATCACACGGTGTCATTTTTCACTTTAGTTTGCGAAATGCACCTATTTCCGGTTTTCCTATTCGCTTAACCCTATTTTCCTAAGTAAAACATTTGAATATTGATGTAATATAATATAAGTGTGTTTGAATTTTTACTATTATGTTGTATCCAAGTACTAACTATTATTTTGGTTTAATATCATATGTTCTTACTCATATTTTTTATGAGATTTGATATCATTCATAAATGTATGAAGAACATAATAACTTTTTCATATATCATCTAAACAAAATTAAAACGATTGGACTATTAGGTTGACAACCTTAGAGAGAGAGCAATTACTAGCATGTTTCTTTATTTCAGGGTCATTGGTTGGACTTGGCTCTTCTGTGTCTTGACCTTACCAGGTGGAGACTGTGATGCTGTCAATGTCCCCCAACCATAACTCTCCATGTGGAATTAGGGCCCCAATTTTCTTTGACAGTGCTCAATTCAGTTTTGTGTTTGGTTGGTCATGAATGCCGCAGAGACTTGTGGCTTTTTTGTGCGTGGCCCCCAACTTCCCAACATAGTATTTTATCAAGTGAGTATACTAGCCAGATAGATAGAAACCTACCCAATGTGTAGCTTCCACTTAACCGGAGTTGAGTTGGAATGAATGAATGCTTGATGACTTTTGTTTATTGTGGTTAGGTAACTTTGATTACTGACAAATTCAGTAACTTGATTGTCAATGAATTTGCTAGTGAAAGTGTAATAACTAACATGAAAGCAAGCCAGCTTCGCCCATGGTTGAAACCGCCACCAGAGCAGAGATATGAAGATTCAGGGGGTTTGTTGGTTTGTAAGTATTTCAGTTTTACGCAAATGAATATGAAAAACAATTCCTATTTTTCTTGTTTGGCTTTAAGATCGACGTTGATCGCCGCCATTAATAACGGACCGGTTGTGGACTTTTTAGCTTTATTCCATTCATCCCTTATCCCGCCGAAGAGTCCAATTCCAAACCAGCCAGGCCGCCAATTCATCGACAGCGAGACGACCGGCGATGTCATTCACAGAAGCGGAAACCCGCGGCGGGGATTCAACCAAGGCCCAACACAAAGAAACGCTTCTGGGCCCCCACCATGTGCGGGATACTTTATCCCGCTCGACCACGACACCCTTGTGGGCTCTGGAATATTGATTCGTCCGATTCCCGTATCCAGCTGGACCACAGTTGGCCCACTATCTTTTCCTTCACGTGACGGCCCAGTCCAGGCCCAAATCTCGGAATCCGCTCCCGGCCCCTCAACTGCCCCCAGCTGTTTTCTGTTTCACGCATCGCCTAGCTGAGGTTGTTGATGTTTCCGTAATATAGATAATAATAGGAGAAGTTTGACAGGGGTAACTGCGGAATGAATCAGGTCAGTAATCTTATGGTGGATAATCATGAGTAACCTGTCCATATTGGAATGTCATCATCATCTCTTTTTCTTGAAAGGTTTTAATTTTTCCCTTTTTAATTTTTGACGGACGATTTCTCACTCGTTTTAAGTCAAAATTTAATTTTTTTTGCATAGTTAGATCATATTAATTGTGTTCTTCAAAATGATATCCAATTTGATATATTTTTCGAACAAAAAAAAATTGAGCCATTTTTTACCAGTCTATACCATATGGTATTGACTGGTATTGATATAAGAGCATACCTCTGGTTTGAAAAGCGTACCATGGTGGTATGATCAAACCAAGACTGTAGGATGGTTGAATACATGATAGTATAAGTATATTAATTGTCATTAACGACTTTTAACATTGTGTACCACAAGGTACCACCCCGTACCAGGGTGGTATTGTATGGTATTGTGTGGTATTTTTTGGTCCTATAATTTGTTCACCCAGAGATTTGTAGATTCAATAGATCATGATGAACTCGTCCCTTCTATGCAAACGTTTTCAAAAACGAAGAAGATACCATATGGTATGCAGTTGGTACCGAGAGACCAGAATTTTTTTTCTCACAAAATATTGAAAATTGATGTCATTTTGTAGAGCACGATGAACTCGTTCCATCTGTGAAAAAACAAATTTAAAATCCGAGTTAAACGAAAAAAGATATGAGTCGATTAAGAAAGCTAGGGAAAATAAAAATGACCTTTAATTCTCCATCCTTAGATCTGGATTTTCTAAATGAAGGGTCCAAACTCCAGATTTGGTTGAGCCATAATGACCATAATCACAAATCACTAAATCAGCACATACGTGAAGTAAGGGCCAGGACGTTCGTCTGTCGCCGGCGACGCCTGGGCAGGACGTCGCGCTCGCTGTCGGCGGTTCAAACGGTTGACGTTCGTCCGTCGCCGACAACGCCTGGGCAGGACATCGCGCTCGCCGGCGGCGGTTCAAACGGCTGTCAACGATCATTTTTTTATTTTTATTTTTCGTTTAATTTAATTTAGGTTAATTATCTGTTCTAATTATTATAATTTATTGTAGGTTAATTATCTACTTTAAATTAATTTAAAAAATTACTTTAATTATCTCCTTTAATTATGTAGGTTAATTATATGCTTTAATTATTTTGATTTAATGTAAGTTAATTATCTGCTTTAATTAATTTAAAAAGTTACTTTAATTATCTCCTTTAATTATGTAGGTTAATTATATGCTTTAGTTATTATTATTTAATGTAGGTTAATTACTCTAATTATCTGCTTTAAATTATGTAGGTTTATTATCTGCTTTAAATATGTTAATATTTAATATATACGAAAATTATGTCGGTTAATGTTTTCATTTAATTGAAATTATGTAGGAAAGGTAAATTTTAATTGATAAATACAAGAAATTTTAATAATTTAAATATAGAATTTTATTTCATGAAAAGTATTAATTGTTGTACGAAACTTAAATTGCAATTGACAATTTAAGCAAGAAAATTAAGTTAGAATTTATCGTGAAATAGATTACAATTTCGAACATTATATTGTGATGAGAATTTTATTGTAATTGAAATTATATACGAATGTTAAATTATAATAGACAATTTAAGCAAGAAAATTAAGTTAGAATTTATCGTGAAATACATTATAATTTCGAACATTATATTGTGATGGGAATTTTATTGTAATTGAAATTATATACGAATGTTAAATTATAATAGAGAAATATACGAACCTTGAACATTTGAATATAAAAATTTATTATATGAGAACTAGCAATTATCATATTGACTCACTCCTACTGTCACTCTAGAAATTGGCCAAGTGTAACCACTTCCTAAAGCGTAGTATAGCGGGTTTGGGTTTTAATGTCAACTCGGGTCCTAGATTTTATGACTACTCAACGAATTCGTATTATCTAGCGGTAAAACTTAGGTGCAGGTTCAAACAAACAAAAATACAAAGCAATTTAAACGGTTGTTTCAAGTCGAGAGAGGTCACCCGGATATGGTTCCCCCTAGACTGCAGTTAAGCTGGATTGCAATTTACCAAGTTCAATTTCTATGATAGTTATACTGCGGAAGGTTCTTAAACAGTCTGAAGTCTCGACTAAAGGTCTCCAGACCCTCTCAATCTGAGTCTCTAGCGGGCGACTAACCTCCACCAGAGTAAACAGATTGAGGCCCTAACGAACAAAACGTCCACTACCGAAGTAAATTCGGTACAGAATAGTGAATTGGTTCCTCGACTAAAGTCGTCAATTCACTACCTTCAATTAAGGGTGCTCTATCAACCTAGGCAGATATTCTCATTCTAGGTTAAAGCAGAAACAACAGGAATTTGATAAGGATTCATGCCATTCAATCATTCAAATCTCAATTGAATATAATCAAATCATAGAATCTGTACTTGGGTTCATACAATCAAACCTAACATACAAATCTAGGGTTTCCCATACCCAGATGAATGGGAGAACTACTCCATGGAGAAAGAAGCAAAAGCAGATTCAGATGCGGAAACCATACTGTGAAGGATGGATTTATGCTCCTGGGCGTTGATCGGTACTCCTCCAAGCTCAAGCCAAGCTCCAATGGCGATGAAGATCAAGCTAGGGCACTTGGGAACTCTTGTTCGTCGCTTTCTCTCTCTAGGAATCGTTCTGTCTCTCTAAAACTCGAATCCCCTTCTCTTTTGGCTGAAATCTGCCTAAAAGGGCATCACTGGGCAAAACACGGTCGAGGGCACGGCCGTGTTTTTCTCCAGCCCGCCCGTGCCCTTGCCACGTGGTAAATACACGGCCAGACTTTGGGGAAAACACGGGCATGCTTTTTGATGGACACGGCCGTGTTTTGGGTCAGTCCCGCCCGTGTTTTGAGCTAGTGTTTGACAGTCTTGGATCAAGCCTCGGCAATAAAAACACGGTCCAGGAACACGACCGTGCTTTGATTTAGGCGTGCCCGTGTTTTGGCTCCAGCTCGACCGAATGACTTCTGAATGCCCCGAAACTCGTGTTTAGCTTTCCTTCGACGTCTGGGACCTGAAATATGACAAAGTAGCACAACCCGACGTAAAATAGGCCAAAAATACACGACTATGCCCCACGAACGGATAAGAACTAGGGGTGCAAATATGTGCAATTCCATCGTTATCAAATTCCCCCACAATTAACCGTTTGCTTGTCCCCAAGCAAACCAAGTCAGACACCAGGTAAGCTCAAAACGTTTCAATCAAGCAGGCTTTAGGGCATATCATATTGGCACAAAACACATGGATCATACTAGCTTTCGATCATTAACACATGGACAACCTCAATGACAACCTAGACAACTACCACAGATGACATTCGAATGCAGTAAAGTCGAGCAAAGGAAGAGTCTCCCTTCTGTTCACCAACCAACATAGACTTGACTCAACCACATATTCGAGACAGTCACTTCATGCACAAGGCTCAAGATATAAGAATTAAGACCGAGCAATCTAGGTCCTCACCGGGATAAAGAGTATAGAGAATATGAGAAAATGAACCGCTCACTCTCGACCAGTGGGTTCAGGACAATTTGATGCGAAAAATGCGCATGCTTATTCTCTCAATCCCTAACGTCTCTTCACCATGAATGCAGCCTCTAAATGCTAGAGTTCACATATGGGGTTGTCACCACTAACTAATCCGGAGGTCTTAGACACAGGTTCAGATGACTGGCTAGGGTCTTGGACATGGGGAAAAGGCCTTTTAGGTGGTGGAAGTATTCATAGCACAAGGTTCCATGTTTCCAAACCCAACAAACTCACAGTCAATCAAACCAATAACTTTTTTCTGCTATTCTGCATTACTCAAATTCTTCAGAGCACAAGAGCGAAGGAGGTCACATAAATGCTAGTATTTCTAAGCCAGACTGCTAAGAAACACTACTTAATGGGCACTATTAAGATTTTTGGTGGTGGCTCTCTTTTGCTTTCATTTTTTTCTTTGTTTTTATTTCATTCATTTTTTTTTCATTTTTTAAGAGAACCACCACCTCTGCATATTTTTCAAACACCTGCCCAACTAGTTAATAACTACCTCCAACCCTCACATTATATTTAGCAGAAACAGCAGAGAACATGTAAAAACCACTCTGTGGAACCTTCTAAGAGATGCAAAAGGGTGATTTTTCATATTGACCGAAAGAAAGGGTAACACACGGCTCAAAGGGGCTGACTAGGGGGTATGACACACCAGGACAGTCAATTTGGTCGTGGGCTAATCCTATGCCTCCATCATCTTAGCTAATGACAACATGAATGCAGCACATCATGGAAGAGGGAACTATCGCACAAGAAAGAAACGAGCAGGCTCAAGTCTCACATGGCTACCTATATGCTCTATCTCTCGTTCTGATTCCCTGAACTAGATGCATAAATGACTGTAAAAAACAAGTGATCAATCCAAGTCACAGTTGGTAAGCAACCAGTTGAAAAACTGAACCCCTACACAGTTCTACTGCTCATCTCAGTCATCATAATAAGCTGTCTTAGTCACACTCAAGTTGTCATGCATCATGTCAAAAGCCATTCAATTCACTAATCACATCCACAGTGCCAATACGATCAAACATCAGGCAAACAGCAGTGCTTGGAGCCCTCAAATCTCGAGATTTGGACAGCGGACTAGGCTCCAAACACACATATATACGTTCCAATTCATACAAAGAACCCCCCCACACTTAAATGCGACAATGTCCTCAATGGAGCAGAGGGAAGGGGAACGATGTTACCGTGAAAGGAGAACAGGAACGGGGACTGGAAGGCAGACCAGTCCAGAGAAGGGGTACCAATCCAAGGCACAGAGCTAAAGACAACAAAAGACACACACCGGGTGAAAGAACCGGAGTTCCAGGTCTACAATCCAAGAAAAACAAAACAAAACAAAACGAAACAACAAAAACATGGAGTCTTAGTCTGGAACACAAATGAGGCACAGAACCAGCCACTCGCCACTAGAATGCATCACCACCATCGCCGGTGGGTGGAGGGTACTCGTCCTCATACCCCGAGGACTGCACGAACAGGTAGTGGACTGCATTCGGGTCCAAGCCTAGGTAGGACATGATGTAGTGCTGGCCTGACATAAGACGACGCCCTCGGTCCCGCTCACGATCGAGGCGGGTGTGAATGCGCTCCTGGCCGGCCAGGATGCGCTCGTTTTGCTGAGCGATGGCCGCCAACTGGTTAGAAATGGGCACCACCACGGGAGGAGGAGACCGGGGAGCAGGAGACCGGGGAGCAGCGGAGGGGCTCGCAGGAGCCTGGCCACGATGAACAGTACGACGGGGAACCCGGCTTCCCCCAGCTGCGCTCGACTCTGGCTGGTCACCCTTTGCAGGTAGAGGTGGCTGAGGAAGGCCCGCGATCCAGTGCACACGCCCGTGGCGAGCAACCAAGTGCTGGTGGCGGAGGTTGGCCTCACTGAGCGGGGTTGGTCCTCAGACCATGGTCATCCCAGTGAAGTCGACCCCGTAGTAGCGGGCCAAGGCGGTGATCACCGGGCCACAGACAAGGTCGCGATCCTTGCTGGCGGAGGCTTTGCCGAACGTGTGGGCGAGCACAGAGCCCAGCTCGATGGTGTCCTCAGAGCGACCCATCGCATGCATGAAGAACAGTGTCCTAAGTGTGACCCAGTTGGACGAGCCGCGGCTGGGGGTGTAGGACTGGGTGAGCAGATGGTTGAGGATCCGCCACTCCAGAAGGAGGAGAGTGGCCCGCGTCTGGCTGGCAGTTTACTGCTCATCCGCATGCTTCGGCTGGCAAATTCGCTGGAAGTACGCCTGGGAAGCAAAGTCCGTGGGATCAGAGATGTCCAAGCGCAGGGGCCGGTCGCTGGAATGCGGGGAGTTGAGCCCAAGTGCAGAGGCCAACTCCCAGTAAATGACAGAGTGCTCCACCCCGCCGAGTGTGAAACGAACCGCATCAGCCTGGTCGGCGGACCCCTTCGAGGCGTGGCTGAAGGAAGCGTAGAACTCCCAGACGAGCTCCTGGTAGGTCGGCTCGGCGAGGCAGAGAAGGCGCCACCAACCATAGGGGCGAACAACGGCCTCCATCTGCGGCCTGGCATGAAGCGCCTCGAACACCTCAAAATCGAGGTGCAGATGCTCGGCGATGGTGCGGTTACGGATGGTCCGCAGCAGATGGCGTTGGGTGATGCTCAACTGGTCGAGGTAGTCTTCCATGATCCTGCAAAGCACAAGGAGGTACAAATGGTACACAAGCGAACAGGGTCAATGTTAGGCCAAAACCACACCAGGAGCCCTCATATCGAAAGATATGGACAGTGGACTAGACTCCCGGCGAAACAAGCATACCCATCACACGAGAATCACATAACAAAACACACCAGGGACCCTCAAATCGAGCGGTTCGGAAAGTGGACTAGGCCCCCGGTGAAACAAGCATACCAAAGCCATACCAAATAAGCACCAATCGATCCACCACACAAAAACCACACAAGCCCGCATACAATGCCAACATGCAAATGGTAGGCCGAATAGCTGAAATCCCGAGGCGAAAATAGAACAAGCAAAGAGCGTCATCGGCCTACCCAATCATTCCCAAAACATGCCACAATCACAAGTTCTTCACCTAACTCTAGGTATCGATTCTCCAGAAATAAAAGAAAAGGCAATGGGAACACACCTGGAGACGCAAGTAGATACCGCGAGAGAGGTGAAGAGAGTGGAAGAAAACACCCCAAGTCGCCGGAAAACACACCGGAGACTCGTCGGAGAACTCGCCGCCGGCGACCCAACCTCGGCCAAACAAGCCCAAACCTTTGGGGATTATGCTCCTCGACGCCAGGAGCGTGGGGGCGGTCGCGGTTTGTGATTTGGAGGTCGGGAGATGGAGTTATGGCCGAAAAATCGAAGGAGAAGAGGGAAAATCCGAGTTTCCGGCGAGAGAGGTGGTTAGAATTTTGAAAAAAATGAATCTGGTGGGAGGGGGGCTGAAAGTTGACTTTTATAGGGGGGAGGGCAAAACACGGGCGGGCTGGAACACGGCCGTGTTCGGCGTGTTCCGCGCCCGTGTTTTTACTGCCGCGACCGTGCTTCCGAACGCTGAAAACAAACAACGCAGTGAAATACGAGGCAGTATTGGCAAGCTTGCGAGCCACCAACGAATTGGGTGCAAGAACGGCTAGGGTCTTATCAGATTTCACCCTGGTAGTCAATCAACTAAACGGTGTCTTCGATGCAAAGGAAGAAGGACTCGCACAATACATACAAAGGATAAACGCAGAGGCCGAAAATTTTCATTCTATCGTATATGTGCATGTTCCGCGGGAGGAAAATATTCACGCCGATGCGCTGTCTAAGCTTGCCACAGCCACGGATTTCGAGGAAACCCGAATGGTCTCGGTGCACAAGGAGGAAAGCCTATACGATGTTGAATGCCCGACAGCCAATGCTGCTAACAACGCTGAAGAAGACTGGCGTAACCCCATACTTGAGTATCTCACCAGGGGCTTGGTCCCCGCCGACCCAAAAGAGGCTTGGGCGCTTCGACAAAAGGCGGCTCGATGTACAATCATCAGCCAAAAGCTATACAGACGACGACATGTGTGGCGTACCTGAAGTTGGGCGCCGAGGAAGCAAAACAGGTAGTACGCGAAGTGCACGAAGGAATATGCGCCATGCACCACAGCGCGAGAAGCCTGGAAAGGTCAATCCTACTAAGCGGCTACTACTGGCCACGCATACAAAAGATGCCAAAACTTACGTCGACCGGGTCCACAAATGCCAAATACATGCCCGTCTGCATCACTTGCCGTTCGCGTATATACAATCGTACATTAGACCATGGCCGTTCGCACAATGGGGAGTATACTTACTTGGGTCGTTCCCTACAGCCAAAGGAAAGCGGAAATACCTAATAGTGGCGGTAGACTATTTCACAAAGTGGGTGGAAGCGGAGCCTTTGGCGTCGATCAAGGCTCACCAAGTAACTCGATTCCTCACTCAAAACATTATATCCAGGTTCGGTACGCCGCAATCACTAATCTTTGACCATGGCACCTAGTTTGACTGCGCAGAGGTGATAGACTTGTGTGATCATATCGGCACCATCTCCAGATTTGCATCATTCGCATATCCTCAAGTGAACGGCCAGGCAGAAGGGGTCAACAAGGCTATACTACACGGTCTACACACCCGCCTAAACGAAGCCAAGGGCAATTGGCCAGACGAGCTCCAAAGTGACTTGTGGTCTCACCACACAACGTACAAAACTGCCACGGGGGAGACACCATTCACACTCACTTATGGAAATGAGGCAGTCATCCCCATCAAAACGAACGTCCCCATTGCCGGAGTTGAGCTATACAGTAAGGCTGCCAATGAAGAGATGCGTCTGGTGGAGCTCGACCTCACCACTGAACGTCGAGAGTTAGCAACCATTCGACTTGCGGCAGGGAAAGCACAAGTGGCTAGGTACCACAACGTGAAACTCCGCCCTCACAACCTCAAACATGAAGACCAAGTGGTGTGGCGGAATTTGCGCCCTACAGGAAACACGAAAAACTCGCTGCATCATGGGAAGGACTGTACAAGATAAGGGAGGTCGTAGGCGTGAATACATTCAAACTGGCGGAATTGAGCGGAACAAAAATACCAAGAACATGGAACGCTTAGAATTTGCATCTATATCAACCCGCCCAACTTATGTAATGCGCATGGCATGACCTTTGTGTCTATTAATATACGAGTGCAGATATGCCTCTCTATTACGAGAATGTCTTTTCTCAACGCAATGCATACGAGTGCGAGTCCGCCTCACTACTACGAGTGTGAATCCGCCTCACTATACGAGAGCAACTCTCTCAATAGCAACATAAAAGTCAACTTGCAAAGAAATTCAAAAACGCATTTATTAAAACAAAAGGGGAATACGCCCCAAAATGTTGCAATGGTGAACCGCCAGTTCAGTGTCTGACAATACAAAGGAAAAGGAGAAGGTGAAAACGATCGGTTTTGGGTGATTACCCCCAGACCCGACCACGACCACGCCTTCTTCCTCGGTCTCACTTTCTGAATCATCGGACAACGACCGATTTTCTTTGAAGAATTGTTGCACATGACGCACCATGTCGCGTGTATTCCACCGACTCCCGGGGTTACCTGGTCGAACTTTCTTGCATACCGCCACAATGGTCGGATACATATAATCAGACAGATGCTTCCCAAAAGCGGATGACTGCTTGTATGTCTGGATGGTCTTCGCGGCAATGGCGACCTTTTCCGCGGTTTCCTTTTGCTCAAATTCCTCCAACTTCTTGTTCAGCTCCTCCTTCTCTGCCGCGACATCCTCTCGAACACGATCAAACTCCTTCTCCAACAACTTCTTCTCCTCCTCAAACTCATGGCTCAGCTCAGCCCGGATTCGCACCCGCTCTTCAGAACGTGTCTTCTCCCTCTCCGCATTAAGGTCTTCGGTCAGCTTGCGGGCCAGCTCCGCCACATGGGCAAGGGCATCGTCACAATTATTCTGTATCGAAGAAACCCGGCGCTCCGTTCCCGCCGCCTGACCCTGCAGCTGAATGACCTTAGTTTGCTCCGAACCCAAACGCGCCAGGATATCCGCCAATTCCTTCTGTGCTCGAAAACTGGCCACCAACGCCTATCGTAATATGCGACGAGACTCAGCCGCTTAGTCACATAAAAAAAGGAGAGAGAAGGAAAAGAAAGGTAAAACAGAAGGCCGAACAAACCTGGAACTGAGCATGCGCCAAATCAGCATGCGGATCGCTGCCCTCCATACGGGCGAGAAGGGCGAGAGCGGCGCCAATCGACTTCAGGGAAAGTTGCGCAGCTGCGACGGGCAGTTTAATGTCCCGATATTGAGCAGACAGTCTTGGAAAACGCCCATTTCTGTCAGAGTTTGCTGGGTAGGCAGAATCTCAGAACTGCCGACAGTAGCTCTCTCAATTCGCCCTTTTGGGCCGCCAAGGCTATCGCTTTGCCCTTTCTCAGCCCTCAGAGGTTTCTTGGATATCACCTCCGCCAGGGATTCTAGTCTCGCCGCCGTAGCTGTCTTTGGATTAGCATTCGTGCCCGTGTTTCTCCTCTTCCCGCCGCCCTTTGGCAGCGCGGAAAGATCCGCCACCGTTAGCCTCCAGGCCAGGATCTATCTTGCCCTCATTAATCTCCCCAAAACATAATGGGTTTGTTCAGGAAATGCAAATTGTTTATAATGTGTCGGTAGCCCATGAATTGGTTCATTTCTAAAAAATAAGCGCTTAGGAAGGGAGAAATTTATGGCCCTCAAGCTTGACATGGAGAAAGCTTACGATAGAATCGAGTGGTTGTATTTATTTGCCATTCTTCGGAAATCGGGCTTTTTTCTGCTTGGATTCATTGGTTTCGGGAATGTGTTACTATGGCTACTTTCTCCGTCTTGGTGAATGGACAACCTTCTGGTTCTTTCCCTTTTTCCTGTGGTTTGCGTCAAGTTGATCCCTTATCTCCATTGTTGTTTGCTTTGTGTTCTTAAGGTTTCATTGCCATGATTAAAATGGCTATTTCTCGACATGAGCTGCATGGGGTTCATATAAATTCTCGGTGTCCCCCAGTTTCCCATCTTCTATTTGCATATGATTCTTTTCTTTTCCTCCAAGCCTCCCGAAGGGATGCTACCTTCCTTCTTCAGGTTCTACGTGACTATGAAAGCATAAGTGGTCAGCGAGTTAATCTCCAAAAACCTACTGTCTACTACAGTCCTAACATGTTGCAACCGGAACAAGAGGAGTTGGGATCATTTGTTGGTGTTGGCTCCATTGGGCTACAAGATCGTTACTTGGGTCTTCCTTCATTGTTAGGGAGATCAAAGATGGAGACATTCTGTTTCATTGAGGAGAAATTGATGGAAGTTCTGCAAGGCTGGAAACAACGTGCTCTATCTATTCTATTGCGGCAAAGGAAGTTCTCCTCAAATCTGTGGCGGCCGCGCTACACATTTACATAATGTCTTGTTTTTTATTTCCATCGTAATTAATTAGGCATCTTAATGCGCACATGGCTCATTTCTGGTGGGGGGAAACTCAAGAGCATAGGCAGATTCATTAGCGCTCGTGAAAGCTTCTTTTCTTGAGTACAAGCTGGAGGCCTGGGGTTCAGGGATTTTTGTCTTTTCAACCAAGCTCTACTTGCAAAAGTGGCTTGGAGGGTTCTTCAGGATCCGACTTCTCTTTTGGATCGTATCTATCACGGACGTTACTGTGGTTCTTCTTCCTCTATTTTAGAAGCTAGTCTAGACTCCAATTCTTCACGGGGATGGCGTCGTGTTCTTTTTGGACGTGATCTGCTTTCACAAGGTCTTCATTGGCAGGTTGGCTCTGGCTTCTCCATACGAGCTCTCTCTGATACTTGGTTGTCAACCTCTCCTCCTTCTATTCCTCAACCGCGGTTAGGTGCTCCTACTGCTTTTCCTTTTGTGGCTGCCTTTATTGATCCTGGTTCTAAATCTTGGAATATTCACATGCTGAAACTCTATTTTGAAGAAGCTACGGTCCGAGTGATTCAAGGGGATCCCTCTCCCAATTCAACGAATTACTGACAAACTTATCTGGCACTTTGAAGGAACATGGATTTTTTCTGTTAAGTCAGCTTACCTCTTGGCGATTGATTTGCAAAGTTCTCCTCCCTCCTCTAAACATCAAGCGTCTTTCATGGATGTGGCAATGGATTTGGAATAGGAAGGTTCCACCAAAACTTATTTTCTTCTTATGGTTAGGATTACATCGGATCCTTCCAACTAGGGAGGCTTTGGTTGGGAGAGGTTTGGATTTGATTCCTATTTGTCTGGTGTGCGACCGCAAGGAGGAAACAATTGAACACCTATTTTTCTCCTATTTGGTGGCTCGTAAGTTTTGGACGATACTCAGTTGGCAGGATCTTCGGAGGATGACGGAAAATGTTCATTTGTAGGGTTCATCAGGCATACCCTGAGTAAGACAAATGGTCTGGAAGCTGATTTCATTTTTCTGCCCAAATCGGCCATTACTAGACTTCATCGGTGGTGGAGAGTAACCTAAGGCCTAATTTGTGATCCCATCGCCTTCAAAATCATCATTAGTGTGAAATAGTGATGGAATGATCTATATATAATTGAATGACACTCTTGGAAGTTGAGGGTCGCCTAGTAGTGAATGAGAGAGTCTAGTTCAAAGGATAAATTACGCACTAGCTTATATTTTGATATTGATCGGTATTTTGGTATATCCCGATCCCAATCCCGTAATCCCTAATAACGAATAACAAGTGAAATTCAATCCCAATCCCACAAAATAATACGTGTATTCGGTAATACCAAATATAGACAAATTCGGTACGGTATTCTGTATATCCCAAATACCGGTACCAAACTTCCAGCCCTAGTGAAGAGTACCCTAAGGCCAAATATGTGATCCATCGCCTTCAAAATCCAAGGAAATTGGCATTTCCAATAAATCGCCCGAAATCGGTGATGGTACCCCTTTGGAATCTGGCAAAATTTGCCCCCGATATTTTTCGCTCGAATCGGTGTTTAATAGACTTATTCGTCCCTAAAGAATAGTCTCAGGCTGAATCCGTGATCTGCACCCTTCAAAATCTAAGGAAAATGGCCTTTCGAAAATATCGCCTAAAAATTACGAAAATGCCCTCCGAAAAAATTCGACCAAATTTCTACCCAAATTGGCCATTACTAGACTTCATCGTTGGTGGAGAATACCCTAAGGCCGAATCAGTTATCCATCGCCTTCAAAATCCAAGGATAATGGCCTTTCCAATAAATCGCCGAAATCGGTGATGGTACCCCTTTGGAATATGGGAAAATTTGCCCCGCAAAATTTTCAGCCCGAATCGGTGTTTAATAGACTTATTCGTCCCTAAAGAATAGCCTCAGGCTGAATACGTGATTAGCACCCTCCAAAATCTAAGGAAAATGGTTTTCAAAAATATCGCCTAAAAATTACAAAAATACCCTACGGAAAAATTCGATCAAATTTCTGCACAAATCGGCCGTTACTAGACTTCATCGTTGGTGTGATGATTTGCCTTCAAAATCCAAGGAAAATGGCATTTCCGATAAATCGCCCGAAATCGGTGATGGTACCCCTTAGGAATCTAGCAAAATTTGCACAAGAAATTTTCCACCCGAATCGGTGTTTAATAGACTTATTCGTCCCTAACGAATAGCCTCATGCTGAATCTGTGATTTGCACCCTTCAAAATCTAAGGGAAATGGGCTTTCAAAAATATCGCCTCAAATTACGAAAATACCCTCTGGAAAAATTTGACCAAATTAATGCCCAAATCGGCCATTACAAGACTTCCTCGTTGGTGGAGAGTACCCTAAGGCCGAATTTGTGATCCATCGCCTTCAAAATCCAAGGAAAATGGCATTTCCAATAAAAATCGGTGATGTTGGAATCTGGCAAAATTTGACCCGGATAATTTTCGCCCGAATCGGTGTTTAATAGACTTACTCCTCCCTAAAGAATAGTCTCAGGCTGAATCCGTGATCTGCACCTTTCAAAATCTAAGGAAAATGTCCTTTCGAAAATATCGCCTAAAAATTACGAAAATGACCTCAGGAAAAATTCGACCAAATTTCTGTCCAAATCGGCTATTACTATATTTCGTCGTTGGTGGAGAGTTCCCTAAGGCCGAATATGTGATCCATCGCCTTCAAAATCCAAGGAAAATGGCATTTCCAATAAATCGCACGAAATTGGTGATGGTACCCCTTTGGAATCTGGCAAAATTTGCCCCGGATATTTTTCGCCCGAATCGGTGTTTAATAGACTTATTCGTCCCTAAAGAATAGTGTCAGGCTGAGTCTGTGATCTACACCTTTCAAAATCTAAGGAAAATGGCCTTTCAAAAATATCGCCAAAAATTACGAAAATGCCCTCGAGAAAAATTCGATACAAAATTTCTATCCAAATCGGCCATTACTAGACTTCATCGTTGGTGGAGAGTTCCCTAAGGCCGAATCTGTTATCCATCGCCTTCAAAATCCAAGGAAAATGGCATTTCCAATAAATCGCCCGAAATCGGAGATGGTACCCCTTTGGAATCTGGCAAAATTTGACCCGGATATTTTTCGCCCGAATCGGTGTTTAATAGACTTATTCGTCCCTATAGAATAGTGTCAGGCTGAATCTGTGATCTACACCTTTCAAAATCTAACGAAAATGGCCTTTCAAAAATATCGCCTAAAAATTACGAAAATGCCCTCGAGAAAAATTCGATACCAAATTTCTATCCAAATCGGCCATTACTAGACTTCATCGTTGGTGGAGAGTTCCCTAAGGCCGAATCTGTTATCCATCGCCTTCAAAATCCAAGGAAAATGGCATTTCCAATAAATCGCCCGAAATCGGAGATGGTACCCCTTTGGAATCTGGCAAAATTTGCCCCGGATATTTTTCGCCCGAATCGGTGTTTAATAGACAAATTCATCCCTAAAGAATAGTCTCACGCTGAATCCATGATCTGCACCCTTCAAAATCTAAGAAAAATGGCCTTTCGAAAATATCGCCTAAAAATTACGAAAATGAACTCAGGAAAAATTCGACCAAATTTCTGTCCAAATCGGCTATTACTAGATTTCGTCGTTGGTGGAGATTTTCCTAAGGCCGAATCTGTGATCCATCGCCTTCAAAATCCAAGGAAAATGGCATTTCCAATAAATCGCCCGAAATCGGTGATGGTACCCCTTTGGAATCTGGCAAAATTTGCCCCGGATATTTTTCGCCCGAATCGGTGTTTAATAGACTTATTCGTCCCTAAAGAATAGTGTCAGGCTGAATCTGTGATCTGCACCCTTCAAAATCTAAGGAAAATGGCCTTTCAAAAATATCGCATAAAAATTACGAAAATGACCTTAGGAAAAATTCGACCAAATTTCTGTCCAAATCGGTTATTACTAGATTTCGTCGTTGGTGGAGAGTTCCCTAAGGCCGAATCTGTGATCCATCGCCTTCAAAATCCAAGGAAAATGGCATTTCCAATAAATCGCCCGAAATCGGTGATGGTACCCCTTTGGAATCTGGCAAAATTTGCCCCGGATATTTTTCGCCCGAATCGGTGTTTAATAGACTTATTCGTCCCTAAAGAATAGTGTCAGGCTGAATCTGTGATCTGCACCCTTCAAAATCTAAGGAAAATGGCCTTTCAAAAATATCGCATAAAAATTACGAAAATGACCTCAGGAAAAATTCGACCAAATTTCTGTCCAAATCGGTTATTACTAGATTTCGTCGTTGGTGGAGAGTTCCCTAAGGCCGAATCTGTGATCCATCGCCTTCAAAATCCAAGGAAAATGGCATTTCCAATAAATCGCCCGAAATCGGTGATGGTACCCCTTTGGAATTTGACAAAATTTGCCCCGGATATTTTTCGCACGAATCGGTGTTTAATAGACTTATTCGTCCCTAAAGAATAGTGTCAGGCTGAATCTGTGATCTATACCTTTCAAAATCTAAGGAAAATGGCATTTCGAAAATATCGCATAAAAAATACGTAAATGCCCTCCGGAAAAATTCAACCAAATTTCTGTCCAAATCGGCCATTACTAGACTTCATCGTTGGTGGAGAGTTCCCTAAGGCCGAATCTGTGATCCATCGCCTTCAAAATCCAAGGAAAATGGCATTTCCAATAAATCGCCCGAAATCGGTGATGGTACCCCTTTGGAATCTGGCGAAATTTGCCCCGCATATTTTTCCCCCGAATTAGTGTTTAATAGACTTATTCGTCCCTAAAGAATAGTCTCAGGCTAAATCCGTGATCTGCACCATTCAAAATCTAAGGAGAATGGCCTTTCGAAAATATCGCCTAAAAATTAAGAAAATGCCATCCGGAAAAATTCGACCAAATTTCTGTCCAAATCGGGCATTACTAGACTTCATCGTTGGTAGAGAGTTCCCTAAGGCCGAATCTGTGATCCATCGCCTTCAAAATCCAAGGAAAATGGCATATCAATAAATCGCCCGAAATCGTTGATGTTACGCCTTTGGAATCTGGCAAAATTTGACCCGGATATTTTTCGCCCGAATCGGTGTTTAATAGACATATTCATCCCTAAAGAATAGTCTCAGGCTGAATCCGTGATCTGCACCCTTCAAAATCTAAGGAAAATGTCCTTTCGAAAATATCGCCTAAAAATTACGAAAATGACCTCAGGAAAAATTCGACCAAATTTCTGTCCAAATCGGCTATTACTAGATTTCGTCGTTGGTGGAGAGTTCCCTAAGGCCGAATCTGTGATCCATCGCCTTCAAAATCCAAGGAAAATGGCATATCAATAAATCGCCCGAAATCGTTGATGTTACGCCTTTGGAATCTGGCAAAATTTGACCCGGATATTTTTCGCCCGAATCGGTGTTTAATAGACATATTCATCCCTAAAGAATAGTCTCAGGCTGAATGCGTGATCTGCACCCTTCAAAATCTAAGGAAAATGTCCTTTCGAAAATATCGCCTAAAAATTACGAAAATGAACTCAGGAAAAATTCGACCAAATTTCTGTCCAAATCAGCTATTACTAGATTTCGTCGTTGGTGGAGAGTTCCCTAAGGCCGAATCTGTGATCCATCGCCTTCAAAATCCAAGGAAAATGGCATTTCCAATAAATCGCCCGAAATCGGTGATGGTACCCCTTTGGAATCTGGCAAAATTTGCCCCGGATATTTTTCGCCCGAATCGGTGTTTAATAGACTTATTCGTCCCTAAAGAATAGTGTCAGGCTGAATCTGTGATCTGCACCCTTCAAAATCTAAGGAAAATGGCCTTTCAAAAATATCGCATAAAAATTACGAAAATGACCTTAGGAAAAATTCGACCAAATTTCTGTCCAAATCGGTTATTACTAGATTTCGTCGTTGGTGGAGAGTTCCCTAAGGCCGAATCTGTGATCCATCGCCTTCAAAATCCAAGGAAAATGGCATTTCCAATAAATCGCCCGAAATCGGTGATGGTACCCCTTTGGAATCTGGCAAAATTTGCCCCGGATATTTTTCGCCCGAATCGGTGTTTAATAGACTTATTCGTCCCTAAAGAATAGTGTCAGGCTGAATCTGTGATCTGCACCCTTCAAAATCTAAGGAAAATGGCCTTTCAAAAATATCGCATAAAAATTACGAAAATGACCTCAGGAAAAATTCGACCAAATTTCTGTCCAAATCGGTTATTACTAGATTTCGTCGTTGGTGGAGAGTTCCCTAAGGCCGAATCTGTGATCCATCGCCTTCAAAATCCAAGGAAAATGGCATTTCCAATAAATCGCCCGAAATCGGTGATGGTACCCCTTTGGAATTTGACAAAATTTGCCCCGGATATTTTTCGCCCGAATCGGTGTTTAATAGACTTATTCGTCCCTAAAGAATAGTGTCAGGCTGAATCTGTGATCTATACCTTTCAAAATCTAAGGAAAATGGCATTTCGAAAATATCGCATAAAAAATACGTAAATGCCCTCCGGAAAAATTCAACCAAATTTCTGTCCAAATCGGCCATTACTAGACTTCATCGTTGGTGGAGAGTTCCCTAAGGCCGAATCTGTGATCCATCGCCTTCAAAATCCAAGGAAAATGGCATTTCCAATAAATCGCCCGAAATCGGTGATGGTACCCCTTTGGAATCTGGCGAAATTTGCCCCGCATATTTTTCCCCCGAATTAGTGTTTAATAGACTTATTCGTCCCTAAAGAATAGTCTCAGGCTAAATCCGTGATCTGCACCATTCAAAATCTAAGGAGAATGGCCTTTCGAAAATATCGCCTAAAAATTAAGAAAATGCCATCCGGAAAAATTCGACCAAATTTCTGTCCAAATCGGGCATTACTAGACTTCATCGTTGGTAGAGAGTTCCCTAAGGCCGAATCTGTGATCCATCGCCTTCAAAATCCAAGGAAAATGGCATATCAATAAATCGCCCGAAATCGTTGATGTTACGCCTTTGGAATCTGGCAAAATTTGACCCGGATATTTTTCGCCCGAATCGGTGTTTAATAGACATATTCATCCCTAAAGAATAGTCTCAGGCTGAATCCGTGATCTGCACCCTTCAAAATCTAAGGAAAATGTCCTTTCGAAAATATCGCCTAAAAATTACGAAAATGACCTCAGGAAAAATTCGACCAAATTTCTGTCCAAATCGGCTATTACTAGATTTCGTCGTTGGTGGAGAGTTCCCTAAGGCCGAATCTGTGATCCATCGCCTTCAAAATCCAAGGAAAATGGCATATCAATAAATCGCCCGAAATCGTTGATGTTACGCCTTTGGAATCTGGCAAAATTTGACCCGGATATTTTTCGCCCGAATCGGTGTTTAATAGACATATTCATCCCTAAAGAATAGTCTCAGGCTGAATGCGTGATCTGCACCCTTCAAAATCTAAGGAAAATGTCCTTTCGAAAATATCGCCTAAAAATTACGAAAATGACCTCAGGAAAAATTCGACCAAATTTCTGTCCAAATCGGTTATTACTAGATTTCGTCGTTGGTGGAGAGTTACCTAAGGCCGAATCTGTGATCCATCGCCTTCAAAATCCAAGGAAAATGGCATTTCCAATAAATCGCCCGAAATCGGTGATGGTACCCCTTTGGAATTTGACAAAATTTGCCCCGGATATTTTTCGCCCGAATCGGTGTTTAATAGACTTATTCGTCCCTAAAGAATAGTGTCAGGCTGAATCTGTGATCTATACCTTTCAAAATCTAAGGAAAATGGCATTTCGAAAATATCGCATAAAAAATACGTAAATGCCCTCCGGAAAAATTCAACCAAATTTCTGTCCAAATCGGCCATTACTAGACTTCATCGTTGGTGGAGAGTTCCCTAAGGCCGAATCTGTGATCCATCGCCTTCAAAATCCAAGGAAAATGGCATTTCCAATAAATCGCCCGAAATCGGTGATGGTACCCCTTTGGAATCTGGCGAAATTTGCCCCGCATATTTTTCCCCCGAATTAGTGTTTAATAGACCTATTCGTCCCTAAAGAATAGTCTCAGGCTAAATCCGTGATCTGCACCATTCAAAATCTAAGGAGAATGGCCTTTCGAAAATATCGCCTAAAAATTAAGAAAATGCCATCCGGAAAAATTCGACCAAATTTCTGTCCAAATCGGGCATTACTAGACTTCATCGTTGGTAGAGAATTCCCTAAGGCCGAATCTGTGATCCATCGCCTTCAAAATCCAAGGAAAATGGCATATCAATAAATCGCCCGAAATCGTTGATGTTACGCCTTTGGAATCTGGCCAAATTTGACCCGGATATTTTTCGCCCGAATCGGTGTTTAATAGACATATTCATCCCTAAAGAATAGTCTCAGGCTGAATCCGTGATCTGCACCCTTCAAAATCTAAGGAAAATGTCCTTTCGAAAATATCGCCTAAAAATTACGAAAATGACCTCAGGAAAAATTCGACCAAATTTCTGTCCAAATCGGCTATTACTAGATTTCGTCGTTGGTGGAGAGTTCCCTAAGGCCGAATCTGTGATCCATCGCCTTCAAAATCCAAGGAAAATGGCATTTCCAATAAATCGCACGAAATTGGTGATGGTACCCCTTTGGAATCTGGCAAAATTTGCCCCGGATATTTTTCGCCCGAATCGGTGTTTAATAGACTTATTCGTCCCTATAGAATAGTGTCAGGCTGAATCTGTGATCTACACCTTTCAAAATCTAACGAAAATGGCCTTTCAAAAATATCGCCTAAAAATTACGAAAATGCCCTCGAGAAAAATTCGATACCAAATTTCTATCCAAATCGGCCATTACTAGACTTCATCGTTGGTGGAGAGTTCCCTAAGGCCGAATCTGTTATCCATCGCCTTCAAAATCCAAGGAAAATGGCATTTCCAATAAATCGCCCGAAATCGGAGATGGTACCCCTTTGGAATCTGGCAAAATTTGACCCGGATATTTTTCGCCCGAATCGGTGTTTAATAGACTAATTCATCCCTACAGAATAGTCTCACGCTGAATCCATGATTTGCACCCTTCAAAATCTAAGAAAAATGGCCTTTCGAAAATATCGCCTAAATATTACGAAAATGAACTCACGAAAAATTCGACCAAATTTCTGTCCAAATCGGCTATTACTAGATTTCGTCGTTGGTGGAGAGTTCCCTAAGGCCGAATCTGTGATCCATCGCCTTCAAAATCCAAGGAAAATGGCATTTCCAATAAATCGCCCGAAATCGGTGATGGTACCCCTTTGGAATCTGGCAAAATTTGCCCCGGATATTTTTCGCCCGAATCGGTGTTTAATAGACTTATTCGTCCCTAAAGAATAGTGTCAGGCTGAATCTGTGATCTGCACCCTTCAAAATCTAAGGAAAATGGCCTTTCAAAAATATCGCCTAAAAATTACGAAAATGACCTCAGGAAAAATTCGACCAAATTTCAGTCCAAATCGGCCATTACTAGACTTCATCATTGGTGGAGAGTTCCCTAAGGCCGAATCTGTGATCCATCGCCTTCAAAATCCAAGGAAAATGGCATTTCCAATAAAAATCGGTGATGTTGGAATCTGGCAAAATTTGCCCCGGATATTTTTCGCCCGAATCGGTGTTTAATAGACTTACTCCTCCCTAAAGAATAGTCTCAGGCTGAATCCGTGATCTGCACCCTTCAAAATCTAAGGAAAATGTCCTTTCGAAAATATCGCTTAAAAATTACGAAAATGACCTCAGGAAAAATTCGACCAAATTTCTGTCCAAATCGGCTATTACTAGATTTCGTCGTTGGTGGAGAGTTCCCTAAGGCCGAATCTGTGATCCATCGCCTTCAAAATCCAAGGAAAATGGCATTTCCAATAAATCGCACGAAATTGGTGATGGTACCCCTTTGGAATCTGGCAAAATTTGCCCCGGATATTTTTCGCCCGAATCGGTGTTTAATAGACTTATTCGTCCCTAAAGAATAGTGTCAGGCTGAATCTGTGATCTACACCTTTCAAAATCTAAGGAAAATGGCCTTTCAAAAATATCGCCTAAAATTTACGAAAATGCCCTCGAGAAAAATTCGATACCAAATTTCTATCCAAATCGGCCATTACTAGACTTCATCGTTGGTGGAGAGTTCCCTAAGGCCGAATCTGTTATCCATCGCATTCAAAATCAAAGGAAAATGGCATTTCCAATAAATCGCCCGAAATCGGAGATGGTACCCCTTTGGAATCTGGCAAAATTTGACCCGGATATTTTTCGCCCGAATCGGTGTTTAATAGACTAATTCATCCCTAAAGAATAGTCTCACGCTGAATCCATGATCTGCACCCTTCAAAATCTAAGAAAAATGGCCTTTCGAAAATATCGCCTAAAAATTACGAAAATGAACTCAGGAAAAATTCGACCAAATTTCTGTCCAAATCGGCTATTACTAGATTTCGTCGTTGGTGGAGAGTTCCCTAAGGCCGAATCTGTGATCCATCGCCTTCAAAATCCAAGGAAAATGGCATTTCCAATAAATCGCCCGAAATCGGTGATGGTACCCCTTTGGAATCTGGCAAAATTTGCCCCGGATATTTTTCGCCCGAATCGGTGTTTAATAGACTTATTCGTCCCTAAAGAATAGTGTCAGGCTGAATCTGTAATCTGCACCCTTCAAAATCTAAGGAAAATGGCCTTTCAAAAATAT